TTGACCTGCGTATTATGAATATTCATCAGTTTTGCAAGTTTCAAGTCAAAAGGTAAAATGGTTTTCCACTTATCGTGTTATCGGTGCTGCATATATGCTGAAAAAAGTGAAAAAACAGCATAAATTCCCTAAAAGTGACCCGATCATGCTGATTTTCGAACTTGACCTGCGTATTATGAATATTCATCAGTTTTGCAAGTTTCAAGTCAAAAGGTAAAATGGTTTTCCACTTATCGTGTTATCGGTAAAAGTGCACGGCGACGGCGACGACGGCGACAGCGACGACAGACGCAGATGATGGCTACATGTACAGACACATCTGTGTCTGTACATAAAAAGCTAGCTTCATTTTGTAATCAAGTCATCTTTAAATATAATCTTACTTTGTTATTTGAATTATGTCTTAGCACAGTGACCAGATACTTACTTTGTAAAGCATTACAGTGTTTATCTAGGTGTGCATCAGTCAAGTGCAAGAAATTTGGAATTTTCATCAATTCTAAAGATACATCTTTTTCAAACATTCTTGGGTTATCTCTTTTCATCTGAAATAAAATCCAAGCACAATTAGAAAAAAAAAACTTAATGACAGTTATCTTCTTTCTTATTAACCATCACAAAACATATCACAGAACACCACAAGCTGTTGAATAAAAAACAAAATCACCAGCTTACCACCTTCACGCCTTGTGTTACAGAGACTGGAAACTTAGTCCAATTAAAAGTTGCAGCAGTCGGCCATACTTTTGTCCAATCTTTGTCATTGGACATCCTTTCTGCACTGGTTGGGCTTTCCTTGAACAAATTATTGTGATTCATTACACAAAACGATAATCCAACTTTCACAAAACTGATGATGATGATTATATTGATGCTTGTGTGTGTGTGTGATTAATATAATTACATGAAAAGGGTTGCCCATCTTCACAGACCCAATGAGACTCATTACACTTAAGCAAATAAATTTCATATCACAAACTACATAAGATTTCAAAGTTGAAGACAAATCGTAAGAGAAGGACCAACAATACTGTACCTGCATTAACCCTATAACATCCGCCCGGGTAAGAGTTTTTGCAATGTCCACTTTTTCTAAAATCAAATACATTTGCTGAAAGTTTAAACTGAAAACTACAGTAGCTAACGGATATGCATTCCTATTTTTTTTAATTCAAGAAATAATTATCATATTTTATATATTTAAAATATCAAATTATATATTTAAATATTATATGCTACATTTTGAGCAAAAATGATCTTTAATTTCTCTTTCCTGTCTCTCTCTTTCAACAATCACAAAGTCCTGCTGAAAAGTCAAAAAAAAAAAAAAAAATTGCTAATGATCACAATACTGCCTAAATAATCTTCACACACACAATTCCACTACCCACATCTTTGTTGTGGTAATTAAATGAATAAATTTCAACATTAGTTTAAAGACTGGAAGTCATCTGTATTACCCATTTTGTCCTCACCATACGATATGATAATAATGGTCGGCTCAATTCAATAGGCATTCACTCACAACAAAGTTAAGATTCAAATTTATAACTATAATGATGTTTTATGATTTGCTGTGGCTTTCTTGTCTTTGCTTTTCTTCAGCAAAACCATAATGCTTGAGTGGAGACTGGAGTCTTGATAAAATTGTGTGAAGCAAAAGAAAAAAAAATTCCTTTTCAATAAAGCAATTTATTTCAGCACCGATAGAAGTGCTAATGCATATATTTTGTATCATATGTTTTGTTTTCCCACAGCAATATTTACATAATTTTTAAAACTAAGAGAACATTTTGAACACCACTGTCTGTCTACAAAACATTCTAGTCAAGCCACAATGCCATCGGAATACAACCATATGCCTTTCATTTTAAGAGATACTCTGAATCTAGTATGCTTAGTCTTTGCATTTCTACTGTCATTACAACTCCTCCTCAAAGGAAATGCAGAGGGTAAACAATACTGTGTATATCAGAATGCACTAGAGGCACCAAAGTTAATCCGGTGTCACGTGTACGGTCCGTTCTGCGTGAACCATCCGTCTTGACCGATTGTACATGCAGCAGACGCGTGTATGAGCCGTTCCATGAATGATCCGTTGTTATTCATCTGTACTGTTATAATCGGCTAGTTCACCTCCTACCTCATTTTACATTTACTATGATTGGGATAAAATTCATGTATTAACTGATAATTCTGATAGAAAATCAGCATCAAATTACAGGTCGACGCATGGATGAACCTACACATACCGTGGCCTGGCTGTCATTATTCAGCTGCTGGCTACTATTTTAGTATTGATTTTACTAGGCTAGTGTGTTGATATGGCCACCTGAGGGAAATCGCAGTAGAGGTGAACATCTATAAGATATGAATACTTCTAAAGATTATGTTTGAATTTGCAGTATGTTCACAACAGCACATGTTTATTAAAGGCTAAGAATGTATTGATGACTCTAAAGAAATGGACTGTACACGCCGGAAGTCTCTCAAATTTGCCTGCGCTTTGTGCCCATGAGCAGTACACANACAGTTTCAGCATGTCTGGAAATCCAGATTCAATCTTGAGTGCAACATGTCTGCCTACCCTACACTCCATGTACAAAGCAGTCAAAAGGTATTTTACATAATCTTCATTCTGTTTTCTTCTTGGACATCTGGAAAAAAAATGAATACTGACCTACAATTCAACCTAATCCTGGTAAAAAAAAAAAAAAATACCCAAAAATAAACCTAAAACCTGGTAAAAAAAAAAAAAAAAAAAAAAAAAAAAAATATATATATATATATATATATATATATATATATATATATATATATATATAAAGAATAAAAAGTTGTTGAATCTACTTTGTTCTTATGTCACGTAATGAGTGTATATAAGAGCCCATATTATCCCTGAAGATTAAGATGAAGGGCAGTAAAACCTCAATCTTACCTATCTCCCACTATTGTTAGCAAATCTGTTTTTGCATTATATCTATCTTTGGCTAATCTGATCAGCTTGTCTCTTGCCCGTGCATTTAACTGTAAGGATCCTACCCGGACCTGTGGAGAGAAATATCCTAGGCATAAAATTGACGAACCAACATTCCAAAGTGCTATTATTCACTTTAGGATCAAATAAGTGTAATTGTTTAATTACACATCAACAGATTTATATCTTCAAATGACACAAAAAAGTTAAATATATTTCATTCAAACAAACCTTCAACGTGACAATCCTGGACTTCGGCTCCCTTATAGATGGACTGCTTCTCACATAGTCCTCAGTGATTATTTCCACTGGGAAGTGCTGGGCAATTGCCAAACTTGACGACAGTTCAGATGGCCATTTTGAAAGATATTCTTTAAAAAAATAATAAATATATAATCAATGTCTAAATAACAACTAAAATACCTTTATCTTAGAAAACTATCTTTATTAATCATGAAAAAATTATATAAAAAATCATAAAAAGAAAATGCAAATGATTTTCCAATTAGTTTATTATACCAAGTCATCAATGTGTATGCAAAAAAAGCTAGCTTCATTTTGTAATCAAGTCATCTTTAAATATAATCTTACTTTGTTATTTGAATTATGTCTTAGCACAGTGACCAGATACTTACTTTGTAAAGCATTACAGTGTTTATCTAGGTGTGCATCAGTCAAGTGCAAGAAATTTGGAATTTTCATCAATTCTAAAGATACATCTTTTTCAAACATTCTTGGGTTATCTCTTTTCATCTGAAATAAAATCCAAGCACAATTAGAAAAAAAAAACTTAATGACAGTTATCTTCTTTCTTATTAAACATCACAAAACATATCACAGATCACCACAAGCTGTTGAATAAAAAACAAAATCACCAGCTTACCACCTTCACGCCTTGTGTTACAGAGACTGGAAACTTAGTCCAATTAAAAGTTGCAGCAGTCGGCCATACTTTTGTCCAATCTTTGTCATTGGACATCCTTTCTGCACTGGTTGGGCTTTCCTTGAACAAATTATTGTGATTCATTACACAAAACGATAATCCAACTTTCACAAAACTGACGATGATGATTATATTGATGCTTGTGTGTGTGTGTGATTAATATAATTACATGAAAAGGGTTGCCCATCTTCACAGACCCAATGAGACTCATTACACTTAAGCAAATAAATTTCATATCACAAACTACATTAAGATTTCAAAGTTGAAGACAAATCGTAAGAGAAGGACCAACAATACTGTACCTGCATTAACCCTATAACATCCGCCCGGGTAAGAGTTTTTGCAATGTCCACTTTTTCTAAAATCAAATACATTTGCTGAAAGTTTAAACTGAAAACTACAGTAGCTAACGGATATGCATTCCTATTTTTTTTTTAATTCAAGAAATAATTATCATATTTTATATATTTAAAATATCAAATTATATATTTAAATATTATATGCTACATTTTGAGCAAAATAGGTAAAATGATCTTTAATTTCTCTTTCCTGTCTCTCTCTCTTTCAACAATCACAAAGTAAAAAAAAAAAAAAAAAAAAAAAAATTGCTAATGATCACAATACTGCCTAAATAATCTTCACACACATAATTCCACTACCCACATCTTTGTTGTGGTAATTAAATGAATAAAAATGTCAACATTAGTTTAAAGACTGGAAGTCATTACCCATTTTGTCCTCACCATACGATATGATAATAATGGTCGGCTCAATTCAATAGGCATTCACTCACAACAAAGTTAAATTTCAAATTTATAACTATAATGATGTTTTATGATTTGCTGTGGCTTTCTTGTCTTTGCTTTTCTTCAGCAAAACCATAATGCTTGAGTGGAGACTAGAGTCTTGATAAAATTGTGTGAAGCAAAAGAAAAAAAAAATTCCTTTTCAATAAAGCAATTTATGTGTCAGCACCGATAGAAGTGCTAATGCATATATTTTGTATCATATGTTTTGTTTTCCCACAGCAATATTTACATAATTTTTAAAACTAAGAGAACATTTTGAACACCACTGTCTGTCTACAAAACATTCTAGTCAAGCCACAATGCCATCGGAATACAACCATATGCCTTTCATTTTAAGAGATACTCTGAATCTAGTATGCTTAGGCTTCATTCACATGCAATGTCTATTTTCTAAATTCTATTTTCTATTCGCGGTATGTCTTATGATCACAGGCTGTGCCCTGAATATCCCGCGGCTTAATTACTGGCAGCGCGAGCCAGTTACTATAAGTTACTATAAGTAACTGGCTCGCGCTGCCAGTAATTACGCGGCGGGATATTTAGGGCACAGCCTGTGATCATAAGACATACCACGAATAGAAAATAGAATTTAGAAAATAGACATTGCATGTGAACGAAGCCTTAGTCTTTGCATTTCTACTGTCATTACAACTCCTCCTCAAAGGAAATGCAGAGGGTAAACAATACTGTGTATATCAGAATGCACTAGAGGCACCAAAGTTAATCCGGTGTCACGTGTACAGTCCGTTCTGCGTGAACCATCTGTCTTGACCGATTGTACATGCAGCAGACGCGTGTATGAGCCGTTCCATGAATGATTCGTTGTTATTCATCTGTACTGTTATAATCGGCTAGTTCAATTCCTACCTCATTTTACATTTACTATGATTGGGATAAAATTCATGTATTAACTGATAATTGTGATAGAAAATCAGCATCAAATTACAGGTCGACGCATGGATGAACCTACACATACCGTGGCCTGGCTGTCATTATTCAGCTGCTGGCTACTATTTTAGTATCGATTTTACTAGGCTAGTGTGTTGATATGGCCACCTGAGGGAAATCGCAGTAGAGGTGAACATCTATAAGATATGAATACTTCTAAAGATTATGTTTGAATTTGCAGTATGTTCTCAACAGCACATGTTTATTAAAGGCTAAGAATGTATTGATGACTCTAAAGAAATGGACTGTACACGCCGGAAGTCTCTCGCCTGCGCTTTGTGCCCATGAGCAGTACACGCCACACCGGTCAAGCAGCAGAACTGGACTGTCTGTGACCAGTCCACTGAGGCACCTTGTTTAACAACAGTGAACCTATACAAAAACTTCTCTTCTCCCCTTGAATTTTAATACAATGTAAAAGCATAGAACATTTGTCATCTTATGTGACAAACCCCATGAAAATTGATCAAGGTAAAGTATGTATTTAATGCACTCAGTGGTAACAGCTTTCTTGTTAAAATGTGAGGACACATTTGCCCTAACAGAAATATGGCTATTTAAACACTGTGATATTGCCTTAAATTTTAGAGATACTTTCAAAATTCCAACAGAGATTATTTATTAATCATAGAGATTAATAAATAACATTGTGACACTGCACACATCTTAACATTCATCTAGTGAATTTTATGGTGATTGTTATGGAGATTTTAACAGGTTAAGAATTTATATACCTAATGGTGGTTTTGATTTCCTTGTTTCTTCAATGATCCCTGGGCCAACGGGGGGAGCCAAGATATCTCTCAAAAGTGGCTTTTTCTCGGGTTTAAATTGATCTCCTCGCTCGTCTTTCAGTTGTAATTTATGTGCTATGCCTATCTTTCTCGGTACTGTTCTGACAGAACGACGTGGAACGCATGTTCCTACTCGTTTTAAAGTAGGAGTGGACGAAAAAATATTGTTAAATTGACACACTCGCATGTTGCACGCCATGTTGGTACTTAATCTCGCAGTGTAACGAGATTTTGCGAGACTACTTATATTTGCATACGATGAGTGTTGCAGGCAGTAATGGCGGACGACAAACAGAAAAGTGCCTTGATAAGAAGGCACGAACAGTTACTTCGGTGGCAGAACTCTGAAACAAACAACGAAGCAGTTGATCGACCTACACAGCCTGTAAAAGTTCAGTTTCAAGATGGATGTGTCTTTTTAGCAGCGTGTTCAAGCGGAGACACGGATGAGGTACAGCACCTCTTGGAGAAGGGTGCAGACATCAACACGGCAAACGTTGATGGATTAACAGCATTACATCAGGTACAGTTCATTTACGTTTTTACCAGTAAACCCCGAAATTTACCTATGGAGTCCTTGTTGTCTGTTCAGTACCACGATAATTTGAAAACCGATAAACCTTTCATGGGAGGGGGCATGCAAAAAGGATTGATTTTCAAGATGGCCGCCGTTGAAGGGGATGGTCATTTGCTCATCCTTACAGTTTCTCTCACGAGTCGAAGTGAAATCATAAAAACAACTCCCCATATAGCTTATTCAAACAATATATGGATGGAAAAGACCAAATTACATACGCGTCTATCTTTTCACAATACTACAAGTGAAAAACGAAAGTACAACACACCTTTATATTTGAATTTCTCTCTTATCATGTAATCTATCTACCTGGACACACTCTCTGACCCTGTTTTAAAAGTGGTGAGTTTAACTTTTATAATTTCCTTTAAAAAAAAATATAGAGGAGGTGGATTATTTAAAATACTTTATTATGGTAATCATTGTTAACTGCTGAAATTGTATTACTTTTCATATTTCGTTGTAAATATTTTGGGTTCTGAAAAAAAATACCACCTTGTCATTATTTCTACCTTAATTTCCTGCAATAAAACACCCTTGGGTTTATCACATCTCTGTGATCTTGAATGAGTTAAAGATTTCATTATCATCTAGAATGAATGTTAGATTTCATTATAATCAAATTATTAGTTTTTGTTAAATGCTGTGTATTCTAATTAATATTTAATTGATCATACTTTAACTTGTTGTTTCATCCATGAGCAGTAGTAGGCCAAGGAAGACAAGTGCACCAGTAAATTATTTCTGTTGTGCTTTAAATAATGCATTGTGTTTTTAAGTTTTACCAGGCACTGAAAATAGATTAAGAATGATGCAGTATTGACATTCATTTAGTTGTTAATAAATCACAGTGATATTTTGCAAAGAACTTGTTTTAAGGGATATGTTATCTATAAGACCAGGAATGTGTATATTTAAGACTTTGGCAATGTTTAGCAATGAATTTCCAGACTGATGTTAGCAAAGCAGCTGATATGTTTTGACATATGGCTAGTAAAACATATGGTATTGGTTAGCAGGCATGACCAGTAGCATTCTTCACCACCAGTAGTGAGTGCTGGTTGACCGCTGCTATCAATTTAGCTAGCCAACCTAGAATTATTAATTGCCTAGAAATAGGGTTGTTTCTTATTAGAAGATAAGCATCTGGAACTGGGCACTGAACCAGGGATCTCTTACCTGTGTACTCTTGGAGCACTGTGTGCCCATTGTATGCCTTGAAAGCCATATAAGTGACTCCTGGTACACCAATTTATGTGTTTGGAGGTGGAAAATATAGTTTAGGTCAAAAAATAAATTGCACTGGTAACTAGAAAATTGGGTTGGTAAGGTTTCTAGTAAGCTAGGGAATCTTTACTTAGTATTCTTTTGCTAAACTATGGTCTGCCTTTTATGTAGGCTGGTGTTGATAGAAACCATGTTCTATTTCTGTCTGATCGAAGAGTAAGCAATGCATCTTTTTTATTTAGGGGGAAGTGGAGGGGTATTTCTGTTATCAGTTGTCAGAATTTCCAAGGGAATGTTTTAGGACCTTTCGCTACTCTGCCGTCCTATGTTAAATATGTTCCTAACATCTATAGACAAAGTTCTAGATTGTTATCAGAAAAAGTGCATATATAATTTATATAATTTAACTGTTTAATGCATGTTGTAGTATGATGTCTTATTGCACAGTTAATGAGTTGGAGAGCAGAAACAACTGAATGTGAGTGGTTTACGTACCTCAATGGAAATTTTATATTTGAGGAATGACATCATTCATTTCTTCTGGAAGTATAACTGTTTATTATGTAACAATTACCAAACTTAAGCACTAATATTAATAACATTGGATGTAAGCAGTTCTTCACACCTAATATGCACAAAAATATTATCATATACTTGATTTGAAGCTTGTTTCCGTAATTGTCAGGATAAAAATCGTGAATCCCATGAATCATATTTTGTTTTTGGATATTGGGACATTTCTTGTGGAATGTCAGTGGGCAGTCTAGGCTTTGTAGCTGTTACATCATAGAGCATGTACCTTGTCAGTTTATCCATTAAGTGCATTTAGTGTTTAGTTACAACCAGCATGGGCAGACACAGGTATTTTCTCTTTAGTGTATCTGTGAAATCTTAAGGCAAACAACTGGACAAGGGCTACTTCAAGATATGTACTTATCATTCACTCTTGATATCATTTCAAGTCGGATGAGAAATCTTGGTGGAAAAAAAAAACATCAGAGATGTTATATGAGGAGAAATGCCATATTTTGATTTTGGGTTTAAATTCCAATAAAAAATACACAAACTTATGGTACATAAAATGTTGCACTTTGTCAGAAAGATATGATGAAGAAGGTATTGACCTTTTACTTTGTTGGAAAGGAATGAAGAAATGTTTTGTGTAAAGGAACTGAACATCTTGTTGTGTGGTTTGTCTGATAAGTGGGCGTAAAGAATACAGGAAGTAATAATGCTTTATCAAGGACTGAAAGTGTCTTTTTTTCTAAAGAAAATGGTCAAAATGATTTCCAGTATAGGGCTTACATGATAGGAAGTTAATGAACGTGTGTGTGTGTGTGTGTGTGTGTGTGTGTGTGTGTGTGTGTGTGTGTGTGTGTGTGTGTGTGTGTGTGTGTGTGTGTGTTGGTAAACTTTGCTGAAGCAAACCTCAAACTTTGCTTTAAATGGTAGTCAAGAAGATGGATTATTTTTATTTTGAAAATTGTTCAACTTATGTCTCTTTTACAAATTTAACCATGGGTCTCATTCTGCAAACATATACTTCAACTATACAGTGCATGACTTCTGAACTCCTGTATGTAAAATTGAATAGGAGATCAGAGTTACATGACTTTGTTATTGTATCCCCACTATGGCATCTTGAAACCTGAGCTCCCTGACACCATTAGGGCATGGGGGGAATATCCACTTCAGTGACAGTACATGGAAATGTATCCTTTTCAACTAAGTTGTGGTCAAGAATATAATACACAGTTAGTCATGAGATTCATTTGAAGGCTTTGAGCAGACATTATGTCAGAAAGATTTGGACTGGGTGACATCAAAGATGCGCTGTTAAACCTGAATGATCTTCTCATACATTTCTTCTTGAATAATATTGTCATAATTTTTCATACAAGTATATTAAGCTAATGGAATTGAAAAGCACTTTGTTTTGAGCAATATGATTTCTGATAAATTACACATTTTCAGATCTGATAAAGTTGAGTGGTTAGTGTATGTGGGTCAGATTGTTCAAAATAACCATTGCAAGTAATGCAACAGCTTGCCATCATAATCTGTATTTTCGACATGAAATTGCCCTTCTACATGTAACAGTGATATAATCCATTTTGAAATAAATATCTGTTTGCTTTTAGGCATGCATAGATGACAATTATGACATGGTGGAGTTTCTGCTGGAATATGGTGCTGATGTGAATGTTTGTGATAATGAAGGGTGGACACCCCTTCATGCTACTGCTTCATGTGGTTTTGTAGAAATTGCAAGGTAAGTGTAATCTGTTGGGTTTATTTTTTTAGCTGTCACTATGAAGTGCTACCTAGAGGAAGCTTTGATCCTCAAATCTAGTTACAAGACAAACTGCATGGATTTATTAAATTTAATGTGAAAAAAACAATTGGTGGCAACCTCCAACATACATTACTGGTTTTGAGCAAGGATTATTGGCATAAAACCTTCTTAGCTCGTGATATGTGTCATATTATATGATGAATGGGTAAACTATGGTATCATAAATCTGTTTATATCTGTAATTAGATTATCAAATTGTCCTGATGACAGCGACATGGTTGATGAGGTCAGAGTGGTGAGTCCACTGCTGAACATTAATTGCATTGTTAGGTGAAGATGGACACATTTACCTCCCACCTTTACCACTTGTATTGCTTGAAGCAATTATTGGAGTAATATGCTATTCAAATTTTATAATTTTTGGAAATTGTTGAAGTCAGACTGTAAAAAGTGTGGAGAGACAAAAGAGATGTACTTCTGTGTCTTGTGTAAAACAGTGACTTTTGTCATTACTTAAAAAACATGAAGCAACATGGATAAGTTATGGTCTTTTAGCTTTATTATGATTGATGTGCAGACTATTTAAGAAATAAGAATAGCTCTATTAGATAATGCATGTTATGCTGATGTTCAACCTCATTCTTGAGAGGCCAAGCAACATATTCTATGCTTGTGCTATTTCTCATCAGGAATTCCTGTAATTCATATTGAACTGGATATGTTGTAACCAGATATTACATCAATTCTGAAGAAAAACTGTCTGGGTTGTCTTAAAAAATACTTTTGTGTTAAAGGCCCTATGGCAAACTAAAATTGAATAAAATGCTCCTTATTCTGTGGGAGACTTTCTTTTGAGGCAGATTTAATCATGTTATTCTTACCTAGTTTGTATGTATAGAGAAGGTCAATCAAGGAGAAATGCTGAAATGAATGTTATATTTTTGTAAGCATGTTTTATAGTAGGAGTTGGGTGGCTGTAACAGACATTACTTTTTCCAATATTATGTGCGGTTGAAAATATTCTCATCTAGATCTATAAGAAACACATACCTAGTGGTACTGTTTGTGATTTACATTGTCCCTCTGGGTTTGTTTGGGTTGAATCTTTGCGTAATGCCTCATTGATAAGCAAGAAGAAGTTGTACTTGTGAGATGAAGCCAGAAAAGGCATACTGTGTGTAATGAATATCTCAGGGAGATGCATGGTTACACCTTTTTTGTTTGAAGTTATATAGATGACATAATTTTTGACACACCCCCTGGGACTGGCAAGGAACAATCGGTGCACACAATGTGTCTATTTAGAACATGAGTACAGAATCTCAGGCATAAAAGTTACCCTTGGGGTGGGGCAGAAGGTGACTATGTTTTCAAGAATGAATTACACAATTTTACAGTTCAACTGGTATTTGGTTCGAAGGCCTATCAAAAATATGCTCTGTATTTGATAGAAAATTTAATCAGATTTCCTTTTCTCTACCCCAAAGGTTCTGAATTTTATTTAGTGCTGTGTGTTTTTCTGCATTGAATCAAAAGAAATTGGTCTTGTTTATAGTGTAGATCCCTATGTACAATCCCCCTTTTAGCAAACATCACATTTTGCTTTATATAAGTAACTAACTTCGCTCACACCTGCCTCAATCAATTATAAACAAAACAAATGTTGTTTTCAGGTTGTTACTTGAAAATGGTGCTAATGTGGCAGCATGCAACAATGATGGAGACTTGCCATTTGATCTTGCTGAGGGAGATGACATGGAAAGGTTGCTGGAAGATGAAATGGATAAAAATGGTATGAAGATGTTTGCAATTTGCAAATGTACATTGGAATAAGATGTTAAATGTAAAAGAAAATCCTGTGAGAAAGTAAATGTAACAGACATGTCAGGTTACACAGAGAGCTCTCATTTTAGATTTTGTGTAAGATTTTTATGTATCATAGTTTATGGTATGTGTTGTTTTGTAGGAATTGATGCTGAGGCTGCAAGACAAGAGGAAGAACAAATGATGCTGGCAGATGCCAACCAAATGTTGAACAACCCAAGGCTGGCCAAAGTCAAGGTGCATGCAAAAACAGGAGCTACTCCTCTCCATGTTGCTGCAGCAAAGGGCTACCTCAGAGTGATGAGGTAACAGCTTATTATATTCGGAAACATTTAGAAGCATAAGGTCTTATTTGTGTGTTGGTTTTGTTTATGTAATTTCAGTTCAAGTCAGTTCTTTGTTAATATTGTTTTCCCTATTGTGCGGAAACACTTGTGTTATGACAAATATTCATTCAGTTGGAGATCTGAACATCTAGTTGCTGTAAAGACATTTGAATGCTCAGCAATTTTTAAATTCCTTGCATTTGGTTCTATCTCAGAGATAATGTAACAGAAGACCCTGAGAAATATTTCTGATTTTTTTAAAGCATTCTCCTTCAAGCTGGGATGGACATTGATGCCAAAGACCATGATGGCTGGACGCCCCTCCACGCTGCTGCCCACTGGGGACAGGAAGAATCTTGTAAGATTCTAGTAGAAAACATGTGTGATATGGAGGCAAGAAACAATTCAGTAGGTGGAATTTATCTTCTCTTAGAGCCATGTTGATTTACAATATTATTGTGTTATTGTCATAATTTCACAGCATATTTCTAAAGAATATCTGTTTTGAAAAAATTTTAATTGATAAGTTCAGATTTTAAGAGAATGGTGTATTTTTCTTAGATGATATTTTTTAATTTAGTCATTTAAATCTCATTCTTAATTTAGGGCCAGACTGTCTTTGATGTAGCAGACACTGATCTTCTCAAACTGCTAGAGGAGCTTAAGAAAAAACAAGCAACAGTAAGTGGTCAGGCTGGTAACTCAAGAGACAGTAGTTTTATGATGATCAGCATTACTATTGAAAACTTAATATTGATGTATATTTGAAAATTGTTATAATTTTCTTTTATATTAAGCTTCTTTTGGGGGGTAGGAGTGGGGCTATATTTAAACTTTGTGGAGATTAGATATTGCGGGTATGGTTATTATGTTTTCTGGCAAGTTTGAATTCTATTTTAGCTCAAAGTGGACAAGAAAACATTGGACAAAGAGATTATTACAACAAATAAACCAATGAAGAGGAGGTATGAGTCCCACATACTTAAGTGATGGGTCTGTTGTTATATTTGTGTCAAATATGAAATTATATTCAGATTAGATTTTCTAATAAATCACCAAAAATGAGTAAATTGTAATTGAAGAAATCTGTCAAGTGAAATTAAGTTGTTTTTTTTTGCTGAAGTGAATATTTAAAATTTGTCATTTCTTTTATGTTTAGAACATCTGTCACCAGAATGAGTATAGATCAGAAGCAGCACATAATATCACAGAATGTAAATCAAGAACGCCTGCAGCTTGAGGCCTTACTCAACCAGCCCACAGACGATGGGAAGAAGAGTAGCTCTAGTAGTGAAGAAAGTAGTGAGGAGGAGGACGACGAAATTGAATCTTCTGACTCAGAAACAGGTAGCTACCTTATGGGTGTAGTTGTTTTTCTCCTTTTTTACCTGCAGTGCAGCCAGATAGGTCTAAGGTCGCGTAATAAGTCTACCTTTTCTCAGTCTAAATCTAAGATTTAGCTAACCGAGGCCATTTCCACTGCTGGTCCTATTAAGTCTGAAAGATTGTTATGTTGACAATAAATATCTGAACCATTTGAAGGGGTTGGTGGGATAAGATCAAAGCTCTTTGTCCCTGGGTTAAATATCATAGCATGTTTCAGTGTNCTTGAGGCCTTACTCAACCAGCCCACAGACGATGGGAAGAAGAGTAGCTCCAGTAGTGAAGAAAGTAGTGAGGAGGAGGACGAAATTGAATCTTCTGACTCAGAAACAGGTAGCTACCTTATGGGCCTAGTTATTTTTCTCCTTTTTTTACCTGCAGTGCAGCCAGATAGGTCTAAGGTCGTGTAATAAGTCTACCTTTTCTCAGTCTAGATCTTCTAAAATTTAGCTAACCGAGGCCATTTCCACTGCTGGTCCTATTAAGTCTGAAAGATTGTTATGTTGACAATAAATATCTGAACCATTTGGAGGGGTTGGTGGGATAAGATCAAAGCTCTTTGTCCCTGGGTTTAATATCATAGCATGTTTCAGTGTAAAAAAAAAAAGAAAGAGAGAAAGAATAACATTATTTGTGATATGGAATGTTGTTTACAGTTGTGTTTGCTAAAGTAAAGGAAGTGTCTAACTCATATTTTTACAATTTGCAGAAAAACAGAATGAGATCAATAAACAGGCCACAGCCAAAGCACAGGTAAGTGTTCTTCATAGTACTGGAGCAGGCAAATCACATAGATGCTACAAAAGCTGGAGATTGGTTGTGGCAGGGGTTGGTCATATTCTGCGCTGTGTAGTAATAACATTTTTCACACTGCATACCACTGTTGTAGAAAAATACATGGTGGTATGTTGATTGATAGAGACAAGTTGATAATGTCAGAAAGTGCAGGTGAGTTCAGTGTAATTTATTGGACAGTTTACTTTTGCTGAAATGCAAGGACCTTGGGTGATTGTATAACAAATGCTAGTGTGACCTAACAGATACCAGGTAAGGGATAATTAAGCCACTTCACCAACAATTTGGGGTGCAGGGATCAGATATAATATTAACATTTATAAGCTAACCAAAATGGATACTCTACCTCTTTCACATAAATGATATTCGTAATTGGTCAGCTTATCATTTTAATAAACTGCAGCATGTACTGGTGCATAATGTCAATGGCAATGAACATGTTGTCAAAGGCATACAATTAGTTGACAAGTGTTATGATGAGTTTCAGAATTAGATGCTAGAAATGCTCTATGAAATATAATGCAGTTAAACATATCTGTAGTTTATGTTGCTGGTGCTATGGTGTGCGGGAAATAAAGATAGTGGTACTTCAGCTAGTGGTTGAGGTGGCGGCAACATGAGCGGTAACTTTACTAATGTATATATACATATGCATATTTTGAACAGGGTGCAGAACCATTTCCTTTCACTTCATACTAAATTAGGTGAGGTGAAGGTGAACTGCCTGGTTAGTGAACCACACAATGGATGCACATTTTCAAAGATTTTCCGTGTTGTTTACACCTGATTACATCTGGTCTGGTTTTTCTTTACTTCCTTGCAAAGCAATTTTGGTTTGTTACAGGATGGAAAACTCGAGTTTGTAGAAGCAAAATATTGTAATTATATTCAGATGTACCCCCTGCTCCCCACAAGGGTTATCACCCCAAATTACAATGCCTAATGCTTAATCTGCACCCTGTTTATACCAATTCCTAGAATATATCATTTATCTATTTTCATGAACATTTACTTTGATTTGATTCAATATGTATAGTTTTTTTAATCAACAGGTATGTTATTTTTTTGTACAATTCATTTAAAGTAGTCATTTAGTCCCTTCTATGCAAATGACGTCACTTATGCTTGTACAGTAATAATTCTTATTGTGTTATATTATCACATAGCTGTTGATTAAAAAAAAAAAATAGACTATATTTTAGTGAACCACACAATGGATGCACATCTTCATAGACTCTCCACTTTATTTACATCTGGTTATGGCATTGTGCAAAAATTGCTAAGGACTTAAGGGTTATTAGTAGACATTGCTTGTATCAGTATACTAAACTATGTCGCTGTAATCTTGTTGGCGGCCATTGCTTGTGTATGCTTATGTCTCTGCTCTCTTTGCTTCTCTGAAAGGATACTGTAACTACCACTACTGCTGCTGCTGAGACTCCAACAGAACCTGAACCTCAAATCTCTGAACCTGCACCCACTCCTAAAATAGAGGAGATTACAACAGAGTTTAAACTGCCTCTGCCACCTCAAATTGGAGATGGTCCCTCTGTGGACAGTGAGAAGAAAGAGAAAGAACCTGAACAGAATAAGAAAGGAGAAGATGGAGATAAGAATGAGGTGTTTGGTACTAGTGAAGAAAAGAAGCCATTAACTGATGAGGAAAAGAGGGAAGCGGAAGATAAGGTATGGGGGAACTTAGTGAATAAGGAACTACTTCTGGTGGAGTATTGCATTTGCTGTATTATTTGCCAGTATACCATGATTCCTTTTGATTTAAAAAGATCCGAAGGGGTGACTGCAGAATATCAAAACATGGCTAGCTTGGAGAATCAATTATATGTAGTATTCCTGAAGACTGAAATCCTTCTTAACCTTATCTAATATTCAGATTACTGACTGAATGTACCTAAAAATGATAAATATTTATCTTTGGTATTAAAAAATGATCGAATAAACTGTCATGAGAGAGAGAATAAATAGGAAAGCTTTTGTTCTCTAAGAAGTATGTACACTCAGAAGTGATATATTGACCCAGTCTGGATAGCCATGTTTTGTAAATTCACACCACACTTTGCACTGACAGACTAAGGTGTTGTGCCTCTGGTTCTTGGATATTTAGAGGCCAGGTAAGTTTGTTTTATAGGTTGCCCCATGGAAATGCTTTTCTCATTATCACAATCACAAAAAAAATTGATTTGCTTTCTAGTGAATCATAAGAAAATAATTTCCTGCCCATTGCTTCATATTGCCACATGTAGACTGTGTTTTGATAGTTAGGTGTGCTTTGCTTGTGAGTTGGTGTCATTTTGCTCAGCATACAGCCTGGAATTGCAGTTTAACCATCGTTTGAAAATAATGTAAAACAATTGAGTTTGAAAGAAATTGCCCCCATATGATATATTTCCAACATGTGTCAGATTTATTTGCACCATGTGGCAATTCAAAAATGGAATTTTTTCCACTTCACATGATTTTAAAAACAAACTTGTGTGGAATTTAAGAAAATTTAGGTGGAAAGGAAAATGTCAGGCATCTATAGAAGAAAGGTAAGATACAGTGTGTACCCTTTCAAAGTTGAGCTGGTGAATCATGTGTTTGATGTGATATTTAAAGGTTAGCTGGAACATTATAAGCATTATTTTCAAGTCATGGAAGAACATTTATTTTGACTGTTCAACTCTGCAGTAGTAAGTTTTGAAAGGTCAGCATATCAGGTAGGCAGACGTAGACAGCATGGAGTCACGTGGTTTCTGCTGTCATTTGTTGTTGAGTGATTATCAGTGTCAGCTTTTTTGAATCTCTTTAATTGGTGTGTTGGGGTTGTCCAACCTGACACACCTTGACTGTATTCCTGGAAACATGACCTGTTGTTAAATTCAGTCTCGAAGTAAACATGTTAAACTGGGAAATACAACCAGTTCTTTGGAAAGAATCATTAATTTTACTGAAACATCAGCTGACAATTGCTCGCTCAAGTGGAATTGAGCAGAAGTTGGAAAGGTTCTGTGTCAGGAATAGGAAAAGAATGTTTGCAAAGTAAGTGAAATCAGTATGGCCAAGATGGTCTCTTCTGTGGAAAGCTTGTTTCTTGCTACAGGTATATTTCTCCATTGTTATCATTTTGCAAGTAACAGTAAATGAACTGAGTTGTAACTATGCCTTATTTAGATTTGTATTGCAGTTCATGCTTGTAGAAATTTACATGATGGCCAGACTTAAGTAATGATTTTATACATTATACTGAAAAAGGCTGCATGGTGTCATTTTATTTCAGAGGAATTTTTTTTGTTTCTTAGTTTAGGTGTCATAAGTCAAATGTTGTATATGAGTTATATTTTATTTAATACTAGAGTTACAGCTCAGTTGCCAGAAATACCTCAGTGGTGACTTCTCTGTATTGCTTTTGAAGATTCCATTCTGCTATAGTTCTCCCTATCTTCTTGCGTGAGGATCGGCTAACACATTTGATGTAGTATTATGAAAAATTTTCATTTTCTCTATTATTTTTGATGATCCATTGTAAAAAAGGAAAACTCAATATTTTACTTTCTCTCTTCTTCACTTTCAAAACATGATTGAAAGAAATTTGTAAGAAAAATAAAATTTTCAGAAAAAAATTATGAAAAAAGAATTAGTTATGAAATCAAATGTGGTGAGCCAATTTCCCTGAGTGTTAATCTGTTGTTTGCATACTTGCGATTGTGGTGTTTGGCTGACTGCTTTTGGTGTTGTTTTGCTTCTGAAGGCCTCAGTTCAGCCAGCAACCTTACACAGTAACCTTGAGCGCCAGTCCAGTGCTCCGGCCAGGATAGCAGGCCAACGACAGGTAAGAACTGACCGCGCTGTCTTGAGATACAGGTGACCTAATTCCTTGCACAAATTTAAGAACATTTATTGTGGAAAAAAAGTTTATATGCCAGAATGAACATGGTTAGCCTTGTGTTGGTAACAGTCTTTGTGCATGCATCATCTTTGCCACAGTTATAAAAAATACCACCTTGTTAAGCAAAACATATGGTGCCAACATATTACATTCTGTTTCAGTACATTCTCATTTTATTCAAATCCAAGACTTCTCCATTTTTTGTGTAAAAGGAAAGGTCAAGTTCAAGATGCTCAGGTTAAGCGCATAGTTACTTATTTGGTGCAGACATAAGCCAGTAGATAGTATTGACTGAAATTGGTTATGTACTAGGATAGTCTCCTTATTATCTACTGGCTTCAGTACTGCTAGAGATAATGAATGCTAAAACACATGGGACTCATGGCTCATCACAAACAATACATGTGCTCAGAGTGACCATCTTTAATAATTGCACTGATGGCACTTTATATTCTTTCATTGCACACTGATTCTCACATAACTAACATGAGGAAACTTAAAAGAATATATGTCACAGAAACCTTGCTTTATTTTCAGGTATCAAACCATAATATTTTTCAGTCTGTAAGAGCATGAAATAATTGTAGAAATAATTTCTTGCCTGGGTGTTAGCTCTGTACAGTAGTTGAAAGGCATACATTGAATCATTATCACTACAAAGAATATCCTTTTTTTTGTGAAACTTAAAAAAAGAAAAAAAAAATCTTAGACCACATATAATATAGTAGACAGAGGACATGAAACACTGTTTCACTTTTGTAAGTCATTCCTTTTGATGTTTTAGCATGATTTGAATAGAGCATCAATGCCTGTGCTCAAAAATAAAGCTTGAGAATTTGCATGTAACCTGCAGTGTGGGTATGAAGATCAGACCTTCGATATAAAGCATGATCTTTATTTTTTTTTAACCCAAGTATCATATTTCCTGAAACAACTGTAATATCTGGCTGGTGAATTTGAATACTTTTGCTCTGGTTTTTAATTTTTAGCAAGAAGCCTAAACAATTTTGTGTCTGAAAATGAATGAGTTGTCATTGTATCATCTCATGTCAAACTTGCCAGATATTACAGAAACACCTCGGACTGTTCACTAACCCTTGAGTTTTGGCCTGACATGTTTGCATGTTTGCTTCAGGCTCCCACTTTCTCCCCAAGACCACTACAAAGGATGTCTGACTCCGATGCAGGACCTGCATCCTGGCGAGCTGGTCTCAGGAAAACAGGTAGTTCCAGCGCAGTCCCAGAGAGCAAGAAGGATGCAGAGACTGACACGCTGTCTAAAGTACAGAGGTCTGCATCTAGTCCATGGCTGGCCTCCGAGAAGAAAGAGGAAGTAAGTCAGCAGGACTCTGGTGTGTGCCTCCACTGTGGAGGAGAATGCTTTCTGGCAGAATTAAGAAAGCTTTTCACTTTTTTTTTCATTTCTGTACCATTGCAGATTTTTGTTATTGTTGATGTATTTGTTACCCAGTGTGTGTTTGTCTTCTGAGTCGGCCTGCAGGAAAATATTGATATATTTTATTGCACCCACTTGTGTATGTACATAACAAAGAGGCGATTCCATTGTTGCAGAATACTGAAATTCTCTTTTCTGTTAACTCTATTGCCCTTGGATGATAAAACATTAGCCTTTGTCTCTCTTTTTTATGTTTCATTGTTCTGTTAACCTGTTTGTCTGTGTGTTTGTTCCTTATGACATAGCAGCAACTTGCTTTTCTAGAATAGTACAGGTGAGTGAGTGAAAATCTCTGCAGTGAAATAAATTGAAACATTGAACTTTTGTTTTACAGACTACAGGAAGAAGCAGGGGTACATATGCTGGCAGTGCTGCACAGGATAGTCTGGAGCAGAGGCAGAGAGGAGATAGGTATGTTCACCATGTTAGATTTAAGGCAGATTTTTTTCTGAAACATGCCGCTGCCATTACAGACATTAGTTTTTACTGTCATAATAGACCTTTGCACAGTTTTAACCACACTGTTTTTATACATTTGTCAAAAAAGTTTTTAATCACCTTCTCATACATTTTCCAAAATAGAATTGACTTCAATTGTTTAAAAATTTTCAAAAAGGGAATTGATTTCAGGAAAGTGCATAACAAAGTGAATGCAAAATGTGCATGTGTGCTGGTTCAGTTTTGATACAGTGCATTTTATATTTTGAATTGAAATGAGATAATTCTAAAAGTGACCTGTTCAGTGTGTTTTGTTGCAAATGTTAACAGCATGTTTATTTGGATTATTTTAATTGGGATTGTTTCATGAGATTTTATTTTTGTATGTTAAATTTTTATTAGACACAGATGGGCTTACGGGTATGTGCAGTTAAAGGATTGTTTTTGCTTTTTTCCTTTTGACCCACCCTATTCCTTTTGTCTCAATAAATTTTGTTCAATTTAACCTGCTTAAAAATAATTATTGCCATATCAAATTACATTATGTCTCCTTTCTATATTAAATTCAACTTTTTATTTGGAATGATGAAATTAATGAATTAATTTTTTTTTTTGGGGGGGGGGGCTATTTTTATATATGACAAATACCTTAACAGTAGGATTTGATTGAAAAGCTTTGTTTCTGATTCTAAATCTCCATCAATCATTGCTTTATAAAACATCAAATAGTTATAAAAAGTTGAAAAAAAAATGAATACCACCAGCAAGCGCAGATTTTGCAAAATCACAGTATTCCAAGTACGTCATTGGTTCACCCTACAAAATTAAACAGATGGAAACAATTTGATGATATCATTCACATAAGATAATTTTTTGCTTGATTATCATGATGTTTGTTACATAGCAGCTTTTTATCATAGTTTCTGTACAAGCATTAGTGTCAGTTTTGGATGGTTTGGGACATGGATAGATTAAAAGAGTAGCATATATATATATATATATATATATATATATATATATATATATAAAGACATTGCTGTATCTTCTATAAATTTGCTTATTACAATATGGACACCTGACAAATTCTAATACATCAGATGAATCAGTCATGGTAACACTTACACTTGCTGGATTTTGATAGTTTTTGATTTGTAGGAGCAGGAAGGTTTAATATACCAAGTAGACTGCTAAAATGTTATTGAAACTATTACTCATTAAATGTCCCTGGTTGGTGCATGATGTCCCTCTAACCAATGCATGTTTCCGTTTCTTTTTTTCTGCATGTGCTTGCCACATGCTTGCAGGATAACCTACCCTTACCCCACCCGTAGCAACTATACTGCCAATTACCTGAACTCACTACAAAATTCCACGGGCGGATTAACACAGTCAGCATATGTGCCATATTCACGCAGGAGGCAGATGGAGAACGAGAGGAGAGAGCGGGAACGGGAGCAGCAGCAGCAGCAAGAAAATGGCGATGCCACCTCTGTCAGTTATACCATCACTTTGCCTTCCCCTGCCACTGCTACCACTGGCACCACAACCACTCCAGTCAGGAGGTAAACATTGAGACAAAACACTAGTCATCACAGAGGATCTTTAGTAATTAATGGAGTTGAATGGAATTTGATGTGGTTGCATTAGTCTTGTGTGGTGTGAAGTATAGTATTATAAGTGGATTGGGGACGTACCTCGAGTTGAAGTATCATCTGTTTCTTCACCATCTCTATCACCTGTGCATTGTTCATCATCAGAGTTTTTTAGCGCTATGTGGAGATTGTGTTGATGATCACACACTAGTATGTAAGGTTGATTGATCAGTGCTACATAGAAACTGTTATATCCATATGTCTTTGAATGCATTTTTATATATATTAAAAAATCTTTCAAAGAAATAACTGCATGTGGAGAAAGTTAAGTGATGTTTCTTTTCTCAGGTCATACTTGCCTCCTGCTAGAGATGAAGAGAGCGAAACTCAGAGAAAGGCCAGGGCTAAGAGGTCAAGGGAGACAAGAAGGTCGACACAGGTAATGTATTCTGAGAAACTGGTATTAGTTCTTATTCGATAAATGAATGAGTACACCAATAATTAGTAAATTTACTATTATACCTAATACCAGGAGGTATAATGCATATAATTTTAAAAAATTTTAATTTATAGAACTATTATAGGGTACAATTTGATGGTGTCCTGTAAAAAAAAAAAAGACTGGAGTACTTAGCATCTACTTGAAAATCCAGTTTATTTTATAACCTAAAATCTTTTGTATGCAGGGTGTGACCCTAGAAGACTTAGAAGAAGTCCTTGCCAAACAGAAGACTCAACAAGGCCCAGCACCTGCAGCCACGGCTAAAGACAAGGAAGCTACAAAACCGAGTGCAACAGAGGACAGTAGCAGTCGTGGAGAACGGCGGAAAGCCTTAGAAGAGGTATCTTTAGACTGTTACATCTGTGCATGAAATTGTGCATTTGAATTAAGGATAAAGATATCTGCAGTGATCCATGTTTATGGGGTACTTGACCTACAGGTCATGGTGTCTGTCATGCTTAAGATGAGTTTTCAAACTAATTGAAATCTTGGAAGTGCAAAAATTACGGTTAACTCTTATCTAATTATTTTCGTTTGCAGGATGAAAGCAGAAGTGCAAGAAGGACAAGAGAAAATAGAGATACAAATACAGCAACTGCAGCACCTACAGCTAGCACTTATGACTCAGGTCAGCACAGGATTAGTTATAGTAGCTCATTTAGAGTAGTATGAACAATTTATTCCTTATATCATTTTCTGTCTAATTTGACCCATTGTCACTCCCTTTTGCTTGTAATGATTGCCTGTCAATATTGATGCTGAACCCGAAGCAGAAATGCCATGCTTGTTTGCTCCATTGGAAGACTTTTGAATAATTAATGAGAACTTGAATTGTGGCAAATGTTGTGCTAAAAGTGAGGGTGGGGTGGCATGGATGTAGTAAAACTTCCCAGAACTGGCATGCTGTAGATTTTCCATCATCCTGCTTTATACGCAATTCTTTATTTCTGTGGTTATACCTAATACACATGTAAAACAACACAGGGAAACATACACAGATATTTACCAGAACAAGCCTTAAAATATGACTCTGTCCATAAGTCCCATGTTTATAAGTTGACTCACTGGAAAACAATTTTATTTTCTACTGAAAGTACTTACAACTGTACAGTGTGCCTGATCATTGTTGTATACTACAAGTACTGTTAAGTGTCCCATAGCATGATTCTTTCCTATATGTAGCATGCTAGTTCGTTAACTGAAGTGTGTAAAGTGTGCAGACCTCAAATTTTCTGGAATGTCCAGCAACAAAAGTTACAGAGTTGACTGGAAAAAAAAATGATGCCACTAGCCTGTTGTAAGCATGTAGAGTTCATCTCAGAATTTTTATCTGGTATTTCTTACACTGATGATGAGAGATTTCATTTATTTAATGCACTTTTATCATCGACATGAATCAGAAATTGCACATTGGCGAGAATAACTAACTTTTTAACAGAATTCAGTGCACAGGAATATCAGTACCTTCACTGTATTTTTTTAATGCATGTTGGAGACTTTTGCATGCCCCATTTTTGTCTTTTTCCAGGTTATGTACCACGTAGTTTAAGAAATTCACAGTTCTCTGATAGCACAAACTCTACAACCACATCTAGTTTAACAGACACTACAACAGGTCTTAATAGGACTCCTTCATATAGGTGTAGATATAATAAAAGTGAAGAGGAGGATAAAAAGGAAGAAAAGAAGGAGGACACCAAAGAAAAAGAGAAGGAAAAAGATAAGGAAAGCAAAGGTAAAGGCAACTTTGCTTGGCAGTATAGCCCAGGGGAACAGTACATTTTACACTCACCACATTGCTGACACACGAGGCCTGCATGTTCCTTCCATGTGCATGATGTTATTGCATGATTCCATTGATTACATCTCCCACAGTGATTGCTACCTCATTGATTGTATTTGTAGATTGCTGCAGAAAATCGCATGAAATACTTTGATTTTCAGTTTCTGTATTTAGAGTACTCAATTACTATTTTGTTCATATTTACTTGGTTGATATGCTCACATTATAGCTGGTGGATTAATGCAATCTACATTTCTAAGTAAAAAAACTAACATTTTGCTAAAAGCTTTGGTGATAGGAACTTATTATGATATATCAAAAGCTGGTTTCAGTTTCAGCTGTTGGTCACAGTGTTGTCATATTTTACAGAAGACCCCAGGGATAAATCGTCCGCCATACGTGCCAGAAGAAAAAGAACTGAAAGGAGGTCTACTGGCATTGTATATTTTAATGAGGTAAGCTTTCATTTTAAGGATAAAATATTTTGGTTGCACTAAAGATGGAAGACTAAACATGTCATGGACTTGGGGAGATGCTGGAGAGAAATAACCCCTTAAGCTTAAAGACTGCCTCTATTTTATGAAGCTTTACGAATTCTGGTTATTTAGTTTTATGTTGTTTTTAGGAAGCAGAAAAGAACAGAGAAAAGAAGACAGAAGAAACAAAAGAAGCCTCAGATGGGACAAATGGGACAGATGTGAGTATCAAGCATGGATTACGCTTTGAAATAAATGGTATTTCCTGTTTTTTGCATTCTGTAATCTGTTACTTTGAGTCAACAGACATTTTAACTCTCTGCTACAAATTCAGTAAATTCTTCCGCCCTGTCAGAATACCAGTGGTGTGATATAGATTATCCAACACAATCCCTAAAATGATTATTGTTTCTGAGGTATTTGCAAAGTGTGATAGTGATATTGTTACATGCTTCTCTGTAGCATTTCCATAATATGTTGGTGTATGTTTCTCGCTTCAATATTTGAAATGATTGATTCAGAATGCAATGCTTTCTTGTAGATATTATGCACAGTTACATGTTTAGGGCTAAAGGATTCCAAAGTAAGATATCAAGAGCAATATCTATTACAGCAACAAGTAAATCAGATTATTTTGAATGGAAAAAAATATATGTTTGAACATCAAAAAAATTTATAAAAATAGTCAAGTAAAAAGTAAGCTTTTATAACGGAATGGAAGAAGGAAATAACCAGGTTTCAGCTTTGTTATGTATGCTGTATTTATCACGAAGTCAGTTTTAACAGTTGTTTATATTGTTGAATGAAAACGTGTGATCTCTGTTACTCTTTCTCATTTCTGGTTACTTACTTGATGTTATATTTGCAAAGCGGAATGGTTTAAATTTGTAACACACTGCATTTGTTGCTTAACCAAATACAGTTATGTAAGACTGGTATAGAAAGTATTTGGCCTTAGCCATGGACCGATCTGATAACTGGATTACCATAGAAGGGGTAAAGGATTTTTCTGCTCTACCTTGCCATGATGTGCCCTGTCACATTGTAATTTTGAATCTTTGTTACCATCAGTATCACTTTCGATAGTATAGATGTGTTTGTGAGGGGGGCAGAAATGTGTTGTATTGATGTTGATTCATAAATCAAGATTGTGGTTAATGCAATATTTACAATGTGGATAGGGTCTGCAAATAATCCTTTTATTTGGTATTTACTATGTGGACAAAATGCATTGTTTACTTTGAGTTGTATCCATTTCCAGTAATGTGTGTGTGCTTCCTATTGAAAGCTGTTCTACCCTAAATTTTGCCGCCCTCGAGCATTTTAATTGCATTATTTGGCGAGATGTCAGTGAATTCTAAAGATTAGCTAGGTATTTTTACCTCTACTTTGTCAAGTCCGGTGCACCAGCTTAGCATATAAAACGTATAAATATTTAGAGTGCACTCAAGTGCATGGGAGGATTTTATAAAGGGAGCTGAATAGTTGGCAGTATGGAAAGGGAAATGCATGTAATTACCTCATCTGAATTCACACGAGTTCCAGCAAGGAATTTTGGGGGGTGAACAGAAAGAAAAAATTAGTTTATTTGTAATGTCTATGTTTTCACATAAAATTTGAAGTAATATGGATTCAAAATGTTGAATAATGCATAAAACCTTAAAGGTGCATCTGAACAATTCTAGAAAAAGTCTTCTCTTCTCTTTAATCAGTCCTTCTCTTAAGCTTATAAAAAGGTGAAAAGGTCCCTCAAAAGGTGTGAATTAGCTGCAGTACAAGGTAGCTGAACTGATGGCTATGGGTGGGCATTCCCATGAAATGTGCTGATACAGAAGAAAGTATATGCACCAAAGGGGATTCAAGGAGGAAAATAAGGATGTAGTTTTTTCAAACAGTATGGATGTAAGGAAGAAATTTTATTTTGAGGCCTGTATTCATCTCTGGAATTGATTAAAAGTAGCTCCTTTCTAAAACCAACTGACCTTTTGACCCAACAAATGCAGATGTAGTTCTTGTATATAAAGCATGTGAAAAGGTGGCATGGGTTCTGCACAGAAGGCAATAGGATTGTGCTACAATCGGCCTGCTCTATAGAATGCACCCGGCCGCAACACAATTGATGCTGATACGTTGTTACTATATGGTTAGCCCTACATTTAACTGCTCCATTGCTGGTAGCCAGGTGGATTGGTCAGCTTACATGTGCAGACGGTACCTGAAAACATCTGTAGGAAGAATGTTGGCAGGATATTTGCATTGGTGTAGTCCTGGCAGTAGGGGTTAAGGCATATTTATTAAAAATCCATTTGTCTGCCTACCTATTTCATGAGTATATTCCAGAAAGGCACCAGTTGTTGCATTGCCACTTGTGGTTGGGACTTATTTTAAAGGTTACGGACCAAACATGTCACTGTATAAGCACAGTTGGATCAGGGACGGAGACTGGCAGAAATATCAATGTAAATAATATTGCCTCAGGTGGACTAAGGATTAAGTTGTATAATCCCTGTATAAAAAGTCATTGGGTGAAGTATTGATTACACGAACTGGGGCTCTATTTGGGCCTGTCTGTATACAACATAGCCCTGTGTATAGGGAGGAAAGAGAAGTGCTAATACCAGTCGTGCTCTCAGTGTGGGGGTGAACTTTATCTCAACACTATGATGAGTAAGCACAGCACTGCGCCCAGGTAAATAACTGGAGGAATTGTGCAGCAAGGTGAAACCAAAGTGCACTTTGATATTGAAGCTGGGAAGGGACAACTAAGTGAGCACTTTGGATACTTGTGCTGGAAATAAACTTTCAGCCAGAAAAAAGTGATTTTCAGTGCACCAGTCCAGGTAGTGAATCTCGTTTCAAGGATACTTCTTCGAAGGAATTATTTGATTCATCAGTCTTTCGTTTAATAATAAGGTGGAGAGTAACCTTGGAGTTTTATGGCATTTTCACTTAGATTCCTCACCTTTTAAATAGTATATTGGTAAAAAGATTACATTAGCAGAAAGCTGAATAGTTTGAGAACAGGTGAGACAGACATGGATATTTGTCTGGCTTCATACCAACTGTGCCATAAATATCATTACTGAAGCAGCTGAGACGTATACATGGTTAACTTTTCTTCAACAGTACATCACTATATAGGATGAGATTGATTTGCAGAATTGGATGCTGATCCTATTATTGGCTGTGTTAATCCCTGGGCAATGTTTGCTGAAGTTTGAAGGCATTGGAACTTGTTTATCAGACCACAGAATATTTCCAGTAATTTAAGTAATAATCCGTAACTTGGCACCTCAGTATGTCTTATGGTGGAGGATATGGATCATATGGCTCTAGCCGTTATAGTCCAGCTAGTTCATATACTGGAGGTGCAGGCTCTTCCTATACTTCACCATACACATATGGAACCACATATGGATCAGGTGGACATGGATCGTCATACGTGCCAGGGTCATACTCGAGTCCTTACAGTTCCAGTTCCTATGGGACAGGTAGTACAGGATCAACATACATCCCTGGATCGTACAGCTCTGGATCGTCTGGTTATGGTGGAACTGGGGCCTCTGGCTCTTCCTCAGGCTCGTATGGGTCGACTTTAGCTCCAAATAATTACTCCTCAGGACTAAATTCACCAGGTTACCAGTCCAGGTCTGGGTCCACAAGTAGCCTCTCAAGTATAGGAAGTGTAAGGAAATGTTTTGAGTTCTTTTGAATTTTCGGAATATGTTATTATTATTATTATATAATAGTATATGGCTTGCTCTGTAGTGATGTACTGCCCAAATAGAAGTGTACAGGTATATTGGCAGGATGTTTATATAATTGATATGATGGATTGGGGTACAGTCTACAGTCTGTATATTATTTGGGTCATGCTGGTTGTTTGGGAATGAAAAAGGATTAAATCTAAATATAGATAGATATTCCAAGGTGTGCTGCATCTCAAAGTCTCTTTACTAACTTCTGTTAACTTTGGACCTATTTTAAGATTAGCTTTATTTTCTTTGCTAAATGTCAGATTCTTGTTGAAGTCCATCTTAAAGGCAAGTGTTTGAGAGTTGGAGGTAGTCCTAGTACATTGAGATATCTGTGTAACATTAGGCTAACTGATTCCATAGCTCTTCTAGGAAATTGAGAAGATATCTTATGTTTTATGCTATACACACTTGTTTGTGTAGAGATAACGAAGAGGAAAGGTTCTGATAACTGTGGTCTTTCTCTGGCCTTGGAAAGTTTGAAGCAGATGATATATCAGTTCATTTGGGTATTTAGATCATTTTGAAGAGCATTCATCCTACAGCTAGCTATCCCCATATTTTTTCCATATTTTAAGAACCCCCATAGTGGAGATATGAATATATAGTCATACATTCTATATATAAGATTGGATTGGCATTTAAAAGGCAAGATGGTTTCATTACATAACTCCAGTTGTTACTGTCAAAGGTTATGCTATTGCAGCAGTCTAGTTTTAGAATGTAAAACAAACAATAATTAAAGATAACACATTCAGATGAATCATCTTCTAAATTGAAATTCTAGCTGCAGTTTTCGAGGTCAAAAATAAGGTTTCTTGCCAAGTTTGGAAAAGCTGTAATCTGCTTTCGCCATCAAAATGAACACATGATTAATGCAGAAACTTCAACCTTCAAATGTCAGGAGTAAAACCTTACATACATACCACATGGAACTGGTTAACACACATCACTGTGGGAATTAGTGTGAAAAAAGCTAAACATTAATGTAACTTTTATTAACCCAGGCAAAAAATGCAATAAACACATCAGGAAATAATTGGTTTCACAGCATTTTAAGTGATTACAAAACATTACACAGATTCAATAATCATCAGATTTGGATGAATATCCCTCTGAATGCAAGGCAGTTTAGAGCAGATTAAGGGTTTATAATATGCTCACAGCATGTAATTTTGCATTATTTATGTATATCAAATCAAATATTAAACAGCTAGTTGTCACTATGCAATTGGGGTGACAGCATATTATACTGTACATGAGTTGACTGGACCCATATGTAGGTGTAGGAATGCAGAAGCAAAGGCTGAAAACTGAGGTTTTTCTGTCCTTACATAGAGATGAGGTAAATAGGTCCATTAGTCAAATGTAGTGTTGACATCTCAATTACTAATGGAGATGGATGACAACGATGTCAAAAGAAATCATTTTTCTTTCATCTCGACAGCTGTGTAGATGATTGTCAGTTCCCTTTAGTTATGTTGTTGACATTCGTACTGTCATTTACTGGGAGATGGATTAGAAATGACAACTGCTGTTTATTCTGGAGGGCACAGGGTAGTTAAGTATGACAGAAAATTGGATATGCTGAATTTGCTGTGGCATGTTAATCCTCTTGTAAACATTGTCTGGTTGTAAAAAGGTTAATTACCAAAGCTGACCATGCCGTCTTATCTGAAATGCCACTTTAATTTCTACAAATTGTGGTTATCTTATCTCTATTTTTGATATTTTAATCCCAGTGTTTAATGTTATTGCAATATGTTACAGAGGAACCAAATTCCTTCTCATTTCTTTCCTTTTCCATGGTGAGTATGCCGTGACTTGAGACTGCTTGCTGGAAATGTCATGTAATGGTAGACGTGGTAACAGGTGGGACACCACATCCTTCTGTGGTTGAAATTTGATTATATATCACAAAAATATGATGGCAGGCAATTATTACACATGGATAAAGATGTGGTTGGAGAGTTTAAAAGTAATAAGGCGATCATGGGCACCTTGACTTTCCAGACTTTCTAGACAGGTTTATTTGGATTGCAGGGGTGTGAAGTGCACTGTATGATAAATTTGACCAGAAGGTTTGTCTTGGAGACGAGCCCACAAAACTTCTCTTATTTCATATTGTGGAAGGAAAGTGTACTCTGCATCCGAAAACCCACATCTGATTCACAGGTTAATAGAACATAGCTCAATAAGACATATTTACCTATGAATGATATTGTATTAATTTCAACTCATTCCTTTATAACCATTATTGTCTTGTAGGCCAGTTCAAGGTACAGCACAGGTTCTCGCTATGGTGCAGGCTCAGAGGGCTCAGATAGGTACTCCTCCTCTGGTAGAACAGATAGGACAGACAGGACAGAAAGGACAGAACGAGAAAGACCTGCTTCATACTCAGCTTATACACGATCCAGCTCATCCTCCTTAGACAGTGCAAAAGAATACAAAAAAGTAAATAATGTTTTTGTGTATCAGAATTGACCATGCAGTGCATTTTCAGGTGATCAGTGGAAATGTTTATGGTTTAAACCTGTTGCATGTTTCATATTTCAATATTCATATTTCTTTCTGAACATAATTCCTCAGTCCTCAGTTCATTGATTACTATTTTCTTTGCAAGAATTAATGTTTAAATAACTGTTGAAGTGATCTTTTAAATTCCTTTGAAGTTCCTTTGAAATAATATGTGGGTTGAAATCAATCTGTTGATGTTGAGGAAATTACTTTTCTGATTTAAGCCTCTGTCTGTGGAAATGATAATATGTTTCTGTCCTTTTTTTTAAGCCATGCACCATCTTCTGTAGTTGATGGATTTTCATCAAATTGGAAGTGAAGTTTTTTTTATTATGTGAATGTCTCACTCAAGTTCAATTTCCAAATTAATTCAGTTATGATCAGTTTTGCTCACTTCACTGTGATTGTTTATAGTTTCCGTGCAGTTTGTATATGTTGACCTGCAGTTTACTGCATAATAGGATTAGCTGATACTCTTTGATTTTGAATTAAGTAGTCCAGCTTTTAAGATTTTGAGAGTAGATGTTTTTGCAAAAAGGTGTTTAATTTACTGCATATTTATTGCTATGGTAAGTCTTTTTTTTTTTTCTTTCTAAAATATTCCCAGTTGAGCAGGAGATATATTTATTTTTTAGTTTTCTTGTCCATTTTGTAACAATGGATGGTTTACCTACATGTATATTTAGGTTTAGTGTCATTATTGAATTTTATTTCCACAGTTATACGAAGAAGAAAAAGCAGAAAATGAGAAACTTAGGAAAGAAATTCAGAGGCTGCAACAAGAAATGTCAGAGTCAAAGTTAGAGAGTGAAAAACTAAAACAAAAGAACGATACACGGGTGGTAGATAGTTCAACTTCAGATAAAAGAGTAAGTAATAGAGAGTTCAGCACATAAAATTAGAATATAACGAATCTCTGTTGAAAGAAGCATAAAGGTATCTTATTATCTAATTAAAGTTTACGATTAAGCTTAACAACAATTTGTAGTTCTCTGTTGTATTCTTTGTGTACTTTTGTTTTTCTTCCATCAAGAGATTCAGTTACCCTTAAGAACATCAGAGACATTGTAAGGTAACATGTTACTTTTCAATTACACATGAGATGAAATTAGAGCAATTCTGTTGCATTTATTAAATACTTGGATCTTACAGGAAAGAAGGGCACTAGAAAGAAAGTTATCAGAATATGAAGAAGAATTAAAGGTAAGCAGGCTGCTCCTTGACTTCATTTATTTATTTATTTATGCTTTACCTTGAGTGCAGTGTCTTGTCACACAGGCAGCTGTTTTCTCTCAGTTCATTTCTTCAGATGTACTAGACTCATCCACCTTTTATATCTCTGTTGAAACCAGTAGGGCTTCCTGGTGTCTTACATTAAGTTGCTGGATCCTTTGAAAGATGACCAGCATATGCTTAGTGGTCCCCCTGTACAGTCCCTACATTTCAGTTCCCTTGCACCTTTTTTTTGCAACTTAACTGGGTGTCACACGTGGGCCTTTCATTCTTTCACATATTTATATTCTCTCTTTTTCTCTCTGGTACTTTTCAGCAAATGGAAAGTATAAAAGCAGAAAATGCAAAATTAAAAGAGGAAAATAAGGCTTTGACTCGGGTTGTTGCCAGACTATCCAAACATTAGGTAACACACAGTTCTGTGCTTGAGTTTCCCAACCCCAATTTTTGCACCCAGTGATCTGTTGAAAGTTCTGATCCAATGCAGCATGCATTTTTTTTATTACTTGTTTTAGATGCAATTTTTCAGATTAGATGCATGTACGGTGAACCTATGACACACATTCCAGATTAAGTAATTATGATGTACTTGTATCTTTAAGCAGGGGTTCTGTTTGTAGTCATTGTCATATTTTGGTCATTCATTGCCTTGTGTGTCTTAGTGCATTGTATACATGTGTACCAATTGCAAGACCCGTTACTTTGTGCATGCTTCAGATTTTGCCATCCCATTCAGAGTGAAAGCCAAAACCGAATCAGTGTTGCAAACAGCTGTTTTCAATTGTTTTATACCTAATAATGCTTTGTTGTGGAGATTTCTGCTTGCTGAAGGAGAAAAGTAAAAATGAAAAGTATAAACAACAAAAAGTAAGAGAAAGGTGAAAATTATGTAATCCAATGTATCAATGAAAGTTTGATAGAATCTGGCACGCCCATCTGTCTTGCCTTCTTTGCCTGCTTTTTTTTTTCTCTTTCCAAAATTTGCATTACCATGGTGAAAGAGAGTTCCTCATTCATTGAAGTGAAATCACTGAATGGGATACTTTTAACATGAACAAATTTGTCAAAATAGAGCATGCTTCCTCGTTTCTTCCCTCTAATTCTTAATCTTTTGGAATAACTGTGATGTCTTCAAATCCTTTGCAAGTTTGTTAAATGTGAATTTCTTGTTTATGATTATGACAGCCTTTCACATGTTCAAAATTGTAGGTCATCCTTTATCAACACTTTCTCCCACTTACTGCAGTGTTAGTGAGGCATATGCTTAGGTTTTAATTGCAATGTTTTGTTGACAAGACATTATTTGATGGTAGAAATTTAGACCTTTTTTATTTTTTATTTTTTTTGTATTCAGTTAATTGCATTGGTGTTACTATTATAACTTAATAACTGATTAATAATGGTAAAGAATAAATAAATGTGAGTTTTATCCCCTTTTGTGTAAGTTGCTGATATGGATGTTTTACATATAGGTGTTTTATTAAATAGTGACAATGTAACAGTTGTTTACTTAGAATAATAACAGATTTATAAGTAAATGATTTACAGAAGTAGATGTATTTTCCTATGTAGTATGCTCATCATCTTCTGATGTTTTTATTCCCTAGCTCATGGAAACACTCAAGCAAGATAACCAGAGACTAAAAGAAGAGAATGGAGCATTAATACGAGTTATTAGCAAATTATCAAAATGATAAAAAAGAAGAGTTGTGCCGAAAGACTTCTCTTTATTCATTTGCACAGACTTACATCCAACCCTGCTCATTCCCAGACACATCCATAATGGATGTGTTCTTTTCTGGACTTCATGCAACCATGGTCACTGTTTCACTAAAAAATGTATACAGCACTGACTGTTTGTCATTTTACCATCACATCAGCTTACAATTTGCCATCACCAACAGCAGAGTCGGATGACCTCTTCAGGAGGTAGCTATTCCTCTCTCCCAGCAACATACGGCTGGACTAGGTGGGAGAGCCATAGCTGCCTCCATATTAAAGAGGCCCGTAGACTGTAGTTGTGAGAACACTGGAGTTCTCGTGAATTTCTACTGCATTAATATATGAAGAGTATAGAGTGCTAGTCTTCCTTGTACAGATAAAATAATCTCAAGTTTGGTCATGTAAATAGTGTTGACAACCACAGGGCTGGTCCGAGTTGGGTGGGGTGGCATCTCTTTTGATATGGAAGAAAACTGGATAACACCATGGCCACTTCTCTGATGGAATCTGACTGTTTGTAAGATGACCACTGAAATTACTTTAAAATAATCCTGGGCTCTCCCGGCCAGAGCATCCCTACTTTAATTTCTTTTAGCACTTCATGTTTTTATTTTATAAAATATTCGAACGTAATATGCTCATTTTGGCTAGTATTACAAACTGTCTCAGAAAAAAAGAGGAGAGCATAATTAAAACAGTTTACCTAGTGCTATATAAGTGTATGTTTTGTATATTACAAACACCTTTCCGCACTAAGCAAAGTGGAAGATTGTTGATTCACTCACTATTAATGCAGAGAGCATCTGCTGTACATATGCTGTGCACAGTAGCAGTTGTGAAAATATTAAAACACAGAATAATATCAATTTCCTTCTAGGTCTAGTTCATTTTGAGACATCATTTATGCACTTTGCAAAAATTACATTTGGTTGTGCATTATGTGCAGTTCAAGTGTTTCATACAATGGATTGAAAGAAAAAGTTAAAAATGAAACTTGGAAATAAAAAACAGGCGTGCCACTCCCACCCAACCCACCCTGCACTAGCTACAATCCTGTTCAGATGTGATCTAAGTGATATTTACTATATCTTGGCTATAACCTAGTACATTGTGCAATATGTTTTTTGCACAGCAATTGGAGTTTGCATTGTTGTTTATGTGACGACTATGAATTACTTTTGTCTGGAGCTGTTAAGACATTGAATATTTGAAAGGCAAGGTGTATTTATCAGCAAGTCATTGCAAGTTTTTAAGTGTGCATTGGTCAAAGGGAGAAATCTCCTGTGGGTTAATAAATTCCAAACTGATTGACTAATCTTTTATGTTAAATCGTGATTTTGCTTTGTCTATTGGTAAATAAGTGCTTTTTTGGCTGTTTTTTATCACATGCTTCAAAAATTAAAAACAAGCTTGAAATTCTAAACAAAATTGATCAATCAGTACCTCCCATTTCCTCTGGGGATTGAATGCACACTTCTCTGTACAAGATTGGAGGCTTACTACCCAAAGTACAGTGGAATTGGAGTTGTTTGTCATGATGGCTTCCACAAATGTCACCGAACAGAGTGGATGAATTCCTTCATGTCAGTATTGTCGATAAGGCTAAATATTAACGGATTACGGCTCTCCACGTAGGGAGTGAAGAAACGTAATAACATTGGATAAAAAATATGAAGTTCCAGTGTGTGAGCGCACAGATTCCTAAGTATATGGAAGGTGCAGTTTTCATCCCGTCTTTTGTCAGTGTGTTTTATAAGCAGCTGAAGCATGCAGTTAACAGCAATGATACTGTTCAAATGGATATTGCTTCATATATGTAGCATACAAACCTTTTTTTTTCTTTAAATGCATCCTTGCTAATTTATGTAGTTAGCATATTTATGTGGCCTGGGTGTGTAGTGAAGGGTGTTTGAATTGGTGGTACCAGTTAAAGTTATAATATTAAGGGATTTGAATGGCCTTATAATAAGACAGCCTCTGTAGCACGATTATTCCATGACAACCAGCTTATTTAAGATTTTATCATAAAACCTAATGGACAAATTGTTATTATATTTATGTCCCTGACTGTTATTGGATGTAAAATGCTTCTTTGTAAATACATAAATCTTGTGAACTTTTATTTTTGATAGCATTATTTTTGTACCTGGGGAACGCATAAACCCCAGGCTGTATTATATGTATGATGTACTATACATTTTGTAAGATAGCTGGTAGACAGTAAATGTAGAATCAGTGTACTTGCAACTCATATACATACGGTCAGTTTTGCACTCGTAAATCCTATTTGTGCCAAGTTTCTAAGACAGATAAAACTTTGGATACTGATCTCAGTATTGATTGAACAGTGGTGAGATATAAGAAGACGATATAGGCTGGAAATTTCAAGGGGATTCTGATCTCAGTGGAAGAATAACGTTGTATGAACTGAAGTGCAAAAGAAAGATACCCCAGAGTCTCTATATGACAACTGTGAATCTTATTTGGTTGTTATTGTACATATTGGCTTATGCTGTATTATATTGATGTGTGTACATTTGTTTGTAAGGGGGATATATCAGTTGAACATGTTACCCCGTTCTGATGCAAATGAATTTGTCAAGTATTTTTACAAGTAGTGAAGGTAGACAATTTTATTGTATTGTTGACATTTTTGGATGTTTGTATTTGTTAAATGTTGCACAATTCCTACTGGTATTTATATTTGTCAGGGGGTTGTGATTTGGAGGTATGCAGTATGAAATCACAAGGTTTTCCTTTTGGATAACTTTTCTCATTTCATACTGCATGACCCAAACAGGTGATTATATCATGAGGTTATGAAACATGTCACTGGCAGTCTACTGACTATGACTTATTGATGCACATCAGTTGTTTCAGCAGGAATTTTGTTTATCGTCATATGGAATTTTTTCTGAAAACTCCCTAGGTGACATGTTGGATCTAGGGCCTGTGCATTTATGACAAAATAGCCAATAGTGACAGTGGTTTGTTGCTTGATCCTCATTGAAATCATCATCTGTACATATTCCAGGATGAGTTGTATTATATGTATGCATTAGTTACACCTGTTTTGTGTCTATCTGGCATCTTCTGTCAGCGACATTTTTAGAGTGTCGATGGTTGGGTCATATGGACAATGACAGTGCTGTCTCTCTAGGTGACATGTTGGACCTAGAGTTTGCATACAGTGGTAAGGCAACTTGTTTCTGCACTAAGGCATTATTTGCTTCAAGGTGGAAGTGAAAAAATAGAACATCAAGAATGTGATGTACTTTTGCATCAGGGGTTCGTGTCCTTTTGATATGTCCCCTCATGTAAATGTACATTCATTAAGAGGCACCTAATGAATTTTCGGAGTCTGCATAATTTCTATGGTGTCACTAATGCTTCTTTTCTATGCCTACCTGTTGAACTTAAGTTGCAGTGGCTTTGTTGCCATTGTTGACTTCCTTAGGTGACACGTTGGATCTAAGGTGACGCATAGCTTGACAGGATAAGGCCATGCTCAGCAGCATCAAGTGGCGCTATAACAAAATATGTAGACTTAACACCACAGTGTAACTGTGTGTCACTGCTACATGATAGTCCCTGGGGACTGGTTTCAGTGTTTGCCAGCTCTACAGGGTGTCTTTAGGTGACACGCTGGACCTAAAGCTTGTGTTGAGACACTCTAGTTTGTACTGTGGTTCCCCATATCCCACAGCAGTCCACCACCAGAGTTAGTGGGGTCAGGATGCCTGGCAGACAGTCTCCGTGTGCTGCTCAGCAAAATGCCAATTGTTACATGGCACCACCTTTTCTGCAGCAGGGTGGGAACCGAATCACCTTGGTTTGCTTGGGATTATTGGGTATTTCTTTTTACATGTGTCATATATCTGGAGATGACTTGGCTGGTGTGCACTAGTTTCTGTAGGTTTCAGACTCCCAGGGTGACACGTTGGATCCTGGGTTTGCACACCAGTAAAACATCTCTCATAGATATGTCACTTGTTGTTATTGTGAAAGCCTGGCTTTGATGACTTTGAAGTGGTTCTTGTTGAAACATCTGGTAATGTGCCTCTTTGCCACCACAGCATCTTAGCTGGGCTTTCAAATTGTATCCATGCATGCACCTGGTATCCTAGCTTTATTTTGTCAGGCTATATCATTTTTGGGATTTTTTGAATTGCAAACTTGTTCTGGACACCTTAAAAAACTAATTCACCACCACTTGTATCTAAAAACTTTTTTCAGAAATTTTTTTTACCAACACCATGACAGTGCTATTTTAATCAATGCAAGCAGCTGTCTTCACCAAAATGATGTGCACATACAAAATACTGGCTTTGATATTCATGGGACCTATGGAGAGAAGAAGCATCTTTGCTCCAAGGGTAGGAAGAGGGTGTTGGGCCTTTGGGGTTGTTGAACCACTAAGACCTTGCTCCTTTTCTTGTCATGCAAGGGACATTATTATTATTATTTTAAAACTGCTGTGAGCACTTAACGGTTTGAGGAATCTGCACCAGTTGCTTTCTGTACTATTGGTGTGATGTTCTTCGTTGTTGTCCTGTTGACTACAAAGAAGAACAGCCTACATGATGATATGGGTTAGCCTCCTTGGGTGACACGCTGGACCCAAGGCTTGCAGATTTATGGCATAAGTTCTGTGTTAAGCAGTTATATTGGTTTTACTTGTGTATAGCTGGTTGTCATGGAAAAGTTGATTCTTAGTTTGAGGCTGCTGAAAAGGGGTTTTTCACTTTTCGTTTCTAGTCATGTGAATTTTTTTATAGAACAGCTGCTTTAATCTGGTACCACCGGGGGAATATTTCACTTGAGAGATATGCATGAACGGGCCACAAGTGTGTAGATGCTATGTATTCCCTGTTAAGTTTAATATCAAATCTATACCTGAATGTAGCATAACAATCTTTGTCAGTTGATAATCTCATGGCTCTCTGTGGCCATGGGGATGTTTGATGCATTATCAAGTAGATGTTAGCAATGAATCTATCAAGTAATTAAACCCTGTTTGGCATTTGAAGTTTTTGAGTTTGTTGTTTCTTATTATGCCATTTGCAGTTTTCACAATACTGTTTAACCTGAGCTATTCAAGCTTATATGGCTGTCATTTATAACATGTTAAAATGCTGAAAAGAGTGGACGAGGGGTATTTCAATTTGTGTAAAATGGAATGCAGTTGTACTCAACCCTTTCCTCCCTTGCATTTACTTGTTTCTAAACTATCCAGTTTTGTTTTGAAACCTGCAAATTGCATCAGTTCTATTAAAAAAGCAATTTTAATAATTCCAGATTCTATCAATTTGTAAGATCTGTGAGTATGGCCATCTTATCCCTTGGATATATTATTACTGCTAACAAACCAAGAAAACTACATGGCAATTGTTGCATAGTGTTCAAAAGTGCAAGGTCTCAGATCCAGGTTTTCCACTGGAGGGAGAGGGGTAGTCAAGAATCAGAGCAACCAGATTTTTGGAGATTAATTAAAAATTACATTCTATCCAACCAACCACATCTTGATTTTGCTTTTCATTTTCTTTGTGTAGTGGTGAGGAAAATCTTTTGACCACAAAGTATAATTTGCAAAACACTACATTCAAAGTCATTTAAATAAAAAAAAAAGTTATTTAATCTTAGAATTGTTTGAGAGACTACATCCTCCCTCTTTCCTCTTTGGTAATTATTTTAAAGGACATTTTAAAAATATTTCCATATTTACAATGAAGTACAATTGATCAGTTCCAGAGACATTCAAATAAGAACAGAAAGGGCTNCCAACGTATGCTTGCTATCTGGGATGTTGTTAAAATAGTGTCCTTTGAGATGACATTCACACCTGTGAACTTAATAACTTTTGAACCTTTCGAACATAAAAGTGTTTTAATGTACTTTCCTGCCAATAATTCACACCTGTGCCGTAATAATAATAAAAACAACAAATATCCAAAATACCACCCGTTCCTCTCAAACGCACATTTATTTCTAAAATTGTGTTAGCTGATCTGCATTCAGAGCAGAGGGCAACTGCTTTCTTTTTTCTTTCGTTCCTAGACGCGTGTAGGCGAAAACGAGCAAAATTGGAAAATGCGGCATGGCTGCCACACTCAAATGATTTATTATTCAGGTAAAACTGGGGAATCCTTAGTTTTCGTTACTTTTGAGCTACGACATAATGCGTTCTTTGAAATCACATTTTATTTTCATGAAACGCAAAATGTTATTCAATGAAAATAGGCACAAGAGAAGAAAACAGCGAAGGGCCTGAGCGAGTGAAACACGTTTTGATCACCTTGACCTCACTGTGACCTTCGGGCGAATGAATGAAATCGAGGCTGAGAAAAGCATGCAGGTGAGCGCGGCAGTGTTTACCTTCGAAAATAGTGTATTTGTCGTTCATTCCAAGCTTCACTTCTAATGAGTATGTACTGATTATGGAAAAAGTGACATATTAATTGTAATAGAATCACTGTTCTTGCCCGACGGAGTTATGATTAGGGTATTTTGATCTTTGTTGACAATTTGCAAGTAGGATATATATTGACTACATCATCATTATCATGGCGTCGAGTTCCCTAAGTCAAGAAAGCTTAGATAGGGATGACTACGAAATAAACTGCCGTCGAAGTAAATTGAAACCAACCAGAGGTCGAAGTGGGGGATATAAAGCCGGTCCAGAGAGTGCTGACAACACAGGGGATGGACTGGACAAGAACGGCGACGGTCACTGTCCTGTGCTTCCAGATCGAAGTCCCAATCGTGGCGGAGACCACGAGTCGCCGTCTCGTCTAGGTACCCCTTCTAGATCCAAGGACTCGTCAAAAAGAAGACCAAACCATTTACACAAAGGAAAGACGGCCAAGGACAAAAGAAAATTGAGGGAGAAGAGAAGAAGCACAGGTGTCGTGCATCTCCCATCCGAGGTACGTACGTGTTGTCATTCGTAGTATTTTAATAAAGGTGATCTCTAAACCCTCTGTCAGCTGCTCTGTTTATTTTTAGCTTTGCCATTGTTGAATTGAACTATACGATTCGCAGATAGGGTTTAATGATGACATGTCTTTTTAAAATTTTATTTTGAATCCCCAGTTATTTTTTTGTTCTTAAAATACCTTTTCAATTCCAAATAGTTGTCAAGATTTTTTATGACACTGTGTATGTTAACACGTAAAGCTGTTGATGCTGTCAGTGCGAAATATCTTCATAATTATTGCAAGTAACAGGAAAAGCTGTAAGTCTACAATATATCGCTGTTAATATTTTTTTCTTTTTGAAGAAGGTAACTGGCAATTGTTTTGCTGTTTTGAATTTAGAAAACAGTGTGTAGGTTTTGGAGAACACACCTATGCAAAGAATCTTTATGATATCCAGTAAAAAAAATTCATACCATCCAGTATTTTTCTGTAAGTTTCACATTTTGCTAAGATGTGATTAATCTGCTGCTGTTGTTATAATACATGTGAAAAAATTCATCAGCTGAACTGTTTAGGTAAATCGGGAGAAAGTTTTGACAAATATAGAGAATCACATTAACTAGAATAACACTGTAGGAGTTATTTAAGTATACAGGTGTTTCCAAGCATATTATGTCTAAAAAAATGTTGAGTTTCCTCTACATAAAAAAACAAGGCACGTGTTTAACTTTATTTTTAATCTCAAGTCTGTACCATGGCATCTACACTAGCATGTTATAAACCATCCAGTTTGTGTTTGTGAATACCAGCCCTTCAGAACTTAGTAGTTCAGCGCCAGGCATCCTAGATTGGTTCCAGAGATATTATGCACTTGTTGCCTTGAACTACATGTGCAGTAAATGTAATCACTGACAGCATAGAACCAGCAGCAAACGAGTGACAATAGAGGAAATGAACCATCTTCGTGTCATATGGGAAAGTACTCTGCCAAAGATTGAATCAGCCCTCCCAAAAAAAATTAATGACCAGGTCATGCTAGTCTACAATGAATATACCTCTTCAATTGACACCTGTGCATGTTTTAAAGCACCCACTGTATCCTAATGCCATTGTTTAATGACTTGGTGATGGTGATGGGTACATTTATGACTCTTGTGTAGGCCAGCTTCCGTGAAATAGGTGAGGTAATCTACTATCAGTCTATCATCTAGTTTAACAACCACAAATCTCTTTTGTCATATTCTAGGGTCATAAATCTCAAAAGTTGCCTTGGTACACCTGAATATTGAATCATATGGTGTGCTGAATAGAGCTCCACATCTGCTTTATTTTACCCAACTACCTTATCGTTGACTTCTGAAATATTTCTGGGTTGACAAAGTGTAATTTTGAAATAGATCATGAAGAATTATGGGCAGAAATAGTTGCAAAGTCATACAGCGGGGGAGTTCTCACACCATTATATCTGACAATGTATGGCAACAAAAGAATTGACACTTTGAGTGATTTATTGATGATGTGTCTACAAGGCTGAATCATTCATCAGCTAGCGGTGATGAGAAAGTTGATGTTATTTAATTATCTCGTTACCTTTAATACAAGGTGAAAATGGGGGCTAATAGATGGAGTGGGGATTTTGCCAAGACAAAAATAAGTGAAAATAGGCTCCTTGGAAGGTCACAACTCTGATGAAGACAGAGACTTGTTTGAAATTGAAGTGGCCCTTAAGTCATTCATGTAATTGACATTAGAATATTTTGCTGTAAATTGATCACCCATCTACCTGTATATTATTTTAACATAATGGTGTGCAGCAAAAGTTAAGATGATTAAGTAATGCGATAATATTGGTTGACATGAAGGCATATAAATCATGCCAGACATATTTATTGCGTCAGTGATTAGGAAATAATCCAGTGGAAAAAAATGCAGAAAACGCAGAAGATTTGCAACTGATGGACATGCGAGGGCTTTGTGTCAGAGTGCCATTAAAGAAGAAAGGTTACATTATGATATGTAAGTCATAAGCTGCCTACAGTGATAACTGAGACAGCCAGGTCACAGGTGGGCTGTTGATTTCATCAAAACACACAATATTATGCAGGTCACGTCACAAGTTCACCAGTCACCCATTGTATCACAAACTAGTGGGATAGCACTCTGCTGTCTTTTATTATCATACCTCTCTAAACAGTTGACCTGAGTATTAAGGTTTTTAGATGCAATGTAATTTAAACCAAGCTTGTTGACTAGAAGTTTAGAAATGTCCTGATATCAACTGAGGCAAAGAATGCCAGGAATGTAGTGCCCTGGGCTGTTTTCACACAGCATTTTTAATCTCTTTTGAATAGATTTTTTGTGTTTCTCAGTACGTTTATTTTTGTTTTGGTGTTGCTGAATTTAAATCACAAAGATGCACTGAAGGTGATTTATTGGGCTGTTAAATCTTTGTTTAGAAAAAAATGAAAAAAGAGACATGCATGAGATTGTATGCCTATTAACAATACCAATTAAGTTAGCCCAATTTCTAAGAACTGACATCAGTGTCTGCCAGGAAATTCCTTTTTTATGTTTTTTTTTTTATTCTTCTGCATCTATGATCATTTGATGTGATAGATTTTAACTTTCATATTCTATGTAGAGAAAATGTATGTACTTATGCAACACTTCTGTGAAAAAAAAGAAATGAAATTTAAAAGAACTAATGGTAAGAACTGATTTGTAGAAGATTCTCTTGAAAATTTTTTTGAATTGAAAAATTTGTTCCTTCAGTAAACACTTGGGCATAAAAGACATTATTACAGTCACCAACTTTTGAGTATAAGTAAATCAAAACTGTTGATTTATCATTTATTTATTTATTTTATTTTATTTTTTAGTTAAGATTTGTAAGTCTTGAGATAAATTTTATAAATAGCATGACGTATGTTGCCAATAACACAGGTGTTTATACTCTGAGATAAACTTAGAAATAGAGTAAAGAATCTGGTCTGGATTGATGTTCTTGGTTTGGGAACTATTTATTTAACAAATCCATGACTTTTCAAGTCTTGTTGGATCTGATTCCCCCTGTAAAGTTTATTTGTGAAAGTCTTGGTGGTAATCTGGTTTACATGACCATAGCATAGAAAGAGCAAGGGGCATCCTAAATTAAATGCGTTAAAAGTTTCTCCCAATAAAATATAATTCTTTAGATGACCAGTCCACCAACTTACAAGAGAAAATTAAACCTAAAAGAGTTCATTACAGAATAGCTAAATCAGTATAAGCATTTATAGAAAAAAAAATTGGAAAGGGGGGGGGGGGGGTTGGAAAACTCAACAAAACAGAAAACCACTGATTGCCATAAAGACATGGTATTTGAATCATTCTTGACAATGGTATTTGAATCAGACTGTTCAGTGTTAGGTGTCTATTTCAGAGGAGGTTATGAAAATATGCACCAAGTCAAATAAAATATTGGTGTGTTTCTTATGAAAAAATAATTTATTAAGACCATTGCCATCTTTGTAATCAATAGGTGTTTCTACACCAAGTAAACTACGTCAATATAAAGATTTTGTTGGCAGCATATTGAGGAGCTAATGCTGTTTATATACTATCAAGAACACTCTAGGGCATGGTGAATTTGATTAAAATGTTCTCCTCCTTTTCCCATTACTGCCATTAGACTGCCAGTGCACACTGTCTGTTCTGAGGCATTTCCGTTCTCACTGAGACACAGATAGACTGAAAATGTTTTTATCACAAAATTGACTTTTTAAAACTCTTTGAAATATTGAGGATTTACATGTACATAATTTTCCAAGCTTCACTCGTACACTGCAAAAAAATGGTTTAAATTCAGTTTGATACTAGTAGTGCCTTTGAATGCGGTACAGTGCGCTGTCCCCCATTTTCACAATTTATAGCAGGTGAAATGTGAATCTTGTGCTTGAATGGATTGCTTTGTAAGAAATAAATCCTCTGAGAAATATTAAAGTGCTCCGAATTGATGTCCTTATAATCAATGAACCCAACCATGGAATATGTTGTAATGCCTGTAATTTTACACAACTTTACCAGGAGACAAGATGAATTTGATGATGGTGTGATCAATAAATTCCCAAGAGTTCAGTACGATATTGGTCAGACTTGGTTTCGTTCATTTGATCAGATTGGGGGGGAAAAGACTTATGATTGAACAGGCTTTGAAGTCAGAATTTATGTAAAAAAAGTTGCCATCAGTTTTGTTGGTCCAGTGCAAATACCATAAGCGAAATGAACTCAACTGAGGAAAATAAGGTCTAGAATTTAAAAAGCGCCAAGGTGAAAAAATGCTTGGTATTTTAAAGCCCTTGGTACACTAAACTATCAAAGCTGTCATCTTGAGTTCTTGACTCAAAAGCTCAATTTCTGACACCTAGTTTATTTAGCCATTTGCCTTTTAAGAATCAACAACCTGTAAACTTTAAACTTATAAAATCTCATTTCTTTATTGTTCAATAGGTGATTTGTTGAAAGCAAACAGTTTTTAAAAATTTTGTATTCAGTTGATCATGCTTATTGAATCAGTTGAGTGAATGAGTGAATCGAACCATTGCCTTGTCTCAAAATCAGCAAAGTATTTTGCTGTGAATGCAAATCGGTTGGCACATCGAGAGAGGGGAATATTTTTCTGGCGCTGCCAGATGTCATATGTTGACTTTGGAAATAATTGTGGTACCAATTTGTTGAAGGTCAGTTTAGCACTGACTTCATTCCCCAGCTTAATCGTTAAACAGAAGCACAAACAGTTAAGCCCACAGTGCCTGTGATAGGAGTATATACAGAAATAACCTGTACTTTTTATTCAAACAAACTTATGCAAATACATTATATAAGATCACCACAACACATGGACCTGTTTTAGTTTTCATGCATGTTCAATAATATTTGCAAGTATATCCACTGCCATTGATCAACACAATGCCTTGGGTTATTTAAATGGAATTTACAAATGCTGAAATAAGTTCTCTCTTGTAAGTCTCATTGCACTACAGGAAACTGTATTCTGCAGACTTTTTATGAGCCAGTCTTGTGCATTTATTAATGAGTTGATAAGGATTTAGTGACAATGAAATGGGTTGAAGCTTGAAAGGCTGTTTTGTGGGTGCAAATTGGTATCCCTTTTACTTTAAAGATGGGACTAAAGTTGCTGTTTTACAGTATTTATTCTCTTAATTACATCTTGTTTGTGATGCCTTTTTAAAGTTTTTTTTCAAAAACCCATGTGCACAAAACAAACAAGAAAAGCAATCCCACCTCATTTTAACTTTCTTGAAATAAGTTAAAGGATAAGCTGTAGGAAAATGTTTTACAGTGAACAAACATGTCAATGAGGAGAAAAAACACTGCGGAGTGGCCCTTTAGATAAGCCTTCTCAGTCTCATGTTCTGAAATTAATGTCACCCCTCCTTCCCTATTGATAGATGAGTTATTTGCTTACCATTAAGTTGTCATTTTTTGTAGTATATTTATAAAAGTTGTTTCTGGCAATTTCTGGCATTTTAATTTTAAATGGAATATGCGTCAGTGGTTGCCGGATATGATATAAAGAGATGGTACTGTTTTATGTTTTCAGAGTACAGGAGATTCTCTTGATGAAGAAGATGCTGGGGTAGAAACCAAGAAGAACACATCGTACAATGAAGTCATTGATAATGACAACCCAGAGACACCAGTAGAGGTATGTTAAGGGAGAGAAGTTGTGATATTTAAATGATATATTAGTAAAAATAGTCCTTCAGTTTAAAATATTTTTAAAGTTTTATTTGATATTTCTGTCGTGTCTAAGAATTCTTTTAATAAAATGTAGTTCTTTTGTTACTTTTGTTTATTAAGTAATATCCTGGAACTTGTTGATATTCTGATAGTAAAAAGAAACTTATTTATTTTTTCTCCAGAATTGAGATTGTAATATAATATCAGTCTTCTGCTAACTTTTAAAGAAAATACACATTTTGAAAAAAATGTTCATTTTAAAATTGAACAACTATTTTTCAGTGAAAATAACATATTCATTTCTTTTCCTAATCCAACCCTGATGTCTTTCCATCTGCCTAGAATCTGCACCGTTTTATAATCAATTTCCAGCACTGTGAGCTGCCTGTGTTCCATGCCAGTGAGCACAGCACCCCTAACATAAACACCAGCTCATTATGGAGATTCAAACTACTGATAACATTTTCTCTGACCAATGAGAACAAATGCTACTGTATATTCCAAACAGCAGCTGCGACACATGAATCGCTGCCAATTTGGTTTCAATTTACTGCACTTTCGGTCCTCCGATTTTTGCTGGCTGCTTATAGAATGCCTGGAGTTGTAATGTCCTTATTTTCCTTGCAGGTGAATAAGTAGATTTTTATGATCAAAATTGAGTGTACTCTCTTACACCATTCCAATTGAATTTAAATTATATTTATTAATATATATTTAGTTTTAGAAATATAATAAGACTTGTTTACAAACATTTTGTTCCTTTGTATGCATTATAACATTTCTCAAAGAAGTTGAACAGCTGATTATTTAATATTTCAACCTTTTGTCGGGTAAAGAGAATAGAGTTAGTTCCTACTTCAATTTCAGAGTTGATCTGTGGTGCCTGAAATATTCCAATATGCATAAAATGTCAGCAGGCAAAAAAAAAAAAAAGATAAATGTCAATACTAGTTGCATCAAACAGACCTCTTCTCTACAACTATATGAAAGCATTTTGCTTTTTTGAGGTATCAAAGTGCTCTCTGCCCCAAGGGACATAACACTGAACATTATCACCAATTATCCGACTGAGACAAAATTCATGTTATGTTGTGTAATGATATCTTTAGAATTGATTTATATAGCTTTAACATTACCAAGTAATGCTCATTTTAAAGGCATTGCTGGGGTAATGTCTCCACCTTGTGGCATAGGCCAGGAAAGATTGCCCACAAAAATCACATCTCAGTTTTTTTGTCAATATCCAGAGCATTAACATCACACAGTGTGAAATCATATGATGGAATTGATGCTTATTAATAACAGTATATCTTTTTGTGGGTAATGTGTTTAGTGTACTCTAGGGGGAAAATTGGTGATGTTTAAGAGGAGATAGTTCAGATTTGTGATAACTCGGTAAAGGGCAGAGCACATTTCCTCAGTTCTATCATAGCTGTTATGCTAGACAACAGTTCTCTCATCAGTCAGGACTGGTTAGCCTGAAAACTGTGTATAATGAGGATCTCTTTCAAATATGATTCAATGACTTCATCAGTATTCACATCAAGGCCTTTATCTGTGGCAGTTACCTGAGCAAGTGAGCAGCTTTATTATTAAAACGTCTGACGTATATGCATATAGTTGCCAGTAGTTGGAAAATGAAATCTGGGACATGTCCCAAAACCAGTCACTGAGCTTCAAGGTACTTGGGCATGTGTGTTTGTGGGGGGATTTCATATAGATCATTTGCATATGAAAATCTAATGTTTTTTTTTTAGTAAATGCAGGACTACCAGATTTCTGACAGTGCAGAACACAATTCTTCAAAGTCAAGACTATTCTGTTATCTGGCGCATGATAACCATATTATATGTAGGGTCTAAATTTTTGTTTATGAGAGAGAAATCGAGAATATGTCCTGGAGATGATTAACTTTTTACACCTGTAATATTCCAGCCCTTCCATAATATCTCTCCACACACACATTTTGTTAAAAGTATGCCCTATCCCCCTCTTTATCTTACACAGAAAAAAAAGTCAAATTTCCTGGTTATGGCATTTGCAACTTGAGTCACCTATAAGTATGGTGTTATAATACCTGGCGTGTGTGTCAGATGGTGTTACTATTATGAATCGTGACATACCAAGGCTGAAAATCATATCTGAAATAGGGTACCACATTAATTCAAACTGATAACATTGCATTTCACTCCAAACAGTAACAAACCAATATTAGTTCTGCCCAATTTATTCAGCTCCAAAGTTTCTTTGGGGAACCCTCAGAATATTGATGTGGAAAACCCCTTAAGTGCTCACCTGCCTTGGTATTGGTCAATCACACGTTTGAAAGTGCATAATGAGCATATCTGTCAAGTCACATTAGTGTCGATGTGCACTGAGGCAAACTGACTGAGCTGACAAGAAGCAATCTATATGTACAGGGGTTTTCCATTGGTCAGCTCCTCTCCGTAAATGCATAATCAGCAAAACTGTCATGTTCATTTGGTGGTGATATGAGGTAGTGTAAACTGATGGAAACCACTGAAATTTACACCTGGGTTCTCATTGGTCATTTCTCGACAGTAGCTGCATAATGAGCATTTCTGTCAAGTTTAATTTTCCACACCATTTCAGATGGCTGGATCATGTGGTGCCTCTTTGTCTGGGGAGAGCGAGGAATGCCCACATGTGCTTTAATTTCTTTCTGGATGAGAGTTTCCCCCTCTTGAGAGCCAAGTCTTTGTGGTTTGGGTGGAGGAAATTCTGCATGCTTATCTCATTTGCTTGAAGGTGTTTTCACTTGAGGTGAAAAGATCTGCATGAAAGTCGAAACACATTTCATCTCGGGTTTATTCAAGGCAATTTCTTCTGCTGTTTACAATATGAATTGCTGATGTGTCTCCACCTTGTGCTGAGACTTGAAGAACAAGTTTTATTATAATTGAACCTCTAGATCATTGTGATGTACTGATTATATTTTCAGAATATCAAACACTTTTTAGTTTTCTTGGCACATATTAGAATTATTTTAACATTTTCTAACTAGAATGAGAGGTGCACAGGATTTCCATTAAAACTGCTTTTCATTGAATATTAGATCTTATGTATTTGTTAAAAAGTGTGTTTATCATAAAATCAAAATGACTGAACCATATTCAAATGGAAGCTGATGGTTTTCCTAAATGTCAAATTTTGTGAGAGGTGTGATTTGAACCAGACACTGTTTTTGCATAATGGGCAGAACTTGTCACTTCCAATTTTCATTCTGCCATTGTAATCAGGCACCAGGCTGTCTGAGTGGACCAGACCTAAACTAACTTAGTACCTAAATATTAGCGGCAGCCTTTGCTTTCACATAATGAGCAAAACTGTCACTTTTCATTTCTCTTTGGATTACTCCCATTTGGTTCCTATATGTCTGGACAGGGTGAGAAAATTGGTAACAGTAAAGCGAGTTACTGAGTGGTAATTGGGTTTGGTATCTACACATGCTATCTGCAAGATCTCCTTGAGATACCTGGTATCAGTGTTGCTGTAGCACAAAAACCACAGCTACACAGGAGACAATCAATATCTAAGGTGGAGTTTTTAATTAATGGCACTCATGAACATTTTAATTTTTTTCAGTCATTTGGACATGAGGATATTAGATATGGATGATTCATACTAAAGTATATTCATTTTCAGCTTTTTAATGAAATTGTGTTTTATGAAGCAAAGAATATGATTTGTTGTTGTTTTTATTTCAGAACCGACTTTCAAAATCCTTTGCCTCGAGGTGCAGAAATAAAAGGTGAACATAAGAAAAGTTACTGGAAATCTTTTCAAGATACTTTAAATCCAGTAGTGCAATAAGGGTTTAAGTATTGAAAATAAAGATAAATACAACAAGGTAAATAGAATTTGAAGGAAGTTTACTAAAAGCAGAACCATTGAAATTGAAAGTTATATATGAAATTAAATATTAATTTGTTAAGTTATTCACATGTAGTTTCTGCTTATGATATTTTCAGTCCTTCTGACCTCGAAGCTGACTTAGAAGATAACCAGGACTATGACAGCACCGTCAGCCAGTCAGAGACCAATCTCACCATCATTGGGCAATCGGCCGCATCAACAAGCCAATCAACTTATGCAAAGCATTCACCAGAAAAAGAACTCAGCAGAATTCAGAAGACAGAGGAGGCCAGGACAACCTTTAATAACCAAGACAGAGACAGAGGCCACGCCAGCACTGTAGGAGGCCGAGTTTCTCTGTCAGCATTTAATAGATTTGACCGTGATTCTTCTGGCTTTGCCAAGCTTAGTTATAAAACCAATCTGATAGACATTGACTCTAGTCACTCCAGGCCATCATTGCGTCCATCTCAGCAGGAGCTTAAATTGCAGGAGAAAAACAAAGAGTTGGAGAAGGTTAGGTTTTGAAATGTCTGTTTTCTATGGTGGCGGGTCTGATGGGTTTCTGAATTAATTAACTCAATGTGCTGTTGAATCTCTCTGTAATGATTCCATTAGCTCTTTCATTGTTAATTTACCCTGAACACTAGGAAGTAATTTGAGGCATAATTTAAATATTCTTACACAAAGAAATGTCTTATTTGCAAGCAAATATATCATACTTTAACAAAAAAATACATGCAAGTTGTGTCTCTTTTGCAGCAATTGGCAAAAGAAAAAGAAGAAAACCAAAGACTAAAGGAGCTGTTGGAAGGCAGAGACAGACAGATTGCAAGATTGGAAAGGGAAATTGCTCTGCTCAACCAGGTAAGGATGATAATAGTGTGTGAAAAAACGTCTAAATAAAGAGATGTAATGGTTCCTGTTTTAGAGAAGAGAGAATAGGCCTTTGAAAATACCAGTACCAAAATATTTAAATAGAGAAGAAGTCAATAGTGCATCAGATGTTTGTACATGTTGACAAATGCAGATTGCAGACATTGTTAATGTTCACTGATACAACTAGGTGATCTTTCTTTTCAAGAAAAAACAATAACCAGGATGATGGTAAGGCCAAGCTCTAATGGCTCCCCTTTAGTACTGCATTCCTTGTATTGTCTTTTTTATTTGTGCACATTTTTTTTGTCCTATGTCAGTCCTTTTTTCTTTTTCAGAAAAGAGAATTGGGTGTTTACGCAGTATTGCACACATTTCAGTAATAGCTGAGTTTGTCTGTTATGCAAAAAAAAAAAAACTAAAAAAAAAAACTAACTTTATCAAGCCTGACTTAAGTTGTTGAGGTCACACTGCTCAAGCATGATGAATAAATGTTAATGTTATTAGTTATTACTGTTTTTCATATTTAACTTTGCTCCATGGCATACACAAGTTTCCCTACTTATATTAGATCCTTTTGTTTAGGTTCACAAAGAATGCAGAATGTTAATAGTTTAGCATGTCCTTAAGTTGTCTGAACTTCATGGCATGTCTGTACAGTATATTGGTCAATGTGGTTGTATAATGTCTCTCTTTGTAACACCTTAATTGTTGTTGTTGTAATAAAATAAGAATAGGTGTTTGCCTGTAAGTGGTCACAATTGCCCATACTACTCTACTTTAATGCATTTCCTTCCTGTCAAATTTGCACAATACTGAGATTATGGTGCATATTGATTGAATATTTCATATTGCTTTACAAAGCATAATATGGTTTAATAAATCTTGTTTAAACCTGCAACAAATAAATATGGGAAATAATGGGATTTTGTAAAAATTTACAACAGGATATAGCTTTTTGATTTCAAAAGATACTTATAAAGCTGTTTGGGTATGTGATGATGTTGCATGAAATGAATATTTTCTTTTCTTTTTTTTTCTTTTTTCAGACCAGTACATTAATTTTTTTTTTCGTTGTACATTTTCAGGATCTTGATGTCTTGGATGAAGAAAATATCAAGTTAATCACAGAAAATAAAGTCCTTCTGCAGAGTGTACGTTCATTTGGTAGTGATGTCTAAGAACATGGTTAATTGGGTATACATATTGTGTAATAATTATAATGCAAGTCAATATTTACAAACACAGTCAATATTCTTTAACTTTATTGTAGACTTTATTTGTTCATTTTGATTAAACTGCAATGCTGGTGATTTACCAGTAAATGAAAATGGTCACATATAGTTGAAAGAATTATATTAAAAAAAACTCAAATTGTTAAATGTTTTCTTTAACTTTTCTATAGCTTGGCACTTATACTTAAATGTTTTTCAAAATATGCTTTGATTTTAGAAATTGGCATCCACATGTTGTTTTAGTTATATACCTGACACATCACCATTTAATGTACTTTTTTTGTGTAATATAACATATCTTATATGATGCGGGAGGCATTTTTGGAATTGTTCAGAATTTTTTGGCAATGGCAGTAACATATCAAAACCAGAGTGTAAGATTCTCTATTGAGGCTTTTGAGGTGACAGTGATTTAAAATCTCTTTATAGTGAAAGCATATAATAGCCAGTTGTGCACTTGTGAAAACTTGAACAAACTTTATTTTATTGATTGATTTATTAATTTAAAATATTGATAAAGGTAACATGTTTGAATTATTATGCACATGTTCTATGAGGACATTTTGATCTGCATTGGTGAAACTAAATGTTGTACTGTTAAATGTAATGTGATATGAATGACAGCCGCTATAAAGACTCTGTAGCTGTTAAAAGTCTGAATATGATTTTAAAAAGGGAATTCTGCTGAGCAGAAGAGTGGTATAATGTAACTTCTGTATATGTACATAAAGCCTAGGATTTGCAGCATATTTAGGTTAAGGTAGAAGAGGTTTGTAGTCTATGTATTTCTTGGTAGATACCTTTTGCTTCAAAGAAGTGTTTTATTATGCTACTTTTCTGTGCCATATTTTATCACTTAGTGCTAAATTAGAAAAAAAAATGGCATTATTGTTGTACATTGTGACATATTTTCCCTCTCATGTGCTAAATTATTGGTGACAGATCCTCATGTGGTGTTTAATTAATGCAATTTCATGTTTCTCAAAGAAATGAACCACCAAACTTTGAGGTAGTCAAGGTGGCTGTGATGTAAAAAGAAGCATGTGTGTGTGTGATAGATCTGATGTCTTTTTTCCCCATTCATGACATATTGCATTCTGAACAAATGTTGTTAATCAGAACATTTCTTCTTTATAGGACATTTACAGGTTATACATAATCAGTTTTATTGAGCATAGTTAACAGTAATTAAACTTTCATTCCTTTGTTTAAGTTATTGATAATATTCTCAAGAGTGAAGCACAGGACAACTAGTTACTGAAGGTTACAGGCTGTTTATTAGCTATTGTTTATTAACTTTGTTCATTGTTAAGGATATCTAGTATTAGCAATGTGATAGCTCGTTATTCCAAAATGTATTTCCAGTTTTGGAATATAATATTTTGTGGGGATTTATTTGCAGGTCTGTGGAGTGGTTTATTTCAAGAACAATTATGATTATTAGACAAATTATATCATTGTTTGTAAAAATATTTTTAAAAATTATGCAATTTTTGAAGTCATTAAATTAGTCAGTCACAGAATGTTAAAGCACTCAAAACTCGATTTAAAAGCCAATAAGTATTTGTTGGTCAATCAATATTTTTAAGAACTGTGAAGAAAATTCATTTTCTTTTCAAGGAGTTTTCTCCTATTAAAATTAAGTCAACAGCGTGCATTTAAACATTGATGAATTTTTGCTATATCATGTACATAAAAAGCTGTGCAATGCTAAATAAGTATACACATAGGATTGGTGTTATGGTTAACAATATGGTATACATGCCTGATACATGAGAATATTTGCATTCCCTCCTGTTGTTTTGCAAGTTGATCTCACTGTGGTTTATTTGTAATCTCCAGTAGCTCTCTGTGGCATTTTGGGTGGTAGAAAATAGATTAATACCAAAGAAAAGAAAGCCATTCTCTTCTTAAGCAATGTCTCACCTGCCTGTCTCTGCTTATTATATTCTAGAACAGTATGCATTGAGATTATCTTTATATCTAATTTTGGGATGTTTGCTTTTTGTTTATAAACAATAAATGGCAGTTCTAAAATTTCTGCTTGGTGCTTTTCTATACTAATCTAACAAGCAAACCATGGGAAATTTAGAAATACATTTATTTTATCTCATTTCACATTTATGGACAATACAAAATACATTAGATCAAGAAACGTACATTAAAACTAACTCAAAATGTTACTAAAATTATATACAGGCTACAAAATACACACCATCTTTCACATATTCCTCTCTCATAACAATCTAGCATGACAAACAAAATGCCTGAAAAGACCAGTGCAGATATGAAAATGGCATGACCGATGTAAAATGAAAATCTTTTTTTTTTTTTTTTTTTTTTTTTTGTTTTGGTTATAACTACAACTAAATGCTGTGTATATACTGGTTGCAGTGTCATTCTTTAACACTTAACATGGACTCTATGATCTTGAGCATCTTCAGAAAACTATAAAACATCTTCACTGGAAAATAATATGTGCCTTCCAACTACATTTTAAAAAATATATAAAAGGAATGTACATAAAGAAAAAAATAACTTTTGCTAGAAAATATGCATAAAAATGTCCCATCTACACAGCCGTGAACTCTGGATTCTTGTCAGATTGTATTTAATAAAGCCATCTTGATTTAACGGATGATTTATGATGTAGATATAAAGGATGATGTAGATATAAAGGATATCTGAAAGTTTTGGAGTATCAAGAATTGCTGACAATGATTCTGTTACACTAAATATAAATGGCCAATGTTCATGAATGGTACAAAATGATGTGCAACTAAAATACAAAATCTAGATTGACACTTTGCCCTCTGTCCACATTAACTATATGTGTCTGCTGTCTGGGAGATCCCCATGCTCCGGCAGTCACGGCATAGGAACCAGGATGAACAACAACATGGACATCTTCTGCAGATTGAAGCTGAAAAAGGTTGAATTAAACATTAGCAATCATGACTTTTATTGCATTATGCATTGGAATTTAAAAAGGCAGATCTTTTTTTTTTTTTTTTTTTTTACATCAGTATACTTACTGGATTTCTTCGCTGCACCATGGTGTATTTGGGTGTGTGGAATCTTCTGCAGTGATCCTGGTCTTGGTGATTTTTATTTGTTTGACTGCAACCGCTATAGTATCGCTAAAGTGTAGATAGAAGCCTGTTATTTTAAACAATAACTGGTCAGACCTTTGAAAACACTATTAGTCTAAGAGTTTAAATTTCCAACTGATATAATAAAGATAGCACTGTTCTTTTGACAAAAAAATGAGAATGATTTACCCTGCACTGTCTTGATGTTGTTGTCATGTATTGCAGAACACTGGAAAAAGCATCATCGATACTTGTGTAGACTAGGGGGTCCTAGCATATATAAACAACAAAAAACAATATTTCATTTCTCACGTAAAAGTTTCACCAAGAACCTTTCCTTTAACCTTTTTAAAATGTTTCAAAACTTGTACTTGAAAGATAAAATATACAGAAATGCTTTGTTTGTGAAGGTTTGCAAATTTTCCTCTTTTTCCCTTTGTCTCAATGGAATAGACCAAGTAATTATATAGAACAAGACAAATCTCATATAAATATGCTATGACATCATCATTATTACTAATGAACAGCCTGCCTACAACTATGCATCACATTAATTAAGTACACTCTCATATTACATTATCTAGGGGTTCATAAATTACAGTGTACACCTTTATTATAACTATCCTACCTGAACTGGTGGAGTAGAATACTGCTTTGTTCGGGGCCAGTCTATCCTCCTTTGTTTGGCTTTATGAAATACAGCCTGGCCCTGCCTCTCAGCACGACACAACGTACAGTGAACCCAGTCTTCTTCAGAGTGCTGCAAAATAACAACATGCAATATTCCAGTGTTTGCAGATAATTTGCATAACATGAGTTATATCTAACCTAGTTAAATGCAAATCCACAATATATAAACTTGTAAGCCACGGTCAAGTTTAAATATGAACCAATTCACACTGACCGATGCAGAGCTAAAATCTGTAACATTATTCGTTTAAACACAAACGGTACAAGAAACTTCGTATTCATGTAGCTGGTGTTCGGTTTAATACTAGATGTCTACAACAAAATATAAGTCCAAAGAAGAAAAAAACCACTGTAGCTGAATAAAAGTAATCAGACATCTGTAAGTGTACTGAACTAACACACACAGTGTGTTTTTTACACTTTAAAAAGTGTTCCTCACCTGGTGGGACATCGTTCCGAAAAGGTTGGAGACGCTGAAAATAAATGTTCGTTAACATAGATGGCGCTTCGCGCCGACTGAATATTTCTGCCAGATCATACTGATGAATTTTGTTCAGTGTATCTTATGTGGCTATGTGGATGCAAAATACATCTGTTACATATATATCGGCCTAGAATTGATTATCGTTGGACTAGAGTCGAGCATTGTTTTTAAATAGCTTATCTTGAACTAAATTGGGGAGCACTCGTTACATAGATTTAACTATACTTTTAAAGAATATTAAAATGGCCAGAAAAAGTGTATATGAATTAAATCACTAATTGATCCAATATTTCAATGATAAAAGTCTAATATTTATCTTTGGGTGGGAAATGTTTTTGTATTATGTTTATTTATCATATGGTNAGCCTTTTGAGGTGACAGTGATTTAAAATCTCTTTATAGTGAAAACATATTATAGCCAGTTGTGCACTTGTGAAAACTTGAACAAACTTTATTTTATTGATTGATTAATTAATTTAAAATATTGATAAAGGTAACATGTTTGAATTATTATGCACATGTTCTATGAGGACGTTTTGATCTGCATTGGTGAAACTAAATGTTGTACTGTTAAATGTAATGTGATATGAATGACAGCCGTTATAAAGACTCTGTAGCTGTTAAAAGTCTGAATATGATTTTAAAAAGGGAATTCTGCTGAGCAGAAGAGTGGTATAATGTAACTTCTGTATATGTACATAAAGCCTAGGATTTGCAGCATATTTAGGTTAAGGTAGAAGAGGTTTGTAGTCTATGTATTTCTTGGTAGATACCTTTTGCTTCAAAGAAGTGTTTTATTATGCTACTTTTCTGTGCCATATTTTATCATTTAGTGCTAAATCAGAAAAAAAAAATGGCATTATTGTTGTACATTGTGACATATTTTCCCTCTCATGTGCTAAATTATTGGTGACAGATCCTCATGTGGTGTTTAAAGGGATAATAACTCTTCGTTTTGGCCAAAAAATGAATTTTCCTGGAGTAAACAACAATTTTCCCTTACTTACCAATGGTTAATGAATCCATTTTTACATTCAAAGTTAGTCCCTGGTTTTTTTCTAAAAAGTTTGGTTTTTTGTTTAAAACTCTTAAGAGATTTTAACAGAGCATAGCCATCAATGGAGGTCACGTGGTCTAAAGACAAGCTCAGATATCAGAAAAAATAGCCATAACTGCAGTTTTTGTGGTAAAACAGAATATATTATATTTCTATGAGTTATTCTCAATGTTTTTATTGTGAAATATAGATCTCACACGAAGAGTTATTATCCCTTTAATTAATGCAATTTCATGTTTCTCAAAGAAATGAACCACCAAACTTTGAGGTAGTCAAGGTGGCTGTGATGTAAAAAGAAGCATGTGTGTGTGATAGATCTGATGTCTTTTTTCCCATTCATGACATATTGCATTCTGAACAAATGTTGTTAATCAGAACATTTCTTCTTTATAGGACATTTACAGGTTATACGTAATCAGTTTTATTGAGCATAGTTAACAGTAATTAAACTTTCATTCCTTTGTTTAAGTTATTGATAATATTCTCAAGAGTGAAGCACAGGACAACTAGTTACTGAAGGTTACAGGCTGTTTATTAGCTATTGTTTATTAACTTTGTTCATTGTTAAGGATAGCTAGTATTAGCAATGTGATAGCTCGTTATTCCAAAATGTATTTCCAGTTTTGGAATATAATATTTTGTGGGGATTTATTTGCAGGTCTGTGGAGTGGTTTATTTCAAGAACAATTATGATTATTAGACAAATTATATCATTGTTTGTAAAAATATTTTTAAAAATTATGCAATTTTTGAAGTCATTAAATTAGTCAGTCACAGAATGTTAAAGCACTAAAAACTCGATTTAAAAGCCAATAAGTATTTGTTGGTCAATCAATATTTTTAAGAACTGTGAAGAAAATTCATTTTCTATTCAAGGAGTTTTCTCCTATTAAAATTAAGTCAACAGCGTGCATTTAAACATTGATGAATTTTTGCTATATCATGTACATAAAAAGCTGTGCAATGCTAAATAAGTATACACGTAGGATTGGTGTTATGGTTAACAATATGGTATACATGCCTGATACATGAGAATATTTGCATTCCCTCCTGTTGTTTTGCAAGTTGATCTCACTGTGGTTTATTTGTAATCTCCAGTAGCTCTGTGGCATTTTGGGTGGTAGAAAATAGATTAATACCAAAGAAAAGAAAGCTATTCTCTTCTTAAGCAATGTCTCACCTGCCTGTCTCTGTTTATTATATTCTAGAACAGTATGCATTGAGATTATCTTTATATCTAATTTTGGGATGTTTGCTTATTGTTTATAAACAATAAATGGCAGTTCTAAAATTTCTGCTTGGTGCTTTTCTATACTAATCTAACAAGAAAACCATGGGAAATTTAGAATACATTTATTTTACCTCATTTCACATTTATGGACAATACAAAATACATTAGATCAAGAAACGTACGTTAAAACTAACTCAAAATGTTACTAAAATTATATACAGGCTACAAAATACTATCTTTCACATATTCCTCTCTCATAACAATCTAGCATGACAAAATGCCTGAAAAGACCAGCGCAGATATGAAAATGGTATGACATGCAAAATGAGAATAATTTTTTTTGTTTGTTTGTTTAAGTTATAACTACAACAAAGTGTTGTGTATGTACTGGTCGCAGTGTCATGGAGTCTATGATCTTGAGCATCTTCAGAAAACTATAAAACATCTTCACTGGAAAATAATATGTGCCTTCCAACTACATTTAAAAAAATATTTAAAAGGAATGTACAAAAAGAAAAAAATAACTTTTGCTAGAAAATATGCATAAAAATGTCCCATCTACACAGCTATGAACTCTGGATTCTTGTCTGATTGTATTTAATAAAGCCATCTTGATTTAACGGATGATTTATAATGATGATATTAAGGATATCTGAAAATTATGGTGTATCAAGAATTGCTGACAATGATTCTGCTATGTTATGCAAATATAAAAGGCCAATGTTCACGAATGGTATAAAAGGATGTGCAACTAAAATACAAAATCTAGATTGACACTTTGCCCTCTGTCCACATTAACTATATGTGTCTGCTGTCTGGGAGATCCCCATGCTCCGGCTGTCACGGCATAGGAACCAGGATGAACAACAACATGGACATCTTCTGCAGATTGAAGCTGAAAAGGGTTGAATTAAACATTAGCAATCATGACTTTTATTTATTACATTATGCATTGGAATTAAAAAAGGCAGATCTTTTTTTTTTTTTTTTTTTTTTTTTTTTTTTTTTTTTTTTTTTTTTTTTTTTTTTTTTTTTTTTTTTTTTTTTTTTTTTTTTTTTTTTTTTTTTTTTTTTTTTTTTTTTTTTTTTTTTTTTTTTTTTTTTTTTTTTTTTTTTTTTTTTTTTTTTTTTTTTTTTTTTTTTTTTTTTTTTTTTTTTTTTTTTTTTTTTTTTTTTTTTTTTTTTTTTTTTTTTTTTTTTTTTTTTTTTTTTTTTTTTTTTTTTTTTTTTTTTTTTTTTTTTTTTTTTTTTTTTTTTTTTTTTTTTTTTTTTTTTTTTTTTTTTTTTTTTTTTTTTTTTTTTTTTTTTTTTTTTTTTTTTTTTTTTTTTTTTTTTTTTTTTTTTTTTTTTTTTTTTTTTTTTTTTTTTTTTTTTTTTTTTTTTTTTTTTTTTTTTTTTTTTTTTTTTTTTTTTTTTTTTTTTTTTTTTTTTTTTTTTTTTTTTTTTTTTTTTTTTTTTTTTTTTTTTTTTTTTTTTTTTTTTTTTTTTTTTTTTTTTTTTTTTTTTTTTTTTTTTTTTTTTTTTTTTTTTTTTTTTTTTTTTTTTTTTTTTTTTTTTTTTTTTTTTTTTTTTTTTTTTTTTTTTTTTTTTTTTTTTTTTTTTTTTTTTTTTTTTTTTTTTTTTTTTTTTTTTTTTTTTTTTTTTTTTTTTTTTTTTTTTTTTTTTTTTTTTTTTTTTTTTTTTTTTTTTTTTTTTTTTTTTTTTTTTTTTTTTTTTTTTTTTTTTTTTTTTTTTTTTTACATCAGTATTCTTCTTGATAAATACTTACTGGATTTCTTCGCTGAACCATGGTGTATTTGGGTGTGTGGAATCTTCTGCAGTGATCCTGGTCTTGGTGATTTTTATTTGTTTGACTGCAACCGCTATAGTATCGCTAAAGTGTAAATAGAAGCCTGTTATTTTAAACAATAACTGGTCAGATCTTTGAAAAAAATATAAGTCTAAGAGTATAAATTTCCAACTGATATAATAAGAATAGCACTGTTCTTTTGACAAAAAATGAGAATGATTTACCCTGCACTGTCTTGATGTTGTTGTCATGTATTGCAGAACACTGGAAAAAGCATCATCGATACTTGTGTAGACTAGAGGGTCCTAGCATATATAAACAAAAACAAACAAAAAAAAAACAATAATTCATTTCTCACGTAAAAGTTTCACCAAGAACCTTTCCTTTAACCTTTTTAAAATGTTTCAAAACTTGTACTTGAAAGATAAAATATACAGAAATGCTTTGTTTGTGAAGGTTTGCAATTTTTCCTCTTTTTCCCTTTGTCTCAATGGAATAGACCAAGTAATTATATAGAACAAGACAAATCTCATATAAATATGCTATGACATCATCATTATTACTAATGAACAGCCTGCCTACAACTATGCATCACATTAATTAAGTACACTCTCATATTACATTATCTAGGGGTTCATAAATTACAGTGTACACCTTTATTATAACTATCCTACCTGAACTGGTGGAGTAGAATACTGCTTTGTTCGGGGCCAGTCTATCCTCCTTTGTTTGGCTTTATGAAATACAGCCTGGCCCTGCCTCTCAGCACGACACAACGTACAGTGAACCCAGTCTTCTTCAGAGTGCTGCAAAATAACAACATGCAATATTCCAGTGTTTGCAGATAATTTGCATAACATGAGTTATATCTAACCTAGTTAAATGCAAATCCACAATATATAAACTTGTAAGCCACGGTCAAGTTTAAATATGAACCAATTCACACTGACCGATGCAGAGCTAAAATCTGTAACATTATTCGTTTAAAGGTACATACAAACCGAGCATCGGTGGAGTGTGGATTCCCAGTAACACATGTAAACCACTTCTACTAGATTCTTATATGACTCAAATAAATTCGACATGCCAAGGGAAAAACTGAATAGATCACTCCATCAGCCATAAAAGACCTTAAGACTGTTCCTTTCTTTAAATTTATGGTTGTAAATTTAACCTACTTCCGTGACCTACTTTCCTGCCCCATTGACATACAGCTTAGAATGCCAGCAGAAAAATCTGTTCAAACATCATTTTCGGGTAAAATTATACAATGCCTTTTGGTAATTCTCTTAGTTATACTACTTGAAACGATATGCTGGCATTTGGTTGGTTTTTGTGACAAAAAATTGACTTTGTATGCATCTTTAAACACAAACGGTACAAGAAACTTCGTATTCATGTAGCTGGTGTTCGGTTAAAACTTTAATACTAGATGTCTACAACAAAATATAAGTCCAAAGAAGAAAAAACCACTGTAGCTGAATAAAAGTATTCAGACATCTGTAAGTGTACTGAACTAACACACACAGTGTGTTTTTTCACTTTAAAAAGTGTTCCTCACCTGGTGGGACATCGTTCCGAAAAGGTTGGAGACGCTGAAAATAAATGTTCGTTAACATAGATGGCGCTTCGCGCCGACTGAATATTTCTGCCAAATCATACTGATGAATTTTGTTCAATGTATCTTATGTGGCTATGTGGATGCAAAATACATCTGTTACATATATATCGGCCTAGAATTGATTATCGTTGGACTAGAGTCGAGCATTGTTTTTAAATAGCTTATCTTGAACTAAATTGGGGAGCACTCGTTACATAGATTTAACTATACTTTTAAAGAATATTAAAATGGCCAGAAAAAGTGTATATGAATTAAATCACTAATTGATCCAATATTTCAATGATAAAAGTCTAATATTTATCTTTGGGTGGGAAATGTTTTTGTATTATGTTTATTTATCATATGGTATAATAACTGCTCCCTATATTAAAAGTTCTTGCATGTGGTCGGTCAGATATCTTGTTTACAATATTGAGGCAGGTATGTTATAGCCGCTTTCTTGTGTTTTTAATTGTTCTTTCATTTAGGACAATAAGATGATGAGCAAGACATCGTAGAAAAACGCTGTACATGGTGCTGTAAGTATATTTTATAACATTTGGAGTAGAAAGCGACCACAAGCTTTTTTAAAAGCAGAGGATTTTCATTCATTCAACAATGTTTGTTCAGCAGGTTAGTTATGCTGTAGTAATCGATTTCAGTATTGTTTGATACTTTAAAGTATTGGGATTACGACGGAGCAATGACTCTCTGTAGCATGAACGAAGAGGATGGTCGCATTTAATTTACTGATAATTGTGGACTCATACAGTTTGCAGCTGTATTTTAATGATTTATATTTTTAGTGGTCTTTTTCTTGCACGTCCCAGACACTAACTGTGAGATAACAGCTATGATAGAAGAATAAATTCCCAGTCGCTGTTGGTGATTCAGTTACCTGACAGGTATGTATAATGGCCAAGATCTAGTCTATAGGTTAAGTTGGGAGATTTGACCAGAGAAACACAATACATATTATTGATAATAATTTATTATTATTGGATGACCTAATCAAAGGTTCAGTTTAATCAGTATTGATCCACTGTGGATGAACTTGTGGTATGTACAATACTTTATGTATATATTGAGAATGAAGCAGGCCAGGTAGAAAGTGCTCAGTCAATCATGTGCTATTTTTGATATTCAGGGTAGAAATTGACCTCACATGAAGGAAGTTATAGAGAAAGGGATAAATGTCACAGAGTAATATCAGGTATATTTTGACTATATTCCAAGACATTCTTATACTTTTTGAGAAAAAAAAAAGAATCAGACACAGGTTCTGTTTTCCTTGGCCCATCAAAAGCTGTAGATGCAACTGTCATTTAAATGCATGCATGTATAATAACCAAGATCAGTGACAGAGTCATGCTCTGACTCTTTTGCTAGTGACTTTTTACATGGTTAACTTTATTTGTATATATGTCAGATATGTACGTAGATAGATGAACAGACAGACAAATATTTTTTCTTTCAAAGAGTGAAACATTAATTGATCAATTTTAATGTATTCTCTTAACAAAAATTATGATAATGTTCAAACCTTCCAAGCCAGGATATATATTTTCCCACCAAAAACTGGTATTTAACTTATTTTTCTGGGGTAATTAAATAACATTTCCCCTGGACTTACCAGCCTTTAATCTTTCTTTTCTGACACAAGACAACTCTGTAACAATTTTGAAATAAGCAAAAGATCAAAACCTTGAAATCACAAAAAAAAAAAAAAATAGTCAACATTTATAATCAACAAATAGCACTTAATGTAGTTGTGTGAAAGGACAGTATGAGGCAGAGCAAGCCTTATATGAAACTTGAGCTAGCCTGGACTTGATATGGTTTCTCAGTGTCCCATAAAATGATCTTGCATGACTATTACAAAATTGATTACATTGAATGCATTGATTCGAATTACTATAATAAACTGTAAAATGCATTGCATTGAATGGATTAGGTAAAAAAAACAGAATTGTTCATAGGTGGTCAAAACAAGACTTGGGTCAAGGGATCAGTTGGTGAAATAACACCATAGAGCTTGAAAGGGGACCCCTTGTCTGGGATCTTCAGGCCCTGTGTCCACACTGAGACAATGTTCGTTTTAGGTTCAATGAAGCATGTGGTAACCTTGAGGTGATTTGTTTTGATTTTAAACATGAGGTTTTTATGTGGCAATGCATTAGTCAGTGTAAGAAGAAAGGAAGGAATTTGGTGTCATTACATTGTTTGGATGAATTTTGTTGAAAGCTGCATTGCAATTTCTGACCTGCTTGTATTACAAATATTCCCAAGGACTTTTTGTCAGTTTCATAACACTGCATGTGAAAAAGCCTTCAGATTGAGAACATTTATTCTCATCTGCACAAAGATCAAAGAACAATATAGACAGGATTTTACCAAGGGGAATCTGGTAAGGTTTTTTTCTTCTTTTGTTAGTAAGAATAATTGTAAAAGAATTGCCCGTACATGTGCACTGGAAAATCACAAAAAGCTGCAAATAACTGTTCAATAAAATGGATGTTGACATTCCAGGGAGGTGTCTGGGTTGCATTATTGAATGGAGATTGACAACACTGTCATTTCTTAGCCAAGTGGAAATGGATTGCACAATATCCAATAAAGAAAATTGTTGCTTGAAGTCTTTTGGAAAATTATGCAAGGGAGGTGTCTAGCAAAGATAATGTTGGGTTTGATTTCCTCCCTCTGGTCAATAGTCATTAGCTGCCTTATTATCTTAGATAATGCCTATTCCTAGGAGCTGGGGTTATTCTGTACCAGAACCATAAAGCACATTGTTCCTCTTGCCTCTCTGCAGAAAAATGGATCTGTGTCGTATTGGATGTGAAGTTCAATTTCTGTCAAGTACTAAGTAGTTGTGCCATTATTCATCCATTTATGTCAACATGTTGTTTCCATTGCATTTTGTAATTAAGGGTTGTTAATCAGATATAGTAGATCTGATTAATACCAGAACTTTGTTAGATAATTGTTCATGTAATGGTTTGTTGTTTATTAGAAAATGTCAAACTTTATTTTGAAATATCCTTCCAATAAGTTTTTTTTACGTGTTCATTTTGTTTTCATTCTCTTGTATAAAAGCCTAAACAAGTAATTATAACAGTGACTGCATTTTAATCATGTCATGCAACTGAACAATTTGTTCTGGGAAATTAAGCAAGAAAAAAGAAAAGAAAATATTGCATATATTTTGATTGCTTGCTAGAAGTACAAGCATTTTTATTTTTGCATATAAATGTGCAAGGAAAAAGCTATTACAAACTTAGATGGTTACATGTACATTCTCAAAAACAAGGAGACTGCATTGTATAACAGGCTTTGTTGGCTTTCTACATGTATATTCCAGTATATTTTCCTATAAAATAAACCCATCTTTGGGCAATTTAAAAGATGTCAAGAGTAAAGATTGTAAGAACAATATTATGTTACTTTCCAGGTTGTAGCACACAAGCTTCATTGCGGCATGCTATTCAGCTGTGTTTAGATTATTCGCCCCTTTCAAGATGTACATGTACAAGCAATGCTGCATTTGAAATCCTGTGGACAAAATTAATGATGTCCTTTTCTTCCCTGTCCCAGGTTGATCCAGATTGGGAGAGTGATTGAAGATTTCACAGTTGTCTTCTTGTAAGTATTACTTCTGATCAATTGATAATTGCATGCAAGGTCACTATTTTCTGTCTCCAGTTTCAATATGTAGATTAGAAGATCAATAAAATCGTATCATGTGAAAAGAGTCAGTTAAGAATGTCACCCTTGAAGGTCAAATATTAAATTTACTTCAGTATAATTCCACTCTGGCACATGTATTATAAGATGTACCCCCTGAAGATAAAACTTGTCCCTGATTTCTTTCTCACTAGTGTTTTATTGATCTACATGTACAGTAGATAGATTGCAGGCTGAAAAGGAATTCAGAATACCAAATGTATTTATTTTGTGGTTAATACTGTAAATATATGCTGCTAGAAATGTTTAAGAGACCATTCCCACAGACATTTAGATCGATCTATCCCCCTGGGGAGTCTAACTAGATTGCTATCAGCTTAGCCGGCTGTAATGTCTGTCCTGCCTACTAAAAGGTGTAAGGGGGCAATTAACTTTTGTGCTCGCTCGGCTCCTGGAGGCCGACAGCAATTTAGTGTGAACCCCCAGGGAGTTAGGTCGATCCAGATGGATCGATCTAAATCTGTGGGAAGCCAGTCTAAGATATGCTAGATAATGAATGTTATTGTATTCTTTTATTCAGGGATAACAAGAGGGATTGAAACTTTTTAGGGACAAAAATACAACAAGGTTGCCTTTTATGATTTATCCAATTATTATAGGTACAAAAGAGAGAAGAAACAAAGTGGTTTTGTACCATTGATTTTATAAAACAATATAAAGCATGCTTTCAACTTTTGTATTTTTAATGAGACTGTAATCAATCATCTTTAATTAAAATGAAATTGTGTTTCAGTTATTTAGAATTATTATATACTGAGGTTGCTTCAATGTAAGCTTCAATTTTGTGCAGACACCACTGAGAATCCCCCCCCTAAAAAAAGTCATTGTTTAATTGAAAGTATAAAGAGATCTTGAGTTTGTTTAATGAAGTAGAAGGGTTATTGAAGCAGAAGGAACTTACGGAATTTGGGTGCTAGGGAATTCTCAGAAGATAAATTCTAGTCTCAAATTGGCAAGATATCAATTGCTTTTGTTACAAAGGTCCAGTATTTTGGAATATGTTGGAATGACCAGTTGGACACTTGTTGTAACAAATCATAGATATGTAGTTTTTTTTAAAGTATCATGGAATATGACTATTTACGTTGACCTTCAGAAATATAGTTAAGTAGTTAGGTAGTAAGTAGTTAGATTCTAGACTGCATGCATGCAGATTAGTTAGTTCCCAGACTCGGGTGTACGTAGAAAAAAAATGTGGAATCAGAAATTAAAAATTTGTGTCATAAGTGAACGATGAATGTTGAATGTTCGAGTTTGAACGAGACATTAGCAGCATTGTAAAGATAGCATTGTATCAGGTAAACAATTAAACCATCAAATCTAGTGTTTTGCATTAATAAGGTTGGTATTTCCTCTAATATTCTTGGTCATATTTTTTGTTGGGAGGTTGATTAGTTCTAGGAATTGTAACTTAAAATTATATCCTAGTCAAGGCCCTGTTTCACCTAAAATTTTAAGTCAGCGTAAAGTGTGTGGGCTTTAGTTAGACTGCTAAAATTGGATAGCTCTACTTTGCTGTCTTGGTGTTGGAGCTTTTAAGAAAGATTGGCCTATCATGAGTTTTATCTGCCACTCCTTAGTGGGCTGCTATCACCAGTGAAAGTACACACCTTTGTCAAGACAATCCCAATATGCTCATGGGACTTAGTCAAAAGACCAGTAAAAAATGAAATAAACAATGAGGTTAGCAGCCTTACAGATTCTTTGTCAGTTAAAGCAATACTCCAGGGAGCATTATTGAGTTTGTTACACACACCTGTAAGTATTCCCTACTGCTGCGAATCAACAAAAATCGATTTTGTTGTACCTCTGTGCTTTTATCCAAACAAAAAATATATAAAAATTTCTCTGGACTCCTGTAGTGAAACACAGCTATATTTGGCTCTTGTCTCAAGAGCATCACCAGGCTGAATGCCCACAGGTTGTTGATTGACCTATGGACGATTCTCACTGGAGGTGCTAAACGGGAGAATGACCTACCAACATCCAACGACCTGTGGGCATTCAGCCTGATTATGCTTTTGAGACAAGAGCCAAATATCGCTGTTTTGCTTTTTGTTTTCTAAAGTAAGTTATAAATATCACTAAAATCATTAGTAAATATAATTCCTTGGAATCATGAACAGGCTTATTGATAATTATTTTGGCTGGGGCTAAGACACACAGAGCAGATTAGGATCGTGTTTATTGAGTATTTTTTCTGTGTGGAAATGGCGCTGAGATACGAGGCTAGGTTTGAGATGAATGACAGTTATCCAGGAGGAAGTGCATTATTGCAATTGGAAGACATTAGGATTAATAAGCTGTCATTTAACTTCTAGTATCTCTCCAATCACCCTGGCTTACTCATTACCTTTAAATTGCAAAGAAATTTAATAACATCTAGATGCTTGTAGAGGAAGTGATTGCATTTTAAATTTTGTGTACAAAATAAACTGCTTGTTTTCTAGTGTGTGCTGGTGGACATAATTATCGGAGTACTTTCATGTTTATCAAAGATACTGTAAGAAAAATATTGCTAAATTACTTGTCTGGAAAATAGACTTTAAACACTGATTAAAGTGCATCTAGGTACGGTAAGTAGTGTGAAAGTGGTCTAGTCCCAGGAGCAATCAATGAATAATATCCTGAAATACAGTGCTTTCTGTACTCTTTGTTCTTCTTCCCAGGAGAGTAAGATCAATTTAGAATACAAATGATGGCTATCCTTTAAATCAGATTGAAGAAAATTACATTAAAACTCTGGAAATCATGGTTGTCTTTACAATATCAGAATGAGATAGAAATCGTTTTTATTCTTCCTTACTGGAAATCGTGGATAATCTTTTTAAGATCCTATGTTAATTTGGAGGTGTGGATGGAAAGAGTGTTGCAGCTCTTCTTTTTTGAAAAGACTGAGCATTTAGGGATTACCTGCCTCTGAATCAGGTGGTTTTATGGTATTGTCATTGTGATGACATTTGATTTTTGTTATTTTCATTTGATCTGTTATATTCAATATTTATTTGTTTTAAAGTTAGAAATAAGTCTATGGATTTATCTCATTTCTAGTTTTTTTTTGTTTTGTTTTGTTTTGTTTTATTTTTTTAAAGGTCTGCTTTCATCTCTGTAAGGTGAACTCTCATAAAGTCAGCTGTATAGTAAGTTATATCTCATCACTAAAATTTTGCCTGTTGTCAATTGTACATACAATATTTTCTGTACATTTGCTAGCCTTGCTGGATATGTTGCTATGGGTCAGCTCAACATCATGTCAGTGAACAAAGATGGACTGCTGTCCTTTAGATAAGGATGAGGTGGTAATGATAGCAGTGATTGATATTGGGATATTTCTTAGTCCATTCCCAGCCCTTCATGATGATGGCACGAACAAGAAAGTTTTGTTTTGTCAAGATTGTAAAGTTGCAAAGATAGAAATAAGCAAACCATACCTCAAAGAGCTTTGCACTATCCAAAAAGTATTAATTTAGACATTTATAACTTGAAATGCCAATAATTTAGATTATCCTGTATATTATCAGTGTGGTTATGTGAAATAATAGGAACGATCCATAATTAACATAATTGCCATCAGTCTTGTGATTTAGCATTAAGTCAAGTGAGATTTGGAAGAGAGTTTTAGGGAAAATATAATGGCAGACTACAGATACTTTTCTGATTGTTTTCTTTAAAGTGTTGTAGAATTATAGTCTTTTACACAATAGTACATATTCACATTTTTTTAAATATTATTTTATGAGATCACTTTCCCAGCACAAAGAGTTTCAACCTTGTCAAAATAGTTTTACCAGTTTGGTAGAGGATAGAGATCAAACTCAGTAAAAACTAATCACTCACATGAAATATTTTGACCTGATCAGCCATCATCATCATTCTCAGAGTGACGCAGGTGGCATTGTGTCACGAGTTGAAAGTACTCAGAGCTTGAAATCAAAGAGCAGTACACATGATTATATTGAGACATAAAGACATGGCAGATTCCTGCAGTTGTACGCCAGGACACACCCTGAGTCTCAGAGATCACTGGAAACTTGCCTCTGTTAACAGCATGCCAATAACAATAGCAGCGAGTTCCAGTGACCTCTGAAACTCAGGGTGCTTTACAATAATGAAAACTGATTAAAGAGAAAAACACTTTGTTTGTCTACAATGTGAAAAAAACAAAAACTTTTTTTCAAGGTTATGGAAGGCAGAGCTTAATAATAATGCTGCAATGCAAGGTCCATAAATTGGCTTTCCCACTGACATTGACCAAAACAAGTTTAAGGCTATCATGGCTGTTTTGTTATATGTCTATTTATAAGAATTGAGGTTTCAGTCAATATTTCAATTACAGAGAACATGCTTATTTGAAAAACACAGTGAAACTGCCTTATAGAGCATTGCACATTATTAAATGAGGTATCAATTGGATATTGATCTTCACTGCACTGAGTTCCTTAAAAAATGCTAAAAACCTCCAGCCTGTAGCTTTACCTTTTATCACTGAGTATTGAGCCCAGCAGTGAAACAATTGTTAAAATCCACTCAGCAAACTGTCAAATTAGTGTCAGTCCATCAATTCAATGAATGGCACATTAGGAACACTAATTGCTTTAAAAAAGGTAAACCACTCTATCAGGTTAGTTCAACTGGAGCTGTGTATCACTGTCAGATATATAGTGATTATGGATCATGTATTTGTCAACCTGGCAAGCGTTTATGGATTTTTATAACAACAATGGATTTTTCCATCCAAATCTGGGGAGATATATTGTAGGTATTTTGCAGATGGTTTGACTGTGATTACCTTCTCTCTATGATAATTTTGCTTATATAGTTGAAAGTATTTTGCAGTTTTTTCACCTTGGCTATGTTTAAGATCTTAATTACTAGTATTTAGTAAATTGACTACATTTCTTTTTTTTGCAAAGTGAATTAACTACATTTCTTTTTTTGCAAATTTCTTATCAATCCAAATTGGTCAGATGATTTAATTGTATATTTTTAATAAGAAATTGGTCTTGAGAAATATTTTTCATGCAGAAACAATTTTCCCCACACACTCTTTAATTATTCAGAAGGGTCTCTTACTGTCTGTTACAGTGGTGCCAGATTATTCTGTGTTTAATAATAGAAAAAATACAAAACCTTTTCAATATTTGATTACATACTTGAGTGTTGTTAACTTACTATTAAAGGGTCTTTAAGATCTTACTGACCCTCTGGCTGGTTTCTCTGAAATGATTTTGGTCTTTGGTAACTGGCACCAGTCAAGTTGAATCACTAGAGTAAAGTAGTTGAAAAATGGCTTCTTTCTCATAAACTAATACATCATCATAAATTCAGAATAACCTTTGAAATACATTATTTTTCAAAAAAAAAAAAAAAAAAAAAAAAGGTAAGTTATCTTCTTTCTTTACTCTTTTTGACGTCTGACTTTTTGGTCATGATGATTTTTGTCCCCAGGGTCCAGATGTCACGGTTGCATTAAATAAATCTAAATTCCCCTTCCCAGGTCGACACTGGGGATGAGTGGCATGCAGGTAGAAATATATGGTGAACTAGATGTGCTTGTTAAACTAATAGGATTAGAAAGAATGACTGGAAAATTGATTGTGGAAAGTGAAAGCTGAAATATAATTATGCTTTCAGTTGCCTGTCTGACTAGGGATCAAGTAGTTTGCTGTTTTCGTTTTTTGGGTGGTGAGTTGGTTGTTTATAAATATTATTTTCTATGCATTATGTACTTGGACCATCCATTGATGAATTAATTATTGATGCAATATATGCATATGTATTTCACTGGAAGGGTTGCCTGATGGTCCTTATGCATTCTGCAAATTATTGTTATTCCATATTATGTGTTCAAGTGAAATGAAAGAGAAAAGCAATTTGCTAATATAGCAGAAATCAGAAATATTGCCATAGTGAGATGGAGATGAAATTTTAGCAAAAATGCTTAGGATGGTAATGGACCCTTGAATCTATGAAGATCCGGGTAGGGGCAAAAGGGTTTCTTCTCTTGTATATTTGATACATAATTGATTTCTGCAGTAGCATTCATTTATTAATCCCATAATGAATTAGTGGCATGTAATTGGAGAGAGGTTTGTGGTTTGATTATACAACTGCAAACATAGCTTTGTTATCGAAAAGAAAACTCAGTTATTTTCTTGCAGAATACTCTGTCAAGTTCAATCCTCATATATTGGTAGAGATTCATGAGACCATTACAGCTACAGTGGGATAGGGGATTCATGAGCCCATAAAATACATGTACATAAAAATAAATTTTGGTATTGCTTAAATCCTTTTTTTGTGTGTGTGTGTGTGTCTGTGTGTGTGTGTGGGGGGGGGGGGGGGGCATTAACATAACTGGGGATGTTTTTTATTCCATTTAAATATTGACTAAGGTCTAAACTGTTGTAGTCATTCTATCCCCTGGTGAGTCCTGTTGCTTAAAATCACTTTTTTCTTTGTGTATCAGGTACCTTTTCTAATTTAATGCATTTCAATATTTCATAACTATTATTAATTTATTTGATTACTAAAATCAGAATATAACTTAAAGGACCAAGATTACTCTAAAAAAAGAGAGCCCAACTGCAAAAAGACTACTTTATAGGTGCACCATAGACTGTCATCATCGGTAAGATGTCAGTCTGGCTTGAAGTCAATGTTGCCAAAAGTAGTCTACCTTAAAATAGACTTTTGGCCTGCAGTATTAGACTGCCATCATTATTTTGATTTTCGTCTTCCTAGCAGCCTGGTCTCCAGTCCCTATTTGCATATAACGAAAGGGCTACCAACACACTACTGAATAGACTAGTGAGCGTCCAACTTCTACTGGGTATAACAGTAGATTCAGGAAGAGTCTCTACAGAGTTGGATCGATCCAGGCAGACGGATGGTTTCTTTATGGGAATGGGGTCTTAAAGATCCATCATGCACTATTTGCTCTGTTCCTCAGTAATATCAGTATAACACTGTTTCAATTTATTAGATGTATTTTTTGATATCATCTTATGACTGGGCATCATTTTTCCATTCCTTTGAATTGCATTCAGTATTAACCTTATTTTGCCTATAGGATGTAATCATTCGTTGCACTTGTTGTGTAAGAGGAAAACTTGATGACATTGAAAGCTCATGCAGAGGACATCTCTTCACTAATGAAGCCATCTTCATAACAGAGCTAAGCAGAGATCGAGACACTGCCAGATGCGTCAAGGACTTCCTTCTATTTATTCTGCTACTATGACAACTACAGCCAATGAGGTTCCATCATTATACTACGGTGATTAAATTACGGGAATTGCAAATCTGCAAAGATGATTGTGTCCACATCTTGATGTCTCTTGCTGTGCCACTGACAGTCAGGTAAATAGATGTATGCAGAGGTTGGTAGATATAATCAGCTGTGTGTATATATTTTTCTCCAAGCTGTACACACATACCTGTGGAAGACCAGGAAAGCTTAACCTGTCATAGTGTCTTAGCCAACATAATAAGAACCAATGAGCTGATAATATTACGGATCGTAATGGCCACCAGTGTACGGTTATGTACTGTTGCATGGAGCCATCTTCTGAGGAAAGTAGTCTGTTTGCCTGATCAAGAAAAAAATTATGTATTCAAGACCAAATGTTGGTTGGAAATGATAAAGGGTTTCTGAACTCATTTGCTCTTCTAAGATTGAATCAAGCAGTGCTTCAAATACCAAAGTTGTGTGGGTAAGTTCTGATTGCATTTATGGAAATTTGAATGTCGCCAAGCTGATTTATAATGAAAAGGCTCCAGTGACTGATGTCTGGTGTTGCTGCTCACAGCCACTTATGATGGAGAGTAGTTAAAATATTTATGGTTGTGTTTCACCATTTGATTGGTTCAGTTAGAGGGTTAACTCTCAGTTCTCTTTGGTTGGCGTTCCTTCTGCTAAGTTCAAGATAAGAAGCAGTGTGGGATTTTGTTTAAAAACCTGGAGGTTTCTAGAGAATCAGATTTTCATTAAGTGTGGTTAATGCAAATATATAACAACAGTCATTTGTCCTTGATATATTGGTGACTTTTCTTCAGTGAGACCCTGTGTGCATGCAACGCATGCATGTGCATGCCCTGGGTATATGTGCGCACATAGCACAGGTGTCAAACGATTGTGCATGTGCAAGAAGTGCACTTTTGGAAATAAAATAGCGAAATTGACAAAATCTGCCAGTGTTTTTACCAAATTTGATTTATTTGATTCAATTTCGTTTGATTTCCAGTGTAGTTTGAGAAAGTATCATGGAATATTTTGTTGATTGTATGTTTTAAAATGTAAATCTATTGGACTTTGCTTAAAATTACTTTTATTTTGTCTATATTATTAAAGGGATTCCCTTTGTATTTATAGTGATAAGGAAAATACTTCATGTGCAGGAGTGAGAATGTTTTTGCAAAATGCATTTTATATCGTAGGAAGGTTAATTTCAGGTAATGCAAATGAGAGAACCCTTTTGGGTGAAATTAGTCTGCATAACATTTTAAACTTTTACTTCAGTGTTTTGGGTAATTTTAATTACACAAAACAGGCAATGGCACTCAACAATAGGAGACAATTTGTAGCTTCATAAAAATTGGAATTCTTTTATGAAGTATTTAGTGTGTGGGCAATCAAAATGCTTCTTGGTTGTTATTGGAATCTTCATCAGTAATATATATAATAACATACATGATAAGAAATCCTATTGTTTGGCCCATTAGTTAGCTAGATTCATTTGGTGTTTTGTAAAAATCACAGTATAAAACACACCAAAATCATATCTGTGTGACCTCGTTTTCACACCAACACACAGATTTTGTGCCTGTGCTTGTGCATGCATGTGTGCACACACACACACACACACACACACACACACACACACACACACACACACACACACACACACACACACACACACACACACACACACACACACACACACACACACACACACACATTACTGCTGGATTCTGAATATGACTTCTAATGTTGGGTGCTGCTTTGCATGTTCTTGTGCATAGGAGTATTAAGTGCATAGTTCAGACTGAGATGGCGACATTAGAAATAATGTAGTAATGTCAATAGATATATATTTTTAAGAAGAATAATTCTGAAAAACTATGACATTTTTTTAGACTAAAACAGTGCTTTTTTAATAGGTATCACTTTGACAGGTCTTTAAGTGTAGTGCAGACTGGGCCAGTTGGTCTATTATGTGTATATCTGGAAGTGTGACAATTGCATGCATACAGCTAATTGAATGACACATGATTTATGCAGCAGTGTGTTGACAGTTCATGCTTTTTGTCTTATCATGTCATTGGTGTTGGTCATGCATGTGGTCATCTTTGCGTTTTGCTTTGCAAAGTTGTGACCCGTGGCAGTAAGTGAAATCTATAAATTTATTTATATTGAGTGAATTAAATAGACAGCTGTTTTCCAGATGAGTGATTCTTTTTATGATCCTGTAATGTGACTTTAATTAATCTGCCATGATCGTGAATGTATCGGTTCAAGTGGATGCTGGAAATGGTCTGTAATGTAAACACTTTTAATAGATTTTCTGCCTTGTCAGTTTGCGGTGTCCATACAGTGTGTCAGGCTTCCTCTGCAGAATTAACTTGGACAGCAATTGTGTCTAGAAAATGTGTGTTCTCTATTATGTTCCACATCATATCATATGGCTTCTGACCATGGCAATTATACAAGAGATCTAATTAGCAGCATGTCCTCATAATGGGACAAGTATATGCATTGAAATAATTCAGAGGTCATTATTATTATGGAGATCATTATTATGGGAGATGCATGGTGCCCATGGTTCATTATGGAAGCCAGAAGGTATTCAGTCATAGCAAATTACCTGGAGTATATGTTTTGTGTAGCCTCTTTCTGTAAGTATGCTGTTGTCCATTTCTTCTTTTTGTGCTCATGTGCACACAATTCCAGTTCTACTTAGACATGCAGATAGTTTCAGATCTGTTCTGACTTTATTGTATAAACATAGCTAGACCTCATTGTACCCACAAGCAGGATACATTCATGCCTAAGTTTTCTCCAGCAGTTCCCATTTTCAATCACTAGGTTCAGTTTCTATGCATTTTTTTTCTTATAATACTAGATATGTTTCATTTATTTAGTAGCTGTCTTCATAGAAACTTAATGTGATTTATGCCTGAACTATCGTCTTCCTTCTTCTTCCATTTAATTCCTGGAAAACATATATGCAATGCCATTTGACCTTAATCAGAGAAAACAAGATATAGTGTATCTCTACCATCCCATAGTTATGACATTGTGATGAGAAAGGCCAAACGGTGCCAAACAAGTTAAACCGTTATTATTGAATCTCTCCTCTTATTGATATCCCTGATATTATCTGGTATTGGAAAAATGATTTGTGTATGGCACAACATATGATATTACACTGTTGCCAAAACAGTTACTATGATTTATAGCAATGGCTACCAGTTGGCTTTAGGGAACTACCATATGCACTTGATGAAATATGAGTTAGCAACAGTTATGACAGTTATCTTAATTTTGAGTTGAACCCCATCAATTTGGAGCAACTTGATCTAATAGGCAGAAAGAAACATGGCAGTTGTTCCTTCTGTCACATGTTCTCTTCCTTGTCATTTGACTAACTTCATTTTTACCTAAAGAAGAATATAATTTCATTTTTTTTTAAATTGATCATCATGCAGATCTCTCTAAAACAAAGAAATGATACACTGTTTGTTTGTTGATATGCCACATCAGGTTCATTTAGCAAAGGAAAATGGGTTCTGTTGTGCAGAATTTGTCTGGTCTTGTGCAGAATGTTGAGGTAAGAAATTGATAATCAAAAGTATAAGTATTTGAGTCAAGTCAAATTCATCTTCGCATGTACTGCTCGGGGATACAGTTGTGAAGTAGGTGCAGGTTGGCACACAACTCGTGCACCGATTTCTGAACAGTTATAGCCAGTGATCCTGTCGTAAGTACAGACATGTTCATCATTGAGAGGGTGACCCAATAGGGCACAAAACTGAGATTTGAGGTTTGTGGGATTTAGCAAGATTTCTTCCCCACCAGAGACATGTAAGATATTTCGCACTTTTGGGCAGTCTAATCCACAGAAACTACAGCTGTCAACATGGTTTTTTGCTTTGTTTTTTGGGTGTAGTCACCAAAGTAGCTGGAAAAAATGTCGTTTTGTTCCCTGTATATTAGCTCATACTGGGGAAATGGGAAAGACTGTCTGGGTAGGTTTTGACAGTCCTAATAAAGAACTGAAATCATGCAAAGCCATGCTGTCCCCAGAAGTGGGTAAATTGCACAATAATGCTCTAGTATTTGCAGTATTATTGTGCACATGCAAATGATACTTTGGTACCTTATCTGTCTTTCCAAAAGGCAATGTAATTTAAATTGTCTGTTAGCCACTCTGAGGATATTACTAAGTAATGAAGGCTGGTTTCTAAGAAAAAGGTTTTTCTTTATATGGAACCTATTATTTTGCCAGGTCGTGAAATTATTGTCATTATTATGGATTTTGATGAAAAAGTATGTCCCAATATTTAGTTTTAACTGAGAAAGGATTAGTTCCTGTTAAAGGCAGATTAAACACTGCCCCAAATAAACAGGTTTTTTAAGGTTTTATTAAACATCTTACCAATCATAGGATCACCATCCTTGCAGGAAATTCAAATGGTCTCCTACTAAGCTGGTGACCCATTACTATAGTACTTAAATGTCAACTGTAGCATTTAAGAATCTGCTTAATTTTCTCTCTGTAGTTTCTATAAACCAGCCCCATAGGGACAATTCCCACAGATATTTGGATCGATCTATCTCCATGGGGAGTCTCACTCAATTGCTATCAAAATAACCGGCTTAAATGTCTGTCACGCCTAGCACAACTGTTAGGGGGTAATTATATTTACCCCTAGCTGATTCAGTAGGCGTGGCAGACATTTAAGCCACTTGAGCTGATAGCAATTTAGCCTGAACCCCCCCATGGAGTTAGGTCAATCCAGATAGATCGATCTAAGTATGGGAACCCAGTTATAGTGTTATTTTTGTCAGTCCTGTTACATCCTATGATAGTGGACCACATTTATTATGTTAAGATAAATGTCTTCCTTGAAACACTGCCCCTTTGTCTTAAGCTAATGATGAAAGCCAGACCACACAAAGTAAGAACAAAAGAAAAATTGATACATATTTTGGGTGTTGGCACTCTAGACCATTGGGAGCCTTTGAAATATGTTCTAAATGCTTGTTACTCTCATCTCCAGAGTTAAGCTTCTTTAGCTGAGGAAAAAAAACTTGAAATTTGTTTCATACAGAGAAAAAGAATGGCGGATATAATACTCTGCAACGTGCTACAAGCAAACGCATCCCACCAAATGGATCGAATCTAATGTGAGATCCATGGAATTGAATAACTACAAGGTTATGAGGAGAAGAAATTAGATCTCTTTTTTTAGGAACATTGCAAAATGGATCCAAATGAGGTGAAATTTTCCTAGGATAGATATTGATTTATGGCTTTTAAAGAACAATAGTGAATGTTGATGGTGCAGAGACCATGGGTTGCTTTTATTGTGAATTGTTTTATATTGCCACTTATTAGGCCTATGTGTAGGTGGATTGCCAACATTTACTCTCAGCTATCTGTTTTTCACTCCAGTTTGATGAAATACAGTACAGATACATAACGGTTTATTTGAATACAAAATTGAACGAAAAAATTCATTTTACAAATGCAAGGGACATAATGTCACAGATCCGTACTCCAAGTCATGATTTACATGCCATAAAACATTGCTCAGTTTCTATTTTCTGTCTCTTTCCAGATTTATTACAAGAGAAGGTGTAAGTGCTTACTGCTGAGCTCAGTGAATTGGATGGACTACATCAAAAGATTACACTCGGAGGACAGAGATAGCAAAGACAGAAAATCAAAATGAAGCATTTTGAAACAGTTCATGTGAATCCTCTAGATTTGTTGATTACTTTAAGATTGCCCCATTTATATCGTTTATCTACAGAAGCAAACACAGGAGCAAGGGATGATAAGACTTATGGAAATGGATATATTCTAATGGGGTCCACCTTGTGTTTGTTCACTAAATAACTCTTTTGATTTATCAAATTATACCAGAGCTTTGAAGCGTGTTTCTGCAAGTGATGGTGTTTTGGTAATTCTATTGATTCAGCATGAGCTCATATCAGAATCAGGATACGGGGTCTAGAGGAGTGGAAAGAGGGTCCATGTTTCGGAGAAACGACAGTCGGGCATCGAATCTTTCCTCATTCGAAATGAATGACTTGCTGCGAAGGAACAGGGCGGGGTCCCTGGAGAACAGCGAACTGGACGTCAACTCGAGTACAAACTCTCAGACGTTTACGGATTTCCGTCCAAAGCAACTTGACAAAAACTATGAAGCACGCTATAATTTGCTACGGACTAAAGCCTTTTCTAGGCCATCGATTCAAATGAGAGTGTATAACTTCCTAGAACGTCCCACAGGATGGAAGTGCTTTATGTATCATTTTACTGTGTAAGTATGGGTCTACTTTATGGTATTCATTATCCTGATTGTCCTTACTAATTACTCTACCTGCCACACAGTACCCAGGAGAAATCCACATAATTTAGAACATGGGCCACATGCATTATTTATACTAACCGTGCAAGGTCATACCTGCTATGGGAATGCATTCACTGTGTGAAGAAATGATATCGCTATCTGTTGAAAACAAATTGGCTGTCAGAAAGGTAGTGCCCACTCCCCACAGACTGGTGCCACCTGAGCTGCTTTCTGAAGCCTGATTAAGTTCCAAGTAATACTAACTCTCACAAAGCTATTTAGACAGCAAAGTATGGGGTGATCTGTTTATATTTCATTTATTTGTGTATTTTTATTTATTTATTTTTGTTTCCTGTGTTTACATATCATTCAAATAAAGCTTCTAATATAGCTTTCCCAATTCAGACATAAAAATTCATTAACCCCATAAAGACCATTACTGCACCAGCTGCTCTGGCCAACAATGTTCAGGTGAGCTGAAAAGCTGGCTCAAGTATACCTAATAGCAAAACAAGCATAACTTGGAAACTAATGGAGGTAACTTGCTGAAATTTACTGGATTGACAGTTAACATAATTGGCATCATCCCTGTGAATTTGCAGGCAAATGTGTGGAGAAATGAAAAAAATGTGCATAAGATAAATCACCTTTTTTTTTTCGCCCATTACCAAATGATAATGTAGTTTTTAACCTATCCATAACTCTTGATACAGTATGTAAAATGTAAATGTAATTCCATTTTCATTTAGCTTGAAGCCTAGGCTTTTTAAAAATATGCACTTTGTATGGGTAATAAAGGCACCCAAATAAATTATGGCCAATTTACTGAGGTGACCCTGCTTTTCAAGGCTAGCTCACAGAATGAATTGGGCCCAGCAGAAGTTAATGGGTCAGCATTAACCGGTACCTATTGGGTTAAACCCCTAAAATAAAAGAACCTGATGTTAGCATTTCCTTTTGTTTTGTACAGGAAGACATGGTGGTGTAAGTGTCTGGCCAATCATTAAGAACTTACTTTAATCATACGATTATTCTTGGTATAAAACATTACATCGAACCCTAGTGCATGCTGACGAGTAATGATTCATGTGTAGGAGAATTCGATTTGTTTGGAAAATCTTGGATAGAATACCATTTAGCTGTAGAAGGTCTTCAAAGGACTCTAGGTACATGCATGATAATATCTCGAGGTGAAAGATCATTCAGTATATAGTGACTACTCAATAAAAGCACAGCAGTAATCTGTACAGAAGAGTGCTATACGTTGAAGTGTTCATATCTTTGATTGTCTCTTGGCTCTGAACTCTGCATGGGTCATCATTGACAAGCAGTGCACATGTGTTGTAGAAAGATAGTGTAACATTGCCAATAACAAGTGCTACTCATTCCAATCTGATCACTTATTATACCCCATTCAAGTATTGGCAAACGTGAAGGATGACTTTTGAAAATCTTTGAAAAATCCAAATCAAGCACTTCTTGCCATGACAGAGAAGCCCTCAGAGCATTGTAATACAAAGAACACATCAATCACTGAAGCTCTGAAGATTAGGGTGGAATTAATGAAGAACTGGTTGACGTATAAACTAAATACATTCATATGTATACACAGTTGCGCAAGCTTAGCTAGTTGGGGCTTGTTTTGCATAACAGCCAATAATTACTCATTTCTATTGAACATTTGGTGCACTTTCTCAGGAAAGGTTATTACTTCATATTTAACAATTTATCTGCATGCAGACATAAAAGTGGGGTGAAAAGGCCAATTATGAATTAATTGGCATTCAAATTAACTAAATGAGAAAAATTTCTTTGATATGGTTGAAAATATTGTCAATCCAAGAAGAGGGTTGCTTCTGAAGTTCCTGGTAATTTATTTACGTGGAAATATTATGCAAGTTTTTGTGCATCTTTTGGCTAAACTAATAGTGAAAATGACCACCATATACAGGCCTTATACAAAAGAGCTGTTTATGATCCTGATCCTGGGGTTTGTGATCAAATGCCAAGTTAATGATGCCACAGTTTCATTGCATGAGTATAAAAAAAGTGGTCTCTATCAGTGTGATGCAAATCATGAACCGTTAATCCGCTTACCTACCCGTTTGGTATGTTCCGAATGTGCCTGGGATTGTTGAAAGCATATAACTTACGTATTGCAAAAAAAATTTGGGGTTGAGAAAAAAAGCCTGAAAGTTTTAACAGAACTGGATAAAAGAACTCTTTCATGTGCTACTCATAACTATTATTTCTATGTTCATGGGATAAAATGGTGATTGGAATCATTAATTCGGCATTCGCAATCACATATTCGTGGCTCCTCAAGATCATAAACAGCAATCATCATTTATAGGGCCTGATAGGTAGCCCTTCAGATGAAGTCTTAATCCTGGATTTAAAGTACCTAGCGTCTGTGTCAACAGATTATATACTAATTGCTCTACATCTTTAGGTTTCATGCTGAGCCTGATCTCACTTCAGAAGAGATTGGAATAACATTCAGTATGAAATGTCATCATTGGGTTTTTGTCCCTGCTGCATTATGAATAAATATCACAGTGACACAAGACACTGTGTGCTCTTTCAATAAGACATTTTTTTCCATGCTGGGGTAGAATTTTCCCATATCATTGCTAAACTGTCAAATCCTTCATTTTTCGATCTCCCATCTGACAAAATTCCTCGCTTTTGTTCCGTGCATTATTGCTATCTAGCCTGTGCAATTCCTTGTTAAGTACTTCATTATTGAACTGTTACCGAACTGTTGCTCTGGCCTTTGATTCTGACTTTGGCAGTTTGGTTGTCTGTGCAGCACAGATAGACAATTTGTGTAAGTGGGTGGGATATATCATATCTTTCAGCAGCCCGATGCATTTGCTGGCTGCTGCAATGTGGAGGCTCTTCTGCCTGCAGACACTTCAAAATCTGTCATGTCATCCAGCCAAGGAGGCAATCACCATATTGGCTGCCATATGCCACATTGATAAGACCATGGTGCCATCTAGTGCAAATACACTCCACTCTTATAGATTTTTTTTAGAAAAATCTGATCAGGCCCATAGGCAGGGGATTCGGGATTGAATGAGGCACACTTTTGGCTTTGTCCATCTGTTATGTGTCAAAATGTGATCTACATGAATGTTTTATGGCATTTATGGCAAAAAGGTTCACTTAATTTATTAACAAAAGCAGCCCCCTTTCTTTTGAAATTGCTGGCTACAGGCCTGCAGGTGATTAACTTTAAGTCAGAAATACTTATGGATATTTCACAGATAATAACAAAAAATGATAAAATATTAATATTAATATTAAATGATTAAAAATAGTAATAAAAAATGTTCACTGATATGCATAAGGTTTTTTTCCTTTTTATTCCAAACTATTAATTATTATGACACATTATAAATTTCATCCATTATTTTTATGAATGAGTTCTAGTTGTTCCAAGACTTTTGTATGAAAGGAATATTTACTTGTTGTAATTTGGGATGTGTGGCTGCTATCTTCAGGTTCATGATGGTGCTGATCTGCCTGATTTTTAGCGTCCTCTCCACAATAGACCAGTATTCAGAGTTTGCCAATGAAACACTATTTTGGATGGTAAGTCCATTTCATAACACTTTCTGAATTACCGTGAGAAATATATAGGCTGTACAACATGTATATATATACTAGTATATCTGTTATAAGCTCGTGGTTATATGCATTTTGAATATACTCAATGATTGACACATGGCTTTACAATCTGCTGATTAACTCTGTGGAGTTAACAAATGCTATACAAGACATTGTGTAAAGTTAAGTTGATTTGTTAATGGTAAGAATATAAAGTACAGGACTTTCCCTTCAAATCCTTTCTGAGTATTGTTTGTTTTAATACAGCAACATTTATCATGATTTATCTGGAGTGACTGGAGTCAAAGGAGACACTTAATTCTTATCATTATAGATTCATTTTGTACCAATTATGACAAGAACAGCACTGTTGTTAATGTATTCTGTAGGCAAACAGACAATTTAATTGCTCCACGTAATTTGGTGAAATGACATTATTATCAGAGGTTCATATGTGTAAGGCCCCTATTTCACACAGACCACGAATCCCACGAATTCGCCAGGAATTGACAAATTTCAGGATTCTTGAGGATTCGTGAGTTTTTGCCAATTTTCTGGTCTAAGTTGACACACTCACGATACAGGTACGATATTGTTATGAATATTCGTGGGATTCGGCTGGAATCCTGAGATTTTGCCAATTTTCTGGTCTAATTCGACACGCTCTACGATTCAGTTACGATANAAAATGTTCACTGATATGCATAAGTTTTTTTCCTTTTTATTCCAAACTATTAATTATTATGACACATTATAAATTTCATCCATTATTTTTATGAATGAGTTCTAGTTGTTCCAAGACTTTTGTATGAAAGGAATATTTACTTGTTGTAATTTGGGATGTGTGGCTGCTATCTTCAGGTTCATGATGGTGCTGATCTGCCTGATTTTTAGCGTCCTCTCCACAATAGACCAGTATTCAGAGTTTGCCAATGAAACACTATTTTGGATGGTAAGTCCATTTCATAACACTTTCTGAATTACCGTGAGAAATATATAGGCTGTACAACATGTATATATATACTAGTATATCTGTTATAAGCTCGTGGTTATATGCATTTTGAATATTCTCAATGATTGACACATGGCTTTACAATCTGCTGATTAACTCTGTGAAGTTAACAAATGCTATATAAGACATTGTGTAAAGTTAAGTTGATTTGTTAAAGGTAAGAATATAAAGTACAGGACTTTCCCTTCAAATCTTTTCTGGGTATTGTTTGTTTTAATAAAGCAACACTTATCATGATTTATCTGGAGTGACTGGAGTCAAAGGAGACACTTAATTCTTATCATTATAGATTCATTTTGTACCAATTATGACAAGAACAGCACTGTTGTTAATGTATTCTGTAGGCAAACAGACAATTTAATTGCTCCACGTAATTTGGTGAAATGACATTATTATCAGAGGTTCATATGTGTATTGCCCCTATTTCACACAGACCACGAATCCCACGAATTCGCCAGGAATTGACAAATTTCAGGATTCATGAGGATTCATGAGATTTTGCCAATTTTCTGGTCTAAGTCGACACGCTCACGATTCAGTTACGATACAGGTACGATATTGTTACGAATATTCGTGGGATTCGGCTGGAATCGTGAGATTTTGCCAATTTTGTGGTCTAATTCGACACGCTCTACGATTCAGTTACGATACAGGTGTGATAGTGTTACGAATATTCGTGGGATTCGGTTGGAATCGCACGAATATTGTCCAGAAATTCACTACGATTTTTTGGAATCGGGAGTTCGTGGCCTAAACTTTGAACAGCTCAAAATTTTTGCCACGAATTCCCGATTGATCAAGAATTGCAAGAACTGACTACGATTATATACGAATCTGTCAAGAACTTCACTAACTGATTACGATTCAACCACGAATCCTGAAATTTTCAATTCCTGGCGATTCGTGGGATTCGTGGTCTGTGTGAAATAGGGGCATCATAGTTTTTGCCACCAATTCCTGTCGGTCAAGAAGTGCAAGAACTGACTACGAATATATACGAATCTGTTAAGAACTTCACGAACTGGTTCCGATTCAACCACGAATCGTGAAATTTGTCAATTCATGGCCATTCGTGGGATTCGTGGTCTGTGTGAAATAGGGGCATAAAGGAAATGAATTGTATGGCAACAAGAATCCTGTTACTGTGGGCAAGATGGATGATGGATTTTCTGTCAAATTTTAATGTAGCAGACAACATCCCTGAAATCCTACAGGAAAGAATAAAGGCCTATATATGGTAATCTGCTCAAAACTAGATTATTGGCTTATCATGGCATGAATTTGAGATAAGTGATGAAAGTCATTAAGATATTGTTTCTCATAATATTGCATATGAAAGGGCTTTGTAATCCAAAAACAATTCATCAGATCTAATTAAAAGAACTGAAAATCGTGATAAGGCTATAAAAAAGAAGATTGGGTTTGGCTCGTGAAGTTTCCAGGCCTGATAAACAAAATGACTATTCTTCATCTTGAGCCTTGGTTTTGTGATCCTGAACACCAAATTAACATCTTGACTTCATGACTTGTGAAACGTGAATTCATGGCACTGCGATGCAAACTGCTAACTGTTAATCCACTCATCTACCCATTTGAGATGATTCGTCTGTGCCAGTGATTGTCAAGAGCACATTACTCTTGTATTTTAAAAAAATAGTTAAGGCATTGAGAAAAAGAATCTAGATGTAGACAGTGAAAAGCTGGATAAAAGCTGACCAAATTGTACTCACTTTTTTTACGATACTTGCAACCACTACTTCACACCATGATATTGCTGTTTTAGTCATTAATTAGGCATTTGCGAATGCAAATCTCAAGATCACAAATGGCAATTATGATTTATGAGGCCTGGTGTCTGTCAAAGCACATTTCTTTATAACCAGCTTCAGAGTGTGTCCCCTGAAGTTACTTAAAAGACTAGAAATAGAGGCCATTCAGAATGAGAAAAGCCGAGTCCTAGCTAGGCCACGACCTAAATATGGCAGACCTACATGAAAGAAAGACCGCTTAATCCTGTAACGGTCTCTCTGCCTCTCACAGGCCCCCCCACGCGTCGTTCCTTCCGGGGACCAGTAATTACATCTCGGCTCAATTCAAATGGTCAAGGGACGACACATGGGGATCCGTGTGAGAGGTGGAGAGACCATTACAGGATTAAGCAGTCTTCCTTTCACAAAGGACCGCCGTATGTAGGACCTGGCCCAGCTAGCACTCGGCTCTTTTTNACTTTTTTTACGATACTTGCAACCACTACTTCACACCATGATATTGCTGTTTTAGTCATTAATTAGGCATTTGCGAATGCAAATCTCAAGATCACAAATGGCAATTATGATTTATGAGGCCTGGTGTCTGTCAAAGCACATTTCTTTATAACCAGCTTCAGAGTGTGTCCCCTGAAGTTACTTAAAAGACTAGAAATAGAGGCCATTCAGAATGAGAAAAGCCGAGTCCTAGCTAGGCCACGACCTAAATATGGCAGACCTACATGAAAGAAAGACCGCTTAATCCTGTAACGGTCTCTCTGCCTCTCACAGGCCCCCCCACGCGTCGTTCCTTCCGGGGACCAGTAATTACATCTCGGCTCAATTCAAATGGTCAAGGGACGACACATGGGGATCCGTGTGAGAGGGGAGAGACTGTTACAGGATTAAGCGGTCTTCCTTTCATGAAGGTCTGCCATATGTAGGACGTGGCCCAGCTAGCACTCGGCTCTTCTTATTCTGAATGGCCTCATAGAAAGACAGCTGGAAAAACATTGAAATTTGACAGTGGTATTGAGCTCCCCCTGTGTAGTGTATGTCACCATGATATTGTATGTATTGTTATTTGTGATGAATGGTAACAAGAATAAATGCTTGAAAATAAAAGCAATTAATGCAGCCATACGACATCTAAACAACATAATTATGATACAAAGCTGTGCAGAGGAGCTCACACTTGCACTGTTCAAAACTTGACTTTTTAATAAGTCTTTTCAACGCGAAGGTTTGAATCCCTAAAAGCAAATGAAATAGGCTTTGTTCCAGGTCAAAGCTTACAGGTATAATAACAAATTTCTAGAAGGAATGAAAATACTCATTGTTGGGTTCAATATTTCAGGGAAAAAACAATCCTGTATTAACTAAGTAATGTTTCATGTAATGAAAGAGATTATTTACAACCTGCAGGCTAGACACGGATGTATAAGCAAATATTTCATAAGCATAATCACTTGCTCTTTGATATCCTGCCATTAATAATGGTTGTTATTGAGGCATCATATCAGAGAGAGTGGATAAATATGTGTAAATGAAGACTGATATATTGATTGTGATTTTTAAGCCTTGTAATTACTGATGTTTAATCAGAGATCAAAAGAATAAAGACAGACAAATTGGAGGTGTTTGGCGAGAGGATGTTTTTTCATTAATTGATGGATCTGATCGTAAGACTTTCTTTTATTTCATGGAAATACTATTATTTCACTAAAGGGCATCGGTAGTATTATTAGCCTGGATATACTCTGTTTTTGCTCTCTCTCCAGGAAATGACATTTAGCCCAAATTTTTTCAGGAAGTTGTTCTATTGAGTGTATTTTAGGATTATGTGCCATGTCTGTTTTCTTTTCTTGGTTTCCAGGACAGAAATGTTGTTTTCATATAAATTTTTAGATTAAGTTATTGATTTATGTGCTATCTTTTCACATCAGGAAATAGTATTGGTGGTATTCTTTGGACTGGAATACGTGATCCGTCTATGGTCTGCTGGCTGCAGGAGTAAATACATGGGCTTGGTGGGAAGGCTGAGGTTTGCCAGAAAACCAATATCTATAATAGGTTGGTACACAGTGATCCAGATGCTTGTTGTAGAAACCAGTATTTTTCTTTCTTTCTTTCTTTCTTTTTTTTCTTTCTTTCTTTCTTACCAAGAGACTTTTTATTGAAACAAAGCTAGGTTTATGACCACCTGAGAAATAACTCAACATGTGACTAGAAGTAATTGTATTTTATCTAGAAAAATTGAAAATAAATTAATAAGTTAAAATTGGTCTTACATTTATATTGACAATACATTTAGATCAATCTTTGAAAATTACCAAATATTACCAACAATAATGAAAGCATGGTTCATTGCAAAAAGCCCCGAATATATTGATTTTATTTCATTCCTTCTTATTTTCTTGTCTATACTGTTCAGTATTTCATATTTGGACATTTGCATAAGTGATTTGTGTAATTATTTCAGATCTAATAGTGGTTGTAGCATCAGTGGTTGTGCTGTCCATTGGCTCCAATGGGCAGGTGTTTGCTGCTTCAGCCATCAGGTGGGCTTACATTTCAATTTTCATACCAAATATATAGTAATATAAGAATTAATTAATTTTTAGATAGTCCATTGCATATGTATGTTGATATCATTCTTCAGTGTTTAGGTATAAAGATAAACCAAATATAGACATGAAGATTGTTGGGCTACCAGTATTAAATATATTATGATAATTGGAACCATGCCTTGAGTGGTCTTTTATAGGTATTTATATTTTATTATTCTTATTATGGCAGATCTAGAGCTATACCAGAAAAGCACCCTTGATTTCTTTATACTCTTTTACTGGGCTGAAAATCTGTGAAAACAATTAGGAATGACATGTATCAAGATCAGTTTGATTAAATGTCAGTGTGTGTGTGCATACCCATGTATATGTGCACTCACACATTTTTTTAGAATAATTTGTGAAACGATTGTTCTTTCTCATCTGTAAGTTATGATGACATATTTGATTCTCTATAGACTGAGAATGCAGAAAAGATGCAAGAATAGTTTTATCTCAATGTATTATTGTAGTCTTATCTAGGACTAACATACACTGAACAACAAAGCCAAAAGCTTCTGAGGAAAATGCTGATTTTAATTTATATAAATTTCTTTAATCAATTTTTGAAAGTTAAAAATCAATCTTGGTCATAAGAAACTGCAGAAATCCTTTTTTGACATGTAAGCCTCCACAGCCGACTTTAAAGCATGCTGTGCATTGCTATCCCTACTTGAAGAAAAATTTTACTCTCTGAAGCCCAAAAATGAACAAAATGATAAATTCTTGTCATTTCCTACTTGTACAGAACTTGGTGTATGTGCACCCAAAATTATTATCAGTTTTAATGCCACTGAGAGTAATGCTAGTGCTTTGCACTGAGATTTTATACATGTAGGCTCGGACTTTCAAGGTGTTACCTTTCTTTGTAAAACTTGTTTCCCTGGCTTGAAATATCAATATCTGACACACAACAGCTTTCTTCACAAGCTATGTTTTTCATGTAAATGCTGTGAAAGATGGCTGGAAATGACTGGAAATAATCATCTTTATTTATTTTTAGATTCTGGAAAGTGGCATTAAAATTAGGAGCGTCTTTGTAACATAAACTGCCATTATTATCTCATTATTAGATTGCTTTTGCAACTTGTTACCCAGGCTTGTTGGCCACTGCATCTGCTTATACAAATACTTTAGAAATATCTGTAACTCGATTTTTTTAGATATTTGCAAAAAAAGTTTTCAAAAACTTGTAAAAATTCAGTAACTTCATTTATTTAACCAAACAACCTCTTTTTTATATTTCACTACATTGACATTAAATTCATTGTGTGAGTTTTCTCTTGTGCCTGGGGCACTGATCTACAAATATATTTTCATTGTCTTATTTCATTTATTTTCACTAATGCTTAGGTTCATTCAGTACATTTATTAGTTATGGTATATAACCTGATTTTTATGAATTTTTTAAAAGTATTGAAGGATGCCTTAACGGGAAAAATCCTCTTCTGAATCAGCAAAAAATTTGTAGATTGTTATACATAATTCCAAAGTCTCATACCATGCATACATTCTAATGTAATTATAAAAGTAACAGAACTGTGATTTAATTCCACAAGTCCCTTTCTTAGCCTGGGAATTGATTTTTTCACCACCCTTGTGACGTTAATTATATCAACTTCAAGAATATTCCTATCCCTGGGATCATTGTCATGATTTTGTGTCTGTTCTGTAAATGATGAAGTTCTGTATCAAAGTCAGATTAAGGACCGTGTGCTCTTATTGAAACTTCTCGTTCATTAGTAAGTCCATTGTCATGACAACCAGTGGTACTTAGTTTCGCTGGTACATTAACTGGTATGTAATAATTGTTATTACAAAAGGCCGTCTCCATTTTCATCTGTCACTGTGTTTACAGTTCATATTAGGTTTCCTGGTCCTCACGTCATGCACACAAGGGACTTTTCATGGAAGAGATGATTTGTCATTGAAGATCATTAGCCCGTCACTATGTCATCTCTTGTCCAGGATTAATTCAGAATCTCGGTACTTCTGTAGGTTGATGAGTAAGGGCCATTGACAGGTCCCCTAGGGACACATGAATATATGAAATAATACGATGTTCAATTATTAAGATTTTACTGTACTCTAGTGTCATCTTAGTGTGCATATACCTGTCAAATAGCACATTCTGCCAGTGTATGTTGGTGAATAAATTGCAATAAAATATATGTTGTGGTAATCATCCTAAATTGGCTCCTGTCACACTGCTGCCACAGCAACAGATACTGTGGAACTTTCCTTTGAACTGGTATATCAGAACCTCGTGTAGATGTTTGAAGATTTCCTGTTTGATATTGATAGTTAGGATATATGTAAAAGAAAAAAATAAGGTTCATCAGTTCTGTATCTGTGGTTTGGACCTGTTTTTTTTTTTTTTTTTTTTTTTTTTTTTTTTTTTTTGTCATTTAAAATTCTGCTTTATTTAGAAGTAAATAAACAATGGGAAGGCTTTTGTACAGTTTCTTAGACTATATATATGGGCATGCAGTCATAGCTCTTCTTTAGCTTTGAGTAATATAAAGAGATGCTTCACTCTTGTTTCACTGCCCCTTACACCAACTTATATAGCTATCAGTAAGTCAACTTGACAACACTGATGTTTTTTCATCATTTACTTGTGTTTATGCAAGAAAACCATGTTGTCATAAAATAGCAAAAATAACAGAGGCTTAAAACTGCTGGCGTTCTGATAAGGCTCTATATTACAGTGCTCAGATGCATATTTAATATTCCTAGTGATGGCTCGGATGGCCTTTTCACTTATCACAGTACGACTGTAATGTTTGTGAATCTGTCTGTCCACAACTATTTGGTCCATCTGTTTGCTCATCTGTTGTGTTTGGTGTGTGTGTATGTGATTGTGTATTTGCGTCTATTTGTGTGTATATATTTGTGTGTCTATGTACAATGTATATATACATGTATGTGTGTGTGTATTTGCGTGAGGGTGTTTGTGTGTCCATAGTAAATATCAAAATTGAAGACATTCTTGGACCCTTTCATATTTTACAATATTCTAGATTGAAGGGCCTCATATTCATTGAGCAAGGCTCTTAGTATTAGTATTTAAGGGTTCGTTCACATGAAAAATCTATTTTCTAAAAATCTAAAAATCTATTGGCGGTATCTTGTGATCACGGTCTGTGCCCTGAATACCCCGCGGCGTAAATACTGGCAGCGCAAGCCAGTTACTTCCAAAGCTGTAATTTTTTCTCGGCTGCGCTCGGAGGAGATTCTCATACCTTGACGCATGCTTGCACTTGTATCTTAGCTATGAAGCTAGTGTGTAATCATCGTGAGAGATATGATTTTTGTCAAACTTTTTCATTAAATCTGCAGAAATATTTGAATTTTACTATTGTTACATTATATACATGTGTATGGGTATATGTTTTCAGGGGTATCCGCTTTCTCCAGATCTTGCGTATGCTGCATGTTGATAGACAAGGTGGCACATGGAGACTGCTAGGTTCTGTTGTGTTTGTTCATAGACAGGTACACCTTAGTTTAGTGCCGTTTTTTATGCAGGCTTGGGATAAAAGCATATCTATGGCAATAAAGATGACCATTTAATTAGAATGTCAGAATGTAAATTCAAGATTCATATATTTTTCTTGTGAGCGTTTTTTTTTTTTTTTTACAGGTTATATATTTTGTGAATACTAAAAGGAAAAGAAGACCTCTGCTTCTTTAATCTTGTAATTGCTGCTTTGTAATTTAGCAAAAGTAGTTGGAATGATTTACTGCTGCAGCTTAAACTATTAATTTTTCATCAGTTACATAGTCTCCAGCCTGCAACTAATTGGCCACTCATTTTTTTAAATGATTTGATTAGAATTTAATGCATTGATTATGCATATAAAGACACATGAATGCATTAACTTGTTGAAGGTCTAAAACTTAAAACAGCATGTATGCCATGCATATACAGTATAACATTCAACTGAGATTCATATGGAAAGTTTAATTTCTCAATCACTCTTTTAAATGGGTTCATATTATGATATTTTTCAATAATTTGATATTCTTCACTGATGTTAACAGCATGTATTAAAAGCATACTGATGTCTCTTGTGTAAACAGTTTAATGCCGCATACAATTAACATAGGCCGCATTCTCAACGAACTGAGCCAGGCTTTACAAATCCTGAGAACTAAAAATGGCGGACGTACATGAAAGAAAAACCGCCTAATCTTTTAATAGTCTCTCCGCCTCTCACACACCTCCCCACACATCGTCCCTGCAGGGTACAGTAATTAAATCTCGGCTCCGAACATGAATATCTCCATGAATATCTCTGGTGATATTATCTCCGTAGATAGTCGATTCATTGCTGCTCTACAGGCCAATTCATTCCTTTTTCGTCTCTGTTTTGAAAGATAATAGAACAGAAGAGCTTTTTTCCTTCGATCGCCTTCAGCCGTAATATTTCTCAGGTAGATTCCACATGGCGAACGGAGCCGAGATTTAATTACTGTACCCCGCAGGGACGACGTGTGGGGAGGCGTGTGAGAGGCGAAGAGACTATTAAGAGACTATTAAAAGATTAGGCGGTTTTTCTTTCATGTACGTCCACCATTTTTAGTTCTCAGGATTTGTAAAGCCTGGCTCAATTTGTTGAGAATGCGGTCATAGACATAGAAAGCAAAGTTTCTATACCAGCTTGACAAAATAATATATTGATAAAGAAATCACTACAGCATGATCGAAGAACACCAAAAATAAAATTATATTATGGAAAAGACTGACACACTTTTCATTGTCAAGTATATATGCATTTCAAAAACTGACACTTATTTATTTCAGGAGCTTATCACTACATTATATATTGGTTTCCTTGGCCTCATTTTCTCTTCCTACTTTGTGTACCTGGCAGAGAGGGACCAGGATGAAGGAGCCAATGGGGAGACAGATTTTAACAGCTATGCAGACGCTTTATGGTGGGGGGTGGTAAGTGACATAAAATGTCCAGGATAGTTTTCCTTAGGTAGACCTGTAGCTAGGACCCACCATACACAGTGGTGGGTCTGAGTGTGGAACTTTCCGTCTTGATACTACTTATTGAAATATATGGTTAATTGACCTTTACATATATAAAAAAAGTATATAATTCACACTTTGAATTATAAAAATTGACATTTTTTAATTTAAATATATTTTGAAATGAATAAAAATTGTGTTCCAGGTTTTGTTGTCTGGATCAGGATTAAAATTGAAGGGAAATTCGTCTTCATTGGCTTATTCACAGCCACTATGATATTTCTTCATTGCCATATATATATATATATATATATATATATATATATATATACACACACACACACACACACACACACACACACACACACACACACACACACACACACACACACACACACACACACACACACACACACACACATATACACACATTCACTTGCATTTAAATCTGCTTAAATCATATGCAGGTAAATATGTCTCCTTCAGATCACTGTCACCACAATAGGCTATGGGGACACCGTGCCAAAGACTTGGGTGGGAAAAATTGTGGCTTCCTGTTTTTCCGTCTTTGCAATTTCTTTCTTTGCTCTCCCAGCTGTAAGTATACCTTTTTTCCCTTAATGGCTACTGAGTTAGAAATATTGCTAAATATATTAAGAAGCATAAAAATAGATTTTACCATTAATCTTTCTTTAATTCATTGATTTTGATTAATGTGGATGTTAATTCTGCTCATATTTCACAGGTAACTTAATTGAAATTCTGAAAGAAATAGTATATAGATCTAGTAACAGTCAGACCACAAATTAAATTGCATAATCATCATTGTCACTATATATATATACGTAAGATTAACAGCTAGCTCTCTCGGTATGACAATAGATTCAATTCTAATTAGAAACAGTTTTACGTAACCAAAAAGGATACTGGGAATATTACAGAGGAGAGCATAATTGTTCTATGAATAATTTAGACGGAACTGCAGGTGGTTCAGAAATATTGATACCAAATGTTGACTTTTGGGATCTGTGCCTGCGGCACAATTGACTACCTACAAGAGTAGTCATGTCCAGATGCAGCTTGTTTGAGGGTGTCTGTGTTGTTGACTGGGTAAACCCATAGAGTGAAATGTAATACATGTCGGCTAACTTATTGATACTTTTAGGTGGAAATCAATATGTTTTATCGTCAACACTGTACACTTTAGTATGTGTTGTTAGAGACGCTGATAGGCCATTAAGGTTACAGCACACCTTCAACTTTGTATCAAAGGGAAAAAGAACAGGCACATTCTATCTAGAACTGAAGTCTGGGAAGAAACAGATAAGACTAGACACATTGATCTTTTGCCATTGGGAGGCAAATGTATATTAGCAGGAAATTTGAATAGGTGACACTCATCTCACTGTAGAATATCTGGGGAGGAAAATCAGATGTGGTGTGTAGGAGTAAGTGGCTTGTTGGAGATGCCTCTGGGGGAGGAACTGATTTGAACATCAATCCCTTGAGGAAATTTGGAAGATGATTTTGCACTGACTGGCTGAAGTAATTTTCCTTGAATGAAGCCAATATTTTCTTCCCTGGCCAATACTATATTTCATATTCATCAGTATGTAAGCATAATAATAATAATAGATGCATTGTTTATAATGAGACAACCATGGAAAAAGTATGGGTAGCTCATACTCTTATGGTCCACTATCCCAATTTTTGTTATTAAATCTTGTTTTAGGATGAAGTTATGCCCCATACAGATTGCTATCTTACCTTCAAATAGAAAGGTGTTTAATAGACGATTGAAACTTTGAGTTGCCTATGCTAATACATTGCAACAAAAATAAATGGCAATATTTCATATTTTCGAGAGTATTTTCATTGTTTTAAATCAGCACAAAGATAGATGCATTATTGAATAATTAGATGCAGGAAAAAACTCATTTTCGGTATCTGGATGATAATAAAGGATAACAATATCCTTTAGATTGGTACGTCACATTTTTTAAAAAAACAAAAGCAAAATAAAAATTGGAGAGTTTATCGACAAGCCGTGTCTTTTTATACATTGACATATTGTTAGATGATAAGTTCATGACTTCATGCCAAGAATGTGTGTAGCTTTCCTGAACTAACTGCTTACTTAGTGTGTACTCAACTTGACATAATGTTGTGCTAATGCTCGCTGACAGTTAAATCAATCTAAATCAATTGACATGGCGGTGGAACTTAACTTCAACTGACATTACAAAGGTGAAGTCAGGAGAAAATTCTGATGGATGAACAAGTCATTTGAAAAGTTATATTTTCATATCCCAGTGGAAATGTATTGATTAGTTTTTACCTAGGAAACTGTGGATTTTGCTAATAAGATGCCACACAGTTTCAACAGAAACGGATTTAGCCTATCTGCTAAATTTTCTGGAAACCTTTGTTCAAGACTTCTATACGATGAAAAATTAATTGTGCTATAAAAATAGACTTTCTGCTTTGTAAACCGTACATCTCATCAATATTAGACAAAATTGGAGAACTTGAATTGATCATGTTAATGCACATTTCTAGCAAGGCAGAACATTGCAGGAATTGGTCTTGTTCATAATTTTACTAAATGCACTTTTAACTTTTTTAGCCCTTTCTTGGAAAGTAAGTTTGATCTTATTGGTTGGGATAGTCCCTTTATATTGCAGTACTTGATTCTCTTCAAGTTCAATGGAACTTGTTCCTGGAAATAAGAAAAATGTGATTTCCTTTGGGATAATTAGGTCACGGATACTGCTGATACAGGGAAATTGATGTCACGGGTTAAATCCATCGCAGAGACTTTGAAATGAATTGAACATTTAGGGTTAACATCTTTACTTTAAGGCATGAGCAGCAAGGAATACTGATTCTTTTTATTCTTTTTTACCTATTATTTTTATATTTAAAATATGGTGATTTCAGTGTAAATTAAGTTGCATACGATGTCAACACTCAATTTCTAATTTTATGAACATACACTCAGATATACAGTATATTGATGGTTTTTTCCTAGTGGAAGGTTATTGTGTCCAGGTAAACCTCAAGAAGAAGAAATCCCTTACAAATTTAAACAAATTAACATTTATTGTGTGATGTGTTTTATTCAACTATGATGTAATGATTGTAATTATCCAACCCTTGGGTTGCAAGTTTGGTAATAATAATAATAATAATAAATGTGTCTGGTATATTTGTTTTACATTGCAGGGTATTTTGGGATCAGGATTTGCTCTTAAAGTACAGCAAAAACAGAGACAGAAACATTTCAATAGACAGATTCCAGCTGCTGCTACTTTAATACAGGTATGAATTATGAACTCAATCAGGTTTTATATACTGATTTTTCTTCTTTCAAACATCATACTCCCTCCTCTTGACTCTGAAAGTGTAAACTAATATTAGGTTTTCAGATAATTTTGATTGACAAGGAGTATGTATCTCGAGGGAAATGAATAACTCATTTTTGTCATTTGTTTTAAGAAATCCTGACCTAGACATGAAATACTACACTACCCTCTTGATTAGATCAAGCCTGTAGAGACTCTTTAGCATACAGCATGTCACACCTTACAACTGACAGAATATACATTTCTGCTTGAAAATTAAACCATTAGCAGTTTCCTGTTTATATTAGATATATTTACTCCTTACAACTTGGAACTACCTTACTTTGATATCATTCCAAAATTTTTAAATCAAGCTAATTCCCTAATGTTAAGTTGTTGTTGTGTAGCTTTAAGCTGTAGTCTCCACATCTGTTCAGTGGTCTCTAGCCTATTTTAGACAAAAACAATCTACGTCTTAGGATAAGCATGCAACTGGGTGGCTCTAATCTTGGCTTTTTTTTTTTTTTTTTTTTTTTTTAGTATGAGATTTTTCTTGATTTTATTATTCTTTTTAAGAACACTTCTCGCACATGCATGCAGGGTAATTATTATCTTGCATGTGTGTAAATGTTTTCTGTAGCTTTGAACTGCCATACATTTTTCTGCATTACTTTCAGTGCTTATGGAGGTGCTATGCTGCAGACTCCAGGTCTAACTCAGTGGCTACATGGAAAATCCACGTTCAGGATCCCAACAGACATTCAAACTCAGTAGTTAGTAAAGGCCTCAGGAGACCCAGTTTAATTAATCTTAAAAGAAGGCGCTTTTCTAGGACTAAACTTGAAACAGGATCAAGTAGCTGCAATCACATAGACAGAAAAGATAGTGAAGCTTCACAAGTTACATTTTATATAGAGGAGCAAAGTAAAAATGGTAAGGTATCTTCTTGGAGAAAAAGAAAAAAAACATTAATCATGCATTAGTTATGCTGCAGGAGAAACAGCTGCTTAATATCCTCATAGAAGTAATAATTGGGAGCTGTTTAATTTTATGATTCCTTTTCTGATATCAAGTGAAATGTTGCCTTGGTAGTTCAGGATGGTGGTTTGATCACTTCATTTAGACATTCCGGTAAGATTAATTTCAGTATTCTGTTATTTAAACTTTTTAAAGAGAATCTAGATTCTTATTGAGTCATTCAATGTCTCTTTTGTTTGAGTTTTCTAGGGATGTTACATATTACTTAATTAATTAGACAACAAAATTTTAAGTTAAAAGACATAACTTTTGTATTTTTTAGCAAAAATGAAGACAGATCTTCAATTAAAACCCTCCCCAGGTGGAGCCACTGATGCTCCTCCTGAGTACGAGTCAGATATGCATGTAGACGTTGAAACTCAGCGGGTTGTTCAGTGAGTACATGGTGAATTCAAAACATATGGAAAATATTGTTCTTGCTTCCTCAATTTCAGTTTTTTTTTGTTTTTTTTTTATAATTTACCCATCACATGTAAATTATTGTATAACCAGAAAGTAAGAAAATGTCAGTTGTGATTATAAGTAAATTGTCAAACATGGTGCTATATGCTGGTTTTCTTAAGCATTTTTATACAATATAACTTGATTGAAAATAGTCTATTCATATCTTAATCTTTGTGTCCTTTTTACCATTTATCTACTTACTCCCACTTACATCCTTAAGAAATCATGTACAGCACTGAAGTTTGCTAATGAGCATGTACTTCCTGAAACAAATCTAAAATGCCTACAGTTATATTGAAATTTACATGGTATTGTTCTACTAATTTGAAATTAGATCCTTGCCATTAGGGAACTAAAAGCAATTAAGTGGATTGAGCACTGTATGAAAATCAATTCCCAATCTGAATAAAAGAAACGGTGTTTTTTTGTTTCCTTTTAAGTGAAACTGATTCGTGAATGATTTTTCTTAATGTGGTAGATTAATTTTGTACCCACGAGGTTTTTATTGGAATCAAACTAAAGAACATTTACATAGAATTTTGTTTAGAGAAACATTAGTGAACTTTCATTACTTTGAGCTAGCACCATTTAGTGTACCTACAAAGGAAAATTTAGTTTTGATTTCATGTTAACCTTTATTTTTGCAGTTGGTACATCTTTTCCAAATCAAATGGCAGATGAAACATCTGACTATTCTCAAAAAGGAAGAATAAAAAAAAGAAGTATCACAAAATGCCTCAACTGACATAATTTTTTTTCATGAAGGAGCAAAAACCTTAGTTCTGCCATCTTGTTAGTGTTGTTTTGGTTTTCTTTTATTTATCTTGTCTTATTTCAGACTTACAGAATCTCATAAATGTGCAATACGAGTAATAAGAAGAATAAAATATTTTGTGGCTAGAAGAAAATTCCAAGTAAGTGGGAAAATATGTCAAATTGATAAGTTAAAATATTCAAGCCTATTTAAGTTTTGAAATATAATTCCATGTATATATGTAGAGCGTGTTTCTGTATTTCCCAACATCTCAGTGCCAGTTGAATTTTGTGACTTCCAAATAGCAAAATTTTAGATCTGTCTGACCTGTTGCTAGTGTGAACAGTTGTAGAACAGTTGCATTTGACATAAAAGACAGAAATATTTTTGTTTTTTTCTCAGATAAGTTATACTTGCATTTACCTAAGATTGTTTTTTTTTTCAGCAAGCTAGAAAACCTTATGATGTGCGTGATGTGATAGAACAATACTCTCAGGGACACCTTAATATGATGGTGAGGATAAAGGAGCTACAAAGAAGGTAAATAGCAATGCTCCACAAAATTTGGTGGAGGTACAGTGACTTTTTAAGAAGTATTTTTAAGGAAGTAAGGAGTAAAAAAATGCAAATTATGGACCTTATAAGTATTAAAAATACATTAAAGTAATGTTATTGCTACTCACCCCTAGAAGCATGCAATTTGTATTATAAAATGTACAACCAGAAAGTTATTTTATGGGGTATTTTATGATAAAGTTACTGAAAAAGAGTTGAAATCCTCTCAGGTGTGATTGTGTTAGTGAGGCACAGTGATTGTGTTTCTTGCTGCAGTCATCAGACTCATGGTCTGTTACATTGAGGAGACTTTTACAGGTTGCATTCACACTTACTCCAAACTTAGTCCAGAGATCACCCAAATTGTTTGCCATCATCACATCTGATGAACATGCCATTTTTAATAGGCTGACAGTGTAATATGCAGTTGTCCGCAGAAACCCAATGAGAAAATTAGTGTTTTGCTGATTTAAGTTTGCCCACATGTGAACAGGCCTGAAGATAATATGACCACATACTATGTCACTACACTGATTTTAAAGTAATGTGTAGAAATGTTATTTTAATACCTTGACAGCATTTGTATTTTGTTTGGCTTTCAGATTAGATCAAACTATAGGCAAACCAGGGGCATGGTTTGATAAAAATGGCACAAGTACTGCAGCAGATCGTGCCAAACTGACCATCACCTCACGGCTGGGCAGGGTGGAAGGACAGGTGGGTCAGGGGGGGTCATCCTGTTGTTGTATTTTGTCAAAAAAAGGGTGAATTTACATATTCAACTATTATTTATTCAGAAATAAAGATATCAAATAGTCAGAAGATGTCAGCTGGTTTCTCAACTAAGAAAGACAGACACTCACTCATACGTATTTAGAACACACTGCAGTTTTTTAGATACATTTCTCTAATATTAGGAGTTAGGAGAAAAATATTTTACATAACTTCTGCAAGTGCACAAGTATAGATCTCTTAATTTTTAACATACCTCTGATTTTTTTGTTAAATGTCTTGCATATTTCTATGTATATTTTTTTCACATAAATTTCTTGCACTAAAGTAAAAATCACGTGTACAGTACTGCAGTGTGTCCTGTTGTCATAGCATGGAGTCGGAAGATGTTTGTCCCTGGGTCCACGTGTCCTGTTATTGAGTCATCAGAGTGGGGTGGTTTCCTGGTCTTTCAACCTGTTATCAGTGAGTGATATGATTAAGTCAGCAGTGAGAGGAACACAAAGGTAACCGGCCTTGAACGAGGGAGTTGACACGGGGGACACATGTTTTCTTGCACAAACATTCTGCATCTATTCCCCAAAATGTAGGTCAAAACTTTGTTCAAAGAGTGATAAATTTCGTGAACTGTCAGGAACACGGGACTGAAATCTAGAATGGAAATTGTTTGTTTTGCCCCATAAAGAGAACTCTGGACCCCCATTAAATTACTCAGTATTTAACTTTAACATTACCTCCACAATACACAGTGATTTATCTCATTAATGGGAGAAGGATTATAGTAAAGTATCACCGTCAAATTGTACAACAGGAAATTGCTTTCAACATTCATGCCTTTAACTTAACCAGTATTAATCTTTGAACCGACCTGTATTACAACAAGCTGATTGTTTATCATCTTAGTTTTTGTTCTGACTTTTTGTCAATGCTCTTTCGGTACATTTGAACCTTACACGTTCGTGGTTCATTAGAATTTTCAGTACAATATTCTTTTCTTTAGTGTGTCAGACTAGTGTATCCTATGTCACACATTTAAGTAAATGTGTGTAGAAAAAAATCTTTAAATGATATAAATCACATCTTTATTTTAGCTTGCCAGGCATTATGAAGTCTTGAGCACATTATTTTTACCCTTTTTGGATGAGTAGCTTAAGTTCCCGTGTGGATGAGTTTGTAGAAAAGACATTTTAACTGAATGCTGTATAAATTAAAATAAGCTACTAGTAGCTGTTATAGTGCCTCTGTCTCATGATTATTCTAAAATAAATTGGGCAATATGAATGGCCTTGAAAAGTCAGCAGTAGAATCTAATGAACATGAAGGTATACTTGAATAGTAAAAAAAATATCTTGTTTGATATAGTCATGCAGCCAGAAGTTGACGGGCTCAATTGTAAAAATTGCCTCAGACATATTCCAGTAGTGCATAAATGCACTTCTTATAGCTGACCCCGAATATCCCATAGCATTATTAGTCAACATTGGCTCTTAGTTGACCACTGTAAGTGCTGTCTATCTCTTCGAGTCATCAGGCATGGACAATGTAATACCACAAAGTACAGTCACTCACAAAATGGCACAAAAAAAGTCTGCTCCATGGCATCAAGTATGATGTAAAGATCCTAAAGATTTATTGTCTGCAGTCTTTGTGTGTGGTGTTTTAAGTTGGGACAATCTGGCATCAGGGTTAACTAGATAGGCGACCACAAGCGTGTATTTTATTCTTCTGTCAGCTATTCAAATTGCACAAGGGGAGGAGCCATGTCGCAGTAAATTATAACAACCCCAGTGTATGAGTCAATTCAAACATCGTGCCACTCTTCTCTGGCATGGATCATAAATTTTGGTCGGTTTTCTCGTGTTTACTTCGGCAATTAATACACAATTATTGTAAGTGTCATGCTTTGTTCTGGCGTGTAATTTGTTCCTCTTGACAAGACGGAATCCTTTACATGCACATTTTTTGGTTACCATCATATAGGGTGACATAAGGGTAAAATGCCGATGTCACCCCAGGCAAGGATATGTGTATAATTTCTTACTCCAGGGCTACAGAGAGAGGGGGGCATGAGTGTCTGTTTTTAAAAACAGTTTTCACTTATTCATTTCCTGTATACTTATTTCATAGGGTGGTTTATGTTTAAGGTAGATTTTTTAAAAAAGAAACACAGGATCATATGCTATAGTAGAAGAGTCACAGGTACAGGATTTTAAGTGTCATCTTACACTACAGATTCTTAAACATTGGATCTTACCAAATATGTTCAAGTGTTAGCAATGTTATCAAACTGATAGAACCTCTCCAAACAGTACAGTCTCATCAATGTTTTATAAATTGAAATGAAAACCCCCTGAAGATAACAAGGTTGTTGTTTTAGCTAGAGGTTTGGGGAGGGGCATGGCCCTAACCTGACCCCTCAGCCCTGGGGCAGCTGACCCTGTGACCAGCATATCCTGCCTTCTAGCAGAGCTTTTTATCTTCCATGTTTCCCCTTAGCCCCTGGCAGGTCAGGGCACAGGTATGGTCCACACAGACCCTAGTATTACATAGCATAGCCAATGAGATGGAATAGGACTCTCTTCTAGTGTCACTGGCAAAACAGAGCATTACATACTTCTTAAATTTCAAAGTTTCAATGTATACAGACCTGCACATCTTCCATTTAAGACCCTTTCTAGATAATTGCTAATGCTTTAGGGTGACAGACAGTTTGTATTTGTAAGTTTTGGCAATTGGAAATATTTTTTAAATCTTAGTTTTATTGAGAAAAATTTAAAGGAGAAAGAAGGACCTGATTTGCATTGCTATAGATCCCTTCTTTGTCTTTTGAGCATACTTTTTGACTTTGCTTTAAAACACTAGTGTTTTAATGAGTTTTTCAACTAATATTATACAGTTCATGATGAATTATGTGAATGGTGACTTATGAGTCCTGTTTATTTGTGGTGTAAAAAAATGTTGTGGCACATAAAATTGATTTTACCTGACAGGTGGGCTATCAGATGTTTTGAAGGACCTGGGAATGGGGTGACCAAGGAAAGGGCCATATTTAGACTTCACCACTTGTAAAAAATGGCAATTTGCAAGCTTATTTATGGCCTCCAGCTTCAGCTTGCGGTTTTACGGCAAATTAAACTGATTGTGATGCATTTTTTAAAAACATTTTGCCAACCATATCTATTGATTCCAACATGATGCCGTAGCATACTTAACCTTAAAACAGAAGGGAAATAAGGCAAAATGTTTTGCATACTACAGTCAAACCCCATTCCAGCATATCAAAACATACCTTTTTACTAACCACTTGTTATGTATTTAATCAGCATTCTATGCATTAGCCACCCCTGCAGTATGCTTGGCATGCAAACAACCATACCGTAGATTTATATATGTAGCAGTATTTGTTGCATGACAATTAAGAGTCTCGTCTTTTTTTTTATCAGTGACAGTATCATTTTTAACTAGGGAAAATGTCCTGGGTGCTCAGCAGTGCATGCAAGCATATCCCCCAAGCTGTGCATACAGTGTAGCCTTATATGACATTGACTGGAAATCACATAGTCAACTGATAGGAATCATATAATAACAGACTCTGTTGATGGAATTGAAAGTTTAGTCCTATGGGGGTTTTGTTACAGACCTGTTGCCTGTACATGAAACATAATGGTGCTACATGAGATTGAGCCTCCTATATACTTTTCATTGACATCACTTGCCCATAATGTGTTGTATGTTTGAGAATGTATATATGTAAGATTAGTTGTTTTTTAGTTCCTCGGTTTATTTTTTTCAGTCCAAAGTTCTATATTTCAATTTTGATTTATTTTCCAATTTCGTTTTTTTTTTTTTACAGAAAATCAATATGGTTGCATGAAAAGAAAGATGTGTATTAAGTTTATTGGCTATAAGCATATGCAGCTGTCTAATCTCATTTTGAATATTCTCTAAGGCAGAATATAAAAATGGAAACCTCTACTTGTTTCTGCTGTGGGTAGAATGAACCTAGGTCCTATTTGCATCTGACATAGCAGAAGCTAGGCGTCACCTGTGCAGTATTCCGGGCACCTGGAGGCAACCAGTGTCATAGTGGCATTTCAAGTGGCACATCGCATGTTGAGATAGGGTGAAATCATGGGGTTCTTACTCAGGGTCTGGTTAAACATCACAAGATGATGGTGATGGCGGTGATTCATGCTCGTTCCCCTGACAAAGTTCGCTCGGAGTTATCAGTCCATGTCATTGCAGATGTAGTTGTCATGGATATTCTAGTTGTCATGGATATTTTAGGCCATATCTAGGGGCAAGAGGAAGGGGTATATCACAGTCCTGGTCCCAGTATAGATTTCAGGGCAAGGTTTAAGGGTTAGCTGGCTTTGGCTGTGCAAGAAGAAAGGATATCAAGGTCCCAGTCTAGATTTCAGGGCAGGTTTAGAGGTTTAGGGGTTAGATGTCTGGGGCAGTGCAGGAAGAAGGGGTATCAAGGTCTTTTTGTACATCTTGGGGTGATTTGGGGGTTATCTGGCTGAGACAGTGCATAGCATGACCATTTAATATTTGCCCAGGGTCAAAAATTATTGATTAATTTATTAAGTATTAATTTTTGTTAGATTTAGCTACCTTTGGCCAAACTGTATTGCATAGATTGGCTGTGAGATGTCCAGTTCACTTTTTGTGTCTGCTTGAAAGAACAAGTTAGGTGCCTGAGCCCACCAGTTTTATCTCTCTTATTGCAATTATATGTTTGATTAGTGATTATACCACTGAAGCTTGGCACCAGTAGGTTAATCCAGAGGGTTTGGTAAATTAGATGTTTTAGATGTTTTCTCATGTCCCCCTTTCATCAGTTTGATCTGTGCTAGAGTACCTGATAGCTTTTTTTTAACTTCTAGATTTTAATCATAAGGTAACCATTCTGTTATTGACATTTTATTTTTGTAAGGTGCTCAGTAATGATATTGGTAGAAAATGAAATGTAAACCCCTGCC